ATCACAACGGTGAAAAATGATCACCTGAAGAAGATGAGTATTTTAGTAAAGTTGAGCAGATCAGACTTTTGCTGCACAGGTTCAACATATTGCACTTTCTGTGCTAACACATGTTAACACTATGTAGCAAGTTGATCTTTTGGCTCGTAAGATCCGAAAAACGTATTTCAACACATCTGGATCATTTTGACAGATGATACAAAAGAAGCCCGACTTTCACCTTAATCGTCCTCTGCCTACGATCCTCACTGAGGGAGACGATGTTAGGTAACTCATTAAGCAGCATTCCTGCTCTCTTGTTCTGCTCTTAAAATGCTAGATGTTCACTTGGTGGGTTTCTTAATGGTGAAGTGAACATGTGCAACCGTACTGGAGTTTTAACATCCACAACCCCAAACCACAACCTCTCCAAAGTCCCTCACTTCCTGTTTTATGTATCGACTTGCACACACAGATGCACACACTCTTACACACTTATTCCATTACGCAGGCACGGACGACTTGTACCCTACAAAAGGTGGTCAGCAAAGAACATGGACTCATTAATATGTCCTGTTTGTATTACGGTATGGCTGTGTGCACATTGCTGTAGTGATATGAGCATGAGCTCATTATTTAGGTTTGGTGCATACCATTTTCTATTAAGTTTATTCAAGGAGAGTGTGGCGGAATTTTTATTTTTTTATTTATTGCTTTGGAAATAATCAAAACAGATTCATTATAAGATAAGATCATCCTTTATTGATCATCAGAAGGGAAGTTCGAGGGTTAGAGCCATAAAATGACATAAAAGAGCGTGCATACGGGTACAGATACAAATAAGAATTCAATACAAATGAATACACCTATTAATTGCCAAAGAAAAACTATACAGGACATTCAACAAGTTGTGCAGCAAATTAAAGTTATAGTGACCAGTTGTAAGGTAAAGTGACATGGTATGATTAGTAGAAGCAGAAAAAAAATTATATATTAAGCAAAAAATATAACAAACATCTATAATATGACAAGAGAAGAGACAGAGCACAACAATTTAAACTTGGTGTGGTGTGTATGAAATGATTCAGAGAGACAATGACGTGAGAGTGAAAAGAGTTCTGCGTGTGGCTGTGTGACAGCTACTCTAATCTATTTATTTTTCCCAAAGCTCAACGCAAAAGTATGTAAAATGTCTTCCGTAGTAGAGTGCTCAAATATAAACTACTGGGTCATCTTCAGCTGGTGTAAAAGAGCCAGCGCTCAAATGTTTCAGTGTTACTCTTAGAAACTGCATTAATGGCTGACTTTTGGTTAGAAAAGTACAAAAGAAATGTTTTCCTAATCTTCTATTGACAGAGATAAAAGGCATTTTTTGGGGCTGTCATGATACGTGGATTCTTTTGTCAAAACAGTTGTAGTATTTTTTTTGAATACACTTTTGTCTAAAGCAGAAGAAATTGCATGATACATCTAAGGATGATCACATTTCTCTTATTTTTGGAGTCTACCATGGTTTTTCTAAACCAAAAGATAAAAAAAAAAATATTGCAGACAACAAAAACACAGGAAGGCAGATTTTTGGTGGGTTTACTTTTTTGAAAGCTTTTACTGTAATGAGAGTAGAATCAGGACAAGATACATCCTGACAGACCGATATGAGGGATATATAAAATAAAGAATTTGATTATTGTCAGTGAACAATATACAGTTCTTTTGTGTCTTATCTTGTCATATTTTTTGTTGCTCCAATATCTTAAGAATGAAGAAAGAGGATGAAGACGATGATTAGAAGTGGCTGCTAGATGATGCTGGCTATGATGAAAGAAGTGATGATGATGATAATGATGATGATGACAGTATGAAAGGGATTTTTTTCTCATAAGTAGCTAATCTGGCAAATTCTGAGAGGTCAGCACTACTGGATGATACAGTGATCACACACACACACACACACACTCCAAACTGTAACTAATCAGCTTAAACTACAGCGCTGTTGTGTGTGTGTGTGTGTGTGTGTGTGTGTGAGTGTGTGTGAGAGAGAGAGTGTGTGTGTGTGTGTGTGAGAGAGAGAGTGTGTGTGTGTGTGCGTGTGTGTGTGCGTGTGTGAGTGTGCATGTGTTGAACAGTGATTAAGGTAACAGAGGATCAGGGTTATTAGAGTAAATGTTGTTACTGTAAGGACTAACTCCTGACATTATCCGACCCTCTGGCTTCAGGATCATTTTCTAATTCACTCCAGAACATGCTGCCTCCCTCCACCACTCTTTCGTTCTCTCGCCCTCTCTCTTTTTCCCACCGCCTCAGAGTCTCTGTTGCACATATAAATCACACATGACTCTCCCAAGTGAGTGTGCGTGTAGTGAAGAGTGTTTCTAATTTTCTCCTGTACTGTGTCTTTTTTAGATCACCTTAATGTCACACACTGATGAACTCTCACAAACATACACTTATGAACTTAGAGAATTGACTTGTTCCACAGCGTTGATGGATGATAAGTGACCAAATGGGAATGAGAAGGAAAGGGGTCTGCTAGGCCGTGTCATCAAAGTTATTTAGTATGCTAATACAAAGTGCTAATAGACGACAGTGTGTCCCAAAGAATTAGATTCGATTTTGGGGGCTTAAATAATTTTTCTTATGAAGACAAGAAAAACTGAGAGAGCTTGTAGTAATCTGGTGGACTTAAGAAAAGCTTACAACAACGCTGACAGCCATGCACTTGCCGGCACGAATAAATGAATGTTTGTAAAACATTGAACAAGGTAATAATGTACAGCCTGTAAATAGGATAATCTGAGCCTGCTAATCGTGAGCCAACACCACAAATACACCAGAGATATTAAGTTCAGTGGCTTTATAAGCTAAGGTGAAACCTTTCAGATAGCTACAGGTACTCAAAGAAACCACTCCCATGAATGATGCTTTCAATTAGCCTTAAAATAATTTAAATACTACAGCAATATAATTATTCACCCAATTGTAGCTTGGCCTAAATGGTGAAATCAGCTTTCGTAGCTAAAATCTGTTTTATTGAAGCAGGCTGAAAACATGTTTAAAATTGTTGGTTATTTAAATCATGATGTTAATGGGAATGGACTCACTTTGTGGCAGCCTCTAGTGGATGTTTGAGGAAGTGTAGTGTTTAGAAAGTTAGTGTTCGGTTCACTTTTCAGGCCTTGATTGTTTAATTCAGTCAAAAGATCTGTTGGTTAATCACATGTAGATGTTCGGACACAAACACAAATTTAATATCTTCAAACTAATACGGTGTTTTACCTTTAATGTTGTTACTGTCACCCAAATGACCTTATAACGTTGCCTGGGTGAGCAGGAATGTTTTTGTTTTGTGTGCGTGCGTGCGTGCGTGCGTGCGTGCGTGCGTGCGTGCGTGCGTGCGTGCGTGCGTGCGTGCGTGCGTGCGTGCGTGCGTGCGTGTTGACGTCCATGAGTGCAACATGTGTGCCCATCTCTTCCCGGGGCTGATATCTAGTGCGCTGGCTGCATCATTAATGTTAATAACCATGCAGGGCTTCTCCCTCTCAGCTAGTTTGTTCCACTGTTCAATGACTTCATTTAACACAGGACGGACTGGCTAACGGGGGGCAGGGTGGACTGCTGTCTCACCCAAAGTACCAGCCTCAAGGGGAAAAAAAAAAGGGGGGGGTAAAATAAAAACAGTGAACCACAACAGCCTGCATCCAACAACCTGACCCTGCACCTGCTACTAAAGTAATAACTATAATGTTCAGTAGCATCCACAAAAATCTTCATAAACAGACGAAAAACAAATAATTGTCAATCTTTTGAAGTGTCTCATAAGGTTTACCCGGTGGTGCTCATAGTTTGTTTTGTACATGCATTGTGGTTTTTACTTGTCACAAAAATGCACAAATAATAGAGGAAACCAATCCTTAGTGATAGAACTCAATGTATCCAGAACATTTAAAAAAAAGATTGTTTCCTGGCACAGAGGTCCAGTACGCACATCACGTATTCTGTACACCATCATCGCACCTATGGGTGTGTTTTGCCTTAAAATGAGGCGTGGTCAGGCAACATGGTGGCACTTTGGTATCTCAAGGCAGCAGAAAGGGGCCCTGCCATTGACCAACAAAGACCTTTATTCTAAAGTCAATAATGCAGTTAATTCCTGCTATCTAAGGGGCTCATTAGTAAGATTGTAAGATGATGCTGTGATTGATTTGATTCATGTTTCACCCAAAACACAACAATCTAGAATAGGAGACTCAATTATTCTCCTTTCCCACTTGCTTCTTTCTTTGGATCACTTTTCCGTGATTGTGAAATTCATCTAGTAAGGGGGTCTCACATGTCTTAAATGAACTTTGCCATGTGCTTAAGACAATGCAAAATGATGTACAACCACCCTTTTATTAGTTGTTTTATTTGACATACTGTCTGTTGAGTCAAACACTGTTGGCACCTGCTTTGGAGGTAAGATAGTCCAGAAGATTACATTTTTACTATGACGTTTGTTTAAGGGTTACTGTTCTCTGATTCTTGTGTGAAACTACAAATCAATATTTTGATATGCAGGGCCCGTTACCAAGCAGCAGTGTTTGACTAGTTAGGAGTGGGAACATGTTTTTCAATTCTGAAATTTGTAATTACATTACTAGGCATCGAACTTTTGTTAATGTAACAGGAAGACTTGTTGGATTTTAGGCTGCAAGCAAATAATAATGAAGCTGCCATGTGAAGTCTTCTGTGTGCACAGTATGCTATGTACTTGAAGGTGACAGGGTGCATATCGAGTGGAAGAAAGTGTTGTCCAGTAAGGCGGTACGGCTCATTTCTGCTCCGGGGCTACCTACAGGGTCAATCCAGCCATGGTTCAAAAGCTGCGTTTTGTAAATGTGTTCATCATCAACAGAGCAACTACAGTATGATTATGGTTCTCTTCTATGATTGATTGATTCTAAGTAAGTCTGCAGTTATAAATACTATGACCTTGACAATTTTCTGAATGTTTTTTTCTCTTTCTGCTTGTCCGTCAACAGAGCAGCACCATCTGAATAACTCGGCTTACGGGCAGTTTGGACAAGGGCTTCCACATCCTCACAGCAACCAAAGTACAGTGGGACTCAACAAGTATACCTCCCTCAAAGCTGTGGGTAAGTTGGACACGTAAACAGACACCAAATGATGCTGACTCCACCTGACACAGTAACCTTTAAAAGTAGAGTAGCAGTGCGGGTCTCTCCGATGTCTGAGAGGAAGCACACGATGTTTCCTGTTTGGGCCCCGTGGTGTGATCAGCGACCGCCTCTTTGTGTGACTGATGTCAGTCATAACAGTTCACTTTCTCTTCAGGTCCACAAGGTCAAGACAAAGCCAAAGGGACTGTCTGATAAGAGGGTCAGAACTCAATTAATGGGAAATCACTGTGCATCACTATTGCAAGTCACTGCCAAAGACAGCTCTATAAAAACCATTTGGTAACAGGAGGAGAAATCCTGGGGAAAAACATGAAAAATATTCAACTTTCTCACCATGAAAGCATCATCCTCTCATGAGTATAATTTTCTTAAACTACTCCACATTTCAAACTTAAATTTTACTACCTAAAGGTGGTTTCTCTGTAATACATATAACAGTTATGATAGCTTCAGACTCCCAGATTTAATTTAAGGTTTTCATAACCAGACAAATGTGTGTGTTCTGGCATCTGACTTGCACTTAAAGAAACTATCGCTTTAGTGTGTTTAGGAATGAATTAACTATAGTTAAGAGGTTCTAAGCTGAAGATGTACATACTTTATATGTAGTATGAGTTATACTTGAAATGGTAAATGTTATATTGCAGGTCACGCCTACCCATTCACACCCCTTTACACACTTATTTCAGAGGCTGCGTTGTAAAGTGTACATCAGAATAAACTAATCCTCTTCATACACATTCAAACGCCTCCAATGAAGCAGCCGGAGCAACTTGGGGTTTAGCGTCTTGCACAAGGATTTATCGGACTTGTAGATGCAGGAACTGGGGATAAAACCCCGGACATGTTGAGAGACGACTGACTCCACCACTGAGCACACAGCGGCCTCACTGCTTGTTTAGAATGACATTCAAACCGATCATTGATCATTGTATTGGCCTTTTTTTTTTTTTTTTGTGCTAAAACTTTCACAGCGCTAAAATGCAGCACTAAACCTGTTATGGTCACAGTAACTGATGGCACAAAATAATGATACAAATCCAACCACTATATACGTATATATATATTTTTTTTTTGCCATGCAATATTTTGAATGTACTTTTTTTTGTCTTTTTTTTCGTACAGTCTTTCACTTTACGTTTGCCTTCAAATGTTAATGATCTACACGCAAAGTAAGCCAGGATAAAAAGGCTGTAGGGTTTAGGACAGGTGATTTCTACAGACAGTTCAATGTCAGCAGAGGTCACACACACATGTTGTTCGTGAAAAGTAGGTGTAATACTGTACTCAACATCAGACCTCAGGCATCAGCTTAGAAAGAATTCCTTCACAGCAGGTAGCCACGGGCAAATCACTGCATGTCAAGGTCGATTCTCATAATCGTCCATGAAGGGTTAACTGAGCACGAGTATGGCTTTGATTCAACAGCATCTACAGTGTACACACACACGCACACACGTGTTAGCGTTCTTGTAGGTGTAAAGGCATGTACACACACTTAAGCTCTGGAGGTAAATTGCCTCTCTATGGGCGTGAAAACAGTGTTTGACCTTTAGATAGCACTCATCAACCTCTAATCACGTTGCCATACCTGTTATGCTTTCCAATCTAGCATGCATGCAGTTAATGAGTTAATGAGGGATTAACATTCCCCCCCCCCCCCCAAAAAAAAAAAAGAATGGTAATCATGGAATTTAAATCTGCTCTGAATTTAAGACAGTGCGTTAATATTTCCATTTCATCTGTCGTAGATCTATTTTGTCAACTCAAAAAAACTACCTGGTACAGAGAAAGGACTCTAAATGACTCACTTACTTTCAGACTGAAAATGATGAAAACACACACAGAGAGACAAGGTTACTGTTCATGTAGCCAGGAAGCTAGCGGCACTGACCTCAGTTTTAAGTTTATTTAAATAATTCTTGGTGACATTCATGCCAGCACATGACACAAACACATACACACACACACACACACACACACACACACAGACACACACACACACACACACACACACACACACACACACAGACACACACACACACACACACACACACACACACACACACACACACACGCATACACATGTGCAAACTCGTGTCTCAGGGCGAGGGTATTTATAAACCTTCATTGCTACATTACGTCCCCACATTCTGACACTCATACCTTTACCTTCATATCCATTGCAATCCTCAGCTTCTGCCTCTCCTCTTTCGCTCCCCCCCCCCGGGCCTCCTGCCCGCTCATATCCACCAGAAGAAGAGTACCGCTTGTATTCACCTTTAGGGCATCCACCAATTGGAAATACATAAATCACCAGTTTTCCTCTTTGATCTTCTTCAAACACTCCCTCTCTCCTCCTGACTGTCCTCCACCTTCCTTGGATTGCTTATAAGTTATTTATTTACACTCATCAACAGCCATTGTTTCTAAAAAAAAAAAAAAATCTGGACAGAAGGTCAAATTTAAATGTTGAGAGAGAGCTAACCCTTTTTTCGTGCATCTGAAGGCTTGTCTTCTTCACATTCCCACCATGCACAGATTCTACTTTTCTTTATTAATCTCATGTGCTGCTTTGTCTTGTCTACCATTCATTTATTATGATCTTTTCTTTTATTGTGTCTGCTTTAGACATGTTACCTCCTGCAATGAAACCATCACTTACTGTTATATGTGGTACTGTGTTTTGTGTTTTCCTGCTAGCATTGAGCATATAACAAACACTTTTGCATTAACATAACATGAGAGTTGCAAAGTGTAGAGAAGATAAGATATGCTTTATCATCCTCAGAGGGAAATTTGTCTTGGACTCTGTCCTGCAGTTGCAAGAGAATTAAAAAAAAAAAAAAAATAGAAATCATAAACAACATAAAAAATACCTTCCTACAGCAGTGACATATTGCACGGCCATTGGCACATCCTACATTACCTGTTATTCAGAATATTAATGGACATCGGCAGGCATGAATGTTTATAGCGGTTCAGCCCGGTCTGAGGGACCCTGAAACTCAGAGTGAAGGATTGTGGGTCGGGTCAGACACTATTTTCTGTGCCTGTCTAACAACCCACTGTTCATTGAGTTTTTGTAGATATAGATGTTTTTTAACACCCATGATTTTCATCATAGTCTGATGATGAGTTATCAGAGATTTCAGCTGAACAGAGAAGTGACCATACTGTGCTGTCATCTCGTATCTGATAATGCTTTCCAAAACAGCAGAGTAAAACAGTGACATACATTTCTGCTGAACTCTTTAGACTCTCAGTCTGCATAAGAAGTGCATACACTGCTGAGGTACTTACAGAACAGACCTGTGTGATGGCTTCACTGTGGATGACCACATGTTGCTGGTCCCCCACTCCACTGGTATCAAACGACACAAAACAACAACAACAAACTGACCTAGTAATGTAAGAGAAAAAGCTGTAACTTATCAAAGAACATCATCTAACATTAGTCACCATAAGCTGAAGGTCATACCAGACCAAATAAGGCAGAAGCAGCAAACCCCTCCGTGTATTAAATAAAGCAAGTGTGGGTTTTACTACTTAAGCATTCTAGTCTCCATTAGCAGAGATTCTTTATTTCTTCTTTTAACTTCCATGGTCTGAAAACTTTTTTAAATACTTACTGTAGTCGGGGGAAGAGAAGGGGACATTGCCGACAGTTTGGAGCCAGGAGGTCCTAATAAATGCACCGGGGATTAAGTCTGATTCAGTCTCCAGTGTTCCTAAAATGACAGAGTCTGTGTTTGCACATTGGCAGTTCATTTTAGGCTACTTCTGCGGTGACTCACGACTGAATCAGACTGTGGCAAATTGAAAATGACTCTAAAGTATAAACAAGTTTAAGGAGGCCAAAAATAGAACGTGTTTACTTAACTGGCCTAATTGTAAAGGGTTATGAACAGAGACGACTACAGTAAGTGAAAGGATTACTCTTGTTAATCCTACATTTCAGTTTGTTTGAATGTCTCCGGTAATAATTCCCATGGGACACGAAAACTTTATAATCCTCAAAGTAATTGATGAGATTATAAATCTACCTTAAAAATAATCATATACCGAATATATTTGGCTCCTCGTTGAAGCACGTGTTCTTGAAGTGCAAGTTTTGCACTGTGCCCACTGCCTTGTTGTTGTTGTTGTTGTTGTAAGAAGTGTATATATTTGGATGCTTATGTGGTTGGAGCTGGCAAGGTGAAAGCGGTTGGCAAACTTTCAGTTATCAGCAATCATTGGCCCTTGATAAACTGGCAATTAAAGAAGGTGTCAAAGAGAGAATAAGATTCTGTGGTGGCTGCTAATAATTTTTTGAGTCCGCCTGTCTGCATGTGTTTTATTACAACGTTCTGAACAAGAGGTAGCCGTGCACAGGTCCAGTTAGTCCTGGAGCAGTGTGAGTGCAGGCCAGCGGGGGGATTAAGCACAGTACCAGACAACTTGGCCTAGGTTGAGTGCAAAGACATTTGTTAATGGACTTTCACCTATGTAGGGCTTTTCTAGTCTTTGGCTCTCTCAAAGTGCTTTTTATACTACATGCCACATTCACACAAGCAGACTTAAAGGCAGAGGCTGCTGCTACGTAAAGTGCCCATCAAGTGTCCATCCATCTTAATCCCATTCATACACGTTCACAACGCTGGCTTTGCCACTCAGGAGCAATTTAGGGTTCAGTGTCTTACCCAAGGACACTTTGACATGTGACTGCAAGAGCTGGGAACGAACACACAACCTTCTGATTGAAATCTGACCGACAGCAACAACTGCCTATATTTCTAGGAAAAAGTCTCCACAACACCGCCAAGATGTTAAGTTCAGTTACCTGGATAAGGTGAGGTAACGCCCAGCAGTCAACTAGGTGTTTCACTTGTCACTCATAGAGATCATGCCACAATCTTTGCCTCAGTTTGATCAAATCTAAATTAAAGAAGATGGGATATAGACAAAAAAAATCAACCCTGTTCAATCTTCATACATCAGGAAGTAAGCTTTAGAGACTAAATCGTTTATCATACCAAGCTACACACGTGTTAGACTGATCGATAGTGTTGGACATATTAATGAAGGGTCTGATGGGGATTGACTCACTATTGGAGCCAGCCACAAGTGGTCATTAGATGAACTGCAGTTTTTGTTCCTTTGGTAAAGGCTTCAATTTTCAGCAGCTCTGGAGATTGATGCTTGGTTTGTAGGTTAAAGTTGAACCAAGCAGCTGGTTTATTTACTGTCATGGTGGAGTTCATCTAAAAGTTTCAATTTGACAGAAACTGTTTCTTGTGTATGTTACAGTAGTGTTTAACCTTTTGCTTTTTGCACATTTCACAATGACAATAAAAATGTAATTTATTGTTCAGCCCTAATTCACATCCTTTTGATTATGCCGAACAAGTCATGGCAAGCCTGCTCATATATATTTATATCACCATATTAAGAGATTTCTGCTGTTAACTGGGATAAAATGATGTCAAACACTAATATAGTAAACTGTCATGATATAAGGTAACTGAAGACATCACTTGACTGTACTCACCCACCCCTCTTTTCTTTACAGCAAGTAGTGCGTCTAAGAGTTACTACAAGAGCTTCCCGCTCATGGACTTCTCTCATTACCAGCCAGTGGCGGTGGCGCCTCCTGCTTTCCAGCCTGTGCCCATACAACCTAAAGAGAAGTCATACATCCACCAGCATGTGACAGCACACCACGACCTCCAAGCCCCTCTCTCCATCCAAATCCCATCCAGCCACATGGAGCACTCGCATCTTCCCAAGACCACCACGCACCCCATGCTCTCAAGCTCGGCGTTCAGAGCCTGGGAGCCGACTGCCCGACACGTCCACAGGCAGATTTCAGCCCCTGCGCACCCGTCCTCCTCCTCCACCATGCACGGCTCCAACCGTAGACAGTTCTACTCGACCAGGAGGCAGCAGAGCATAGAGAACATGCCGGACCTCTTTAGACAGCCCTATGGAGGGATGTATAGAGGAGCCGGGGAGGGGGCAAGGCATGGGCAGCATGTTCCGGGACAGCACCCTTCTCAACACCCTCCTCAACACCCTTCTCAACACCCATCTCAGCCCCCCTACTACCACCCCACAAGACAAAAGAGCTACTCCACCCACAGTACAACTGAGGTGACCGTCTGAGTGTGAAGGCTTAATGCAGTGTCAAAAGAACACTTATACTAGTCTTTGGGGTTAGCTCAGTGCCAGAGTTTGGGACAGTTTTCCCAAATGATGAGACATTCAGATTAAGTAGATGAAAATAGGTGTTTTTTAGAAAGTGGGAACTGTGATACTCAAGTGAAAAACAGCATAGAAGAACCACAACTCTTACAGAACAGATATTTGTTAGGAAATGTAACAAGCTGGCTTGAATCCTCTCTCAGGCTCCAATAGATCACACAACCTTCACCACCACAGTTTTGGCATTGAAGTGCGGTTTTGTGTTTCAACAGGGCTTTTAAGGAAAAGGAACATGAGAGCAGAAAAAACAAATCTTTCTTACTGTGGTGACAGTTAAAATGTTGATTTCTTGTCTGATTTGTCAGGCATGAACGGTGAGTTTGGGTTGGCCAAGTACTAAAGTAAGGGTAAGGTCATTTGTACATGACGGTTTGGTTGACAATAAGATTCCATAATGAGTCTGGAACTGACAAAAAAAACCACACTCAGAGCCAATATTTTCTGACATTATACACACAATCTGTTCAACCATGCAGCTCTTGGCATTTGCTGGATTTTATGTAAATGTAGTATTATAACCTTTAAGAGCAATTTCTTGGATTTTCTTACAAGATGTTAAACTTCAAATACCAATTATTTGGATTTGATGGCACAACAATATTTAAGCTTTATTGGCAACAAGAAGATATAACCCATATATAAATATTTAACATTTAGGATACAGTCTTTCTTACCAAAAGTAAGAAAAGAAGATTTTTAGTACTGTGCAATATAGAGGCTCCTGCCGTCTCACATTTAGCCTAGCAATAGCAAAGCAATAATTTGCTTTTGCTGAGCTAACCGATCCTAAGCTAGGTAAGTCTAGCAACAGTCACATAACAATATGAGTGCAGTTCATCCTGGAGTCTTGTCATGATATAGTTTAATAAGGATGAAACAATAATTCATCAGCTTTAGAGGTGCTTTATGGAGATTAGTTTCCTTTTAACATCCAGGCTTGCTGCTTTCCCGTTGTTTCCAGTCTCTGTATAAGCTAAGCTAGCTAGTTGCTTACAAATGTACTCTACAGACAAGAGAGTTTTTATCCATACTTCTAGCTATAATGCATCTAACTGGAAGCGATTCAGACATTTTGCATGATTTCCTCCACAGCAGCAAGCCACTAAGGGCAGAAACACAAAAAATCTATCACAGAGATTCATTAGTTGGATTCGTTTTCTTATCAATTTTTGCACACACAATAAATTACATTGTTTGGACTAAAATTTTCCCTTACCTGCAGCACTTTAGTTGTGTTTGCTCCAAAAACCCTTAAAAAAGTCTGCCAAAAAATATCATATATAAGCCAAATATCTCTTTTGTAAAATGTAATTATTATAGTTTAAGGTATACACATCAAACTAAGTGTGTGCACTAATCCATCAGTCAGTAATCTGGCTCCAGAGGAACCTTCTGTACTCGACCATATTCAAATCAGAACTATTAAACTGCATCTTTGAAGGCTGATTAAATTTACATCTCTGTGAAATGGAAAACCTTATTTGACTGGATTACATAAAATCATTCCAAAAATAATTAGAGCATTAACATGTGGATTGATTTGAGAAGATTTAAGGATTATTTCATATTGACTCATCACATACAATTTGGTTACAGAGTAATCGCAAATCATCTCAAGGGAACACAATTCAGGTCATAACCAGGCCCTGCAGACGCTTTTATAATCAGGTTTTTTTTTACATTTTTTTGTAGGTTCCCTGTTCTCCTTCTTAAAACACCTCCATGCACAGATGTTTTTCTCCTGCTTTCTTTTTACCCATTTTGGCCTTTCCCACCCTCTCTATACAATGCCCTGCTTTTTTGTACCATCAGGCCACAGCACACATGGACAGCAACCCCGAGGTCACATTAACTCGACAGAGAGGACAATAGCACCATCATGTCAGCTCCCATCATCCTCCATCCTGGCCAGAGAGGGGAAGAGCAGGAAAGAGAGGGACATAGTAAGAGCCAGGGGCTGGGACTCTTTAGAAAAGAATAAAAAGGAAGGAGAGAGTAGGGGAAAAATAGAAAAACAAAAGGTACATGACTGAATGTTTTCCTTCCTCGGGGGTAAAGCAAAGGAGTCACTGTGGATCTGGGTCTCTCACTACGCAGCTGTCTGGGTCATAACTTAGAGTGTGTGGATGTATGTGGATGCCTGTGTGTAATTTCTCTCCCCCAGGCACCATTGCAGGGGAATTCGCCGAGGCATTTCAAGGCCTGGAGGTTTAAACATTGCTCATCTTGTCTCTGATTTGTGCAACAGTAAGTGCAACTGTCCACTGTACTTGTTGGTGAAAGTTAGTGGCTGCTACACCCTCAGGAACCGCACGATGAAGTGAACTGTTAATGATTACACATGTGTCCATGAAAGTTCTGTAATAACGTTTGTGCTATGAAGGTATTTTATTATGCTCAACCCTTTATTTGGTGAAAGTTTTAAGGGCTTTTGTAGCAGCTGGGGCTTCATCGAGGACGCATTTCTGTTTTTGCAAATGACATCACATCAAACCACTTGAATTAACCAAGTCAAATGTATGGGGACGTCTTCCCCAACAGAAAGCGATAAATCTAAGCACAAGAGTGATCAATTAGAAAAGAGTTCCTTTTCTTCTCTTAAAGGAGAGAGTCCAGACAATGCCTGCATAATCAGCATGAAACAAAAAGCTTTCAACTTTAATAATTTGGGGAAATTAATGAATTGTAATTCTCTAATGAATCTCAGCTAAATAATTCGATTTAATAATTGTCCTGTCTGTAGCTCATGAGAAACATCGCCCACTCGAGGTATCATTTCAACAGTTTCCCTTCTTTGAAACTTTTAAAACATTTTATAAACAATTCATTTTCTTCTTTCACTCACGTTTTGCAAGCAAAGTTTTAAAAAAGCTGCTCGACTTAATCCACAAACTGGATCCACAGACAAGACCAAGACATTTAGGGATCGAGGCCGAGTCAAGACAAGGACCATAAATATCACAGAAAAATCATCAACTTGTGTGCAGGGGGAGCGTCAGGTTGCGGACATCACCGGGTTGTTAATATCGGACTACAAATGAATTGATAGAAAGAGGCATTTTCTTTCTCATCACAGTAATGACATAGAAAAATAGCCTATCAGAGGTGGTCTTGACCAGACTTGATTTAAAATCCGGAGTCGGCCCAGTCTGAGACTGAGACAAGACCGAGTAAAAATGCTTTCGATTTCAAGACGAGACCGAGACCTTCAAATAGCGGTCTCGAGACCGATCTTGATACCAAGACCGATTTCGATTACTGCAACACTAACCAAACAGATCTTTGATACCAGACAAATTGAACCTGAACAGAAAAGTTGTGGGTTCCAAACCCCCCCAAAAAAGCTGAAAGATAATAAATTCTCTTATAGACTTGAAGGGAGTTGGATGATAAATCTTTGAGGGTTTGTCATGTTAAGTTACCCAGTACACATCAGACATTAGATTATTTAAACAAACACTTTCTTTTAAAAGAAGTTCAAATTCTTCCTTTTATTAATCCAAATTAGATTATAAAACTAGACAAATGATTTATGTTCTCTTCATCCCTCGTGCAGCGACATGCCAACATGATATATGAGATTTGATAAAGAAATAACTCAGTCCTCCTCCTCCTCTGACTAACTCTACAACTTTGCAAATAAAAATGATTTAATTCGAGCAGCTGTGCAACATGATTATAGAAAATCAAAATACAGAAAATGCAATCCTATCAAATTTGAATTTACGTTCAACCCCGTAAAATGAACGTGTGATCACCCCAAAAAGGTCCCTCATCAACAGGAGGAGGTGTTTCACTCAGGTGCCTAACATGAATGCTACTTTGAAACTAAACCTGGTCACTCCATATTTGACCTCATGACCTCAGGTCTGACTCTCGAAACGATAAGTTGTCTAGAAAGCTGAGCAAAAGGAAAGTAATCTCAGAGACTACAAACAACTGTGTGGTCAAGAAACGAAACACTTGTTACCTACCACCTCTTGTTACATCTCTTCAGCCAGTGCAGCAAAGGATTCTGGGTAGACATGACTTGCTCTCATTGCTCGATGTTGTCAGTTTTTAAACGTTGGAATCTGCCGGTTTAGAGACACAGAACGTGTTGGGGGATTATTTTTTAGCAATAGAAAGTCTTTGACTGGGGAAAGTGCTTCTGATGTTTTTTCTCTATATGAAATCTTGCTTTTCCTCCACCTGAAACTATTTACCTCTTTGTAGATGAAACAAACCACTTGTTTTGGCTATTTGTGGTAGATGTTTAACCTAGTGTGTACATTAATACGGTGACATTTTCCAGAACAAAATGAGGTTCAGTGCATCTTTTTGTTCATTTTTTTAAAAAAGTTTTATGTAGTGCAAACCTCATCAGAGTTCTGCTTTATTTATGAAAGCTGTGTGAAGATGCTTATTTAATGTGATTTTATATGTATTCTGTTTGAAAAGGGCTGTATTATGAGACAAGTCTTTTGATTTCAAAGTGTGTTTATGATAATCGCTGTTGATGTCAAATTTGAACAGAGTACGTGTTTTCATGTTAACATGGAACATGATGCATATAGAGATATAGATTAGCTGAGTGGTGCAGTTTTTAAATGTGCAATAGAGGAGGACTTAGTAGGCCTACTTCACTGTTTGTCACATCACTGCGGTGGAAAAACACGGTGACACTAGTTTTACTGTAGGGAAGGACGAAGCAGCTTTAAATCAGACAGGTTGTCAAAACGTTTCTGTTTTGCAATTACACCGCACTGACAATGATGAATGGGATGCTGTGGAAAAACAAGCACCGTGGAGTATAAATCAGATTTGCAGTGAAACATTTTGCGAGCATGCAGCAGTCGGGTTATAACTGTTTTTTTGTTTTTTTTCAAGCAGCAGATCGGAGTGTGATATGTGCTGCTGTAAACGCAACAGAGATGTCATCAAGTGAACGAGGTTCTCTTGTTCTGGTGTCTGTTTTTAGAAAATGGAGAGAAAGCAGAGCGATGATAAATGTATAAATGCAATCATAACAGAAACTATATTGAAAGAGTATTGGTGTGAAATACAGAATGGAGCAAAAAAAAAGAAAAGGTGTATATTATGTATGTAACTGTATTCTTATTACAACAAAAAGCTTATTTATACATGACATGTTCTAGAAATGTTGTTCGCTGAGGATTGTTTAGCGACTGGAGATTGGAGATGAATCATTAAAGATTGTAAAATTGATGTGAGGCTTCGGGGTCTGACTTGTGTTTGGATCACAGAGTTGTTGGACTTTTGATTAAGTGAGCAGAGCGAGTCGATCAGATAAAACTAAATGACAACTTGACATCAGATTTCTATTGGTTCAGGTGAATAGAAGCAGAAAAAAACATATGAGAGTTTATAACAATCCTTTTTAGTAGTAAGGGTAGTTTGTTTGAAATGTATGGGAATGAAACTCAAAATGAATGGTAAAAGGATTTGAGCTTGTATAACGCTTTTCTAGTCCTCTGACTACTCAAGGCACTTTTATGTTACTATTTTTATGGCACTATGTTAAGTGTCAATCAGGAAGACTGTGCAACATTTTACATGTAAATGTAGCAGAAATCAGATATATCCTATTTAAATATCTCTCTGAGACATGACTGTCTACAATGAGTGAGAAGCCTGAGTTCTGTCAGACAGGACGGCCTTGTGTATAAAAGCTGTTTTAGTCCAGGACTATACAATAGAAAAGAAGAAATACATAGCCTACTGACTGCTTATTAGTATGTCACACAAGTGTCTTTAGATCACGGTCATTCTGTGTACATTTATGTGCAATATGAAGCTATGAATTAACCAGTGTGCTAACATTAGCCTGCTAACAAAACAATGCAGGAAACAGGCAAATGCAGCTCGAGCAAAGGACTATTATTTCAGCCACTTGTGTTTAATGATGCTTAATTATGGTGCGTTCTAATTCCTAACTCCCCAGTTTGTTTTGGTTAAATGCTGGTGCTCGAGGGAGACGTCTACTGAACTCAAAAAGTTGCACATTCTTCCTCCAGCCACCAAAGCAGAGGGAGCAACTTGGGGTTAAGTGTCTTGCCCAAGGACACATCAGTGATGTGGCTGCAGGAGTTGGGGATTGAACCCCTGACCTTCTGGTTGAGAGATGACTGACTCTACCACTGAGCCACAGCCGCCCACTGCCTGAGTTTTATAATTCATAGATATCCTGACTGGAGATTTCGAGCACAAACAGTGTGTTGCAGACAGCCTCAGAGCAGCTTCTCTTCCCTGTGACAGAAGCTTTATCACATTTGCAGTTCTTCCCCAGCAGGGAGTTTGAGCAGCAACAGTCCCAGTCCAAACATGTCCCAGTAACCATCAGTTCACCCTTCAAGTTTAGAATTGTAATGTAATCACATTTCAGTTTTATGTGCTGACTTGATGTGTTGTGACAGAAACGGGCTGCCCCTGCTTGTAGTGAGTCTGCAGTGTCACCTAGTGGCTGTTTTTTAAATTACATCTTCCAAAGCATTTGTAGTTTTTATCTTGAAATATTAATCTTCCATTTCTTCAGTCAGATATGTTTAAATGCTATAAAAAAAAACCTCATGTTCTTCTCAACACTGACTAAAGAAACATTCCCCCTTCTGCCAAATTATAAACACTGATTATAGTTATAATGTGAGAACAGTGATGTGATGAGCCGTCCTTCAACATAACACAGGGTCAAAAGGCAATGACTTTAAGATACAAAGAGTATTTTAATGTCACAACTCAAGTTAAGTTTCACATATATAACAAAGTGCAGGGTGTCAAATCCAACATAGTTCTGATGATCAGAAGACGCCTTTCTAATCAAAAATAATCTCTAGATTTCTCTCCAATGATCATCTTGTATATAAAGAAGATTTTAACTCAAATACATTATCCACGATTAGAATCACCTATTACACATTTCAGTCACTTCAGTGCAAAATTTAAAAAAATGAGATCCCATCAAATCTTACACTTTCACATTTTTAAAAATTACAGGTGACTTTAATGGCATTTTAAAACAATTACATTTCCGATAATGTATCATTTTCAACTACTTGCAGACACCCTGTAGCATTATCAGGTAGGCTTAATAATATTATACTAAACAAAACGTATACAAGTATCATATAGTTTAATAAGAAAGGAGCATAATCTGAGGGTACAAACACTGATGGAATAAACTTTATTTTTACGTCAAGGAAGGATTAAAGGCTAATGCTGTTAGCTTAACACCGTCTGTAAATATAACTAACTATGACTAGCTTATTCATGTCAATAGAAGCTGTACAAAACATTGATATTAAGTTATATCAGATACAAACGCTGGATATAAATCAGTATGTCTGTATAAAGTTGTTAAATGTAGAGTTGTTAAAGTCATGTAGAGTAAAGAAACAGACTGATGTACAGAGAATTGGTCCTGTATTTGAATGAAGCATCTCTGAGGTTATATGTGTATACAAGTGTCAAACCTTTAGATTTGGTTTGATGGTATTTTATGAAACCCTGAATGAGGAGTATGACCAACAGAATGGTTTTACAGGACGCTGTTTTCTTCCTTTAACTAATGATGGCTTTTCTCTTGGACTGCAGTCTTGTCAAAATAATGACCTCGGACTAAAGACTTTAAACTAATGATGACATGTTGTAAAGAATAATTAGAGAATGGATCAACAAATACCATCATATATATTCAACATATGTCAAAAGGAGTTTGTCAAGAGGACATGTCGGTATTTTAGGGTAAACAGTGTGTGGCCTTGTGGCTGTCTTAAAAGTCTCTTTAGCGCGCATTTAAAACAGAGGATGAAGCAACAAACGTTTTGAAGACATGTGATAATTTGCAACAAACATCATCCCTGGAGATCAAAACAGGATCTAAACTGTGAAGCCAAGATGTGCACGGTACATCTACACTTCACCAAAAGGAGGTGAAGTGATGAGGGATATGTGGCGACTGTCATACAAAGGCACCTTATTAAAGGACGAAGCTGTGTATTCAAAAGGAGAGATGTGATCAAGATGTTGCTGGTGGTCTCACCTGAGCCCACATATGACAGTACTTTCTCTTGAATTCAAGTCTTATCTATTGTTGTCCACTTATGTTGTTGCCTCCAGGATGAATGGCGACAGAGTCCAGTAAGGGACGGAGAGCTTCACCAAAAGGCCTAAAAAGGAAACACATTGGAGAGTTACACTGGAAACAAAAAACATAAAGTAAGTCAAAAAACAACGACTCATTTATCTGCCGACTCACGTGGAAAGTATTTCAGCTGGAAGGTCGGTGATGTACGACGGGATCTTTTTGCCTGTGAGGAACTGAGCCACGTCGCTGCTGAAAGTGTTACAGTTGTGCTCAAACAGGTTGTATTTGTCACCTCTGTGCAGCGAGAGACAAAAAAGAGAGAGAAAGAGACGAGCAGATGTACAAGTTAAGAGGAATGACCGAGAACAGACGGGGTGGAGAAGGGCGGTTCAGTGTCAGGAAAAGACAAGATAGAGACGTTTTGATGGAGAGATAACAGAGAGAACTTAGAAGTGTGAAACTTTAAATACATTACTTTTTAAAAGACGGTGGAGCATTCACCTTGTGAATATTTCTATTGAAATCTTCACTTCTATATTCCATAAGCTTAACATTTTATTTTAGGAACGACTTTGTGAAAAATACGGAAATAAGAGCCTACTACAAAACTAATGTTTATGTCCTTGTCATGGAAAAGCGACCCCTGATCTCTGAGTTGGTCCAATTGGGGATTAAATCTGTGTGATGGGACTGAGCGTGTACCTGTACGTTGACTCTGCCAGCGAAGTCAAATAATGCTTAAATATCTCTTCAGGCACCTCAGTGGAGCCCAGATCCACTACGGAGTCAGGATCACCCAATACAGTGCCACTCTGAGAGAAACAGGACACACACAGAAACACCTCAGTTGACACCTTGTTCCACAAACTTTGGAAAAACGTTTCATGGTATGCTACATTTTAAATATTTCAATTTCCATATACAGTAATAAAAATGGCAAATAGGTATAGAAAGTATAAATGTCTTGCAGGTGAACAACTGTCGATGCCTGCTGCTCCGAAGAAGTACTCCTTTCCATGGACCACAATAGCGGTGTGCCTGTGAGACAAATCAACATCTTGTGAAACCAAGCCAATGAAAGTAGTTTCTTTCAAGTGTTCAGACAACAACAACTTGAGCATTCAGGAAGCTACACTCACCATACTCCATCAAGTTGTTTCCCTGTGACAGTAAAAGAAGAAAGAAAAATTACTCAATCGAAATGGGCTTAATCCAAATGTGTATGTTCAACAGGTTTGCAGAAAAACAAGCTCAGTGTTCAACAAGCAGTATAATCCCAGCTCCATGATATACTGAGTTATAACATCAACAAACAGGTAGTTCAGCAGATACTCACCCAGCATGAGAGGACTCAGCTGACGGGCCATGCCTTTGGATATGTCGTAAATGTACAACATCACAGGGTAAGAGCCCGTTTGCTCCATGACTTAACAAGGAATTTCTTCAAAGTGACACCTTTAGCTAACCTACTGTAAAGTAGCTGAGTCACTTCCACTGAGTCCGGCTGGCTCACCTACCAAAACCAAAATGTACAAAACTTTATCAAAAAGTTTGTCAAACTTTAACTGGAAAAAAAAAAACACAGGCCACAAGCTGTCTCAAATGAAAGGAAATAAATAAATAACAAAATATAAATGTGCCGGTAGTAGCCCGACAGGAACTTTGACACTGTCCTACTGGATATCACAACTGTCAAAAAAAAAAAAGTGCATTCTCATGGAGAGTGAACCCTTTCCGGTGTCGCAAATCCCTCCTACTTCAGTTTGATTGGCCAGTATATCTGATTGGCAGAATGGCGTCCAATAGACGACGAGCTGCAACGCACGACTCAGCGTGCTCGTTCACGCATGCGCAGCTGAGCGCGCCAGCCATTGAAAGACTTGCCTGGACTTGTATGCAGAAAGTGAAATAACACAGCATGTGAGTGTGTTTATGCTTCTTCAGTTATTAAATATGTATTCAGGTCATTGTATTTCTTGTTTAGTCCATAAAGTTTGCGTGCGTAATAAGAAAGATACGTGACACGTAAGTGACAGCATAACTACGATTGAAACCAACAGTGGCTAATGACATGCTAAGCTAGCTAGTCATAGTAAACAACAACTAGAGGAAGCATGCACTTTGTAAAGATGAGCTTAAGTGAAATAGTTCGTAGTGAATAGCTTTGTATCTCGTAGTTATTATAACACTACTACAGAAGTATAAAGTTTTGAGGGAGCACGGCCTATTTGGAATAGAGAAGTCTAACAAATCATTAATTTATCTCAATCTCTTGTTATAGAAATTGGGTGTAACCACTTTGGATTTTCCTGCTGCTATGTCGGGATTCATTTAAGTGTTTGTACAAAGTACAAGTCAGGTGTGCCATCTACCTTAAGCTGGTACTATAAACTTTACATGTCAGATGCCGCTTTAGATAATAAGCTGTTTAATGCTTGGTGTTTTGTGTCCTTATGAATACTGTTGAATTAATTGACAGAACTGTAAGAGGTACAAATGGCAGAGTGGAACGCCTACTACCGGAATGAGGATGATGAGGAAGAGCAAGAAGAGGGAGAACTATCCGGAGGTAAGGTTAAATCCTCCTTGGTACCTCATCTGAAATATAAATAATACTGTTTTGTAAGCTGCCATTGGTCATTCTGATCTTGCCATCAATCCTCTCTGCTAGTTTGGGAACTTTGATGTAATCACACTTGCATGCAGTTTGGTGTTATTAACGTATCATACTTAATTTAAGTTGTTTAGATTTGTTTGATATCAGATCGCATTTGATTTAAAAAACAGTCAAGACATTCTCTGAACCTTTGAAGTTACAAAAGAACAAATCGGGCTCTATGTCCCTGTCAGGAGATTACAAGATCACAGGGAGGGACAGTTTGGTCTTCCTGGTTGATGCCTCGAAGGAAATGTTCATCAAAGGAGAAGATGGACAACCCTCTAACTTTGACATGACCATGCAGGTAAGAAGGCCAGTTGTCTAAAGGCTCTGGGGTGACCTACTCCATAACCTTATTAAAGAATAACCCTATTGGTTGTTTTGCTATACCCTAATGTTCTTGATTTATTTGGTAGGTTGTACGCACTGTGTACACCAGTAAGATTATCAGTAGTCACAGAGACCTGGTGGCTCTGGTTTTCTACGGCACAGAGCAGAGCAAAAATCCAACAAACTCATTCAAGCATGTCTACGTGTACCACGACCTTGATGAGCCTGGTAAGATGCTTCACTTTTGTTTAGACTTACACAGGAGGATCAAACTCCATCTGTTAGTCTCATGTTTTTTTCTGCACAGGTTTGTTGCCAAAAATATAATCAGATCAAATATTCCTCTTAGTAGGTTTTTATTGTTGACAAAAGCAAAGGCTCACTTAAAACCACCAAAGCAGAACTGTTTATTTCATTAAATATCTTGATCTATATCTAGCAAACATAAAGCCCTGTTATAGCTTCTGTACTTAGTCTGTCATATGACATTTGACCTTTATTTTTCTCAGGTGCAAAACGAGTGCAGGAAGTTGACGCCCTGCGAGGGGAGAAAGGAGCCCAACTAGCAGCGGAAACGATGGGTAGTGGGGAGACATCATTGGGGGACGCCCTGTGGTGCTGCGCCAACCTGTACAGTGACGTCAAGCTTCGCCTCTCACACAAGCGACTCATGCTCTTCACCTGCAGAGACGAACCACACAGGGGGGACAGCGCCAAGGACCGTCAGGCTCGCACCAAAGCCAGTGACCTCAAAGAGACTGGTATGTCTGTACTTAAAGACTGCTACGTGTCTCATTCATGTAATATTGCTTTTGTTTGAATGCTCAAAGGTTGCCCTGGAAAATTTGAAATTCTTTAGATGTAGTTTGAATTAAAAATGTTGAAGCTTTGAGGACTACCGGCCAGTATGTAATGGACTCTTTTCTCTTTTCTCTTAGGTGTCATCATTGATTTAATGCATCTAATGAAACCAGGTGGCTTCAATGTGGGGCCCTTCTTTCGTGACATTATAAGTCCTCCAGAGGATGAGAGTGAGTTGGGACTGCAAATGAAGCCCTGTGACAAACTGGAGGATCTCCAGAAGAGGGTGCGGGCCAAGGAGCTGAAGAAGAGAGCCATGGCCAGGTACAGTAGAGATCAGTGATGCTGTTCTGATTTGGGGCAAATAAAAGTTTTTCTGACTTTCTACAGTGTAGACACATTTTTTTTTTGCCTCATCTTTGTGTGTTTTTTATTACTTAAAGCCTCCTATCTAATTCTTCACATCATCCTGCCCTCTCTGCCAACTTTAGATTAAACCTTTGTCTTGGTGAGGGCATAAATGTAGCAGTGGGAATCTATGCAACTGCAGTGACAGCGCGGAAACCAGCTCCCATCAGACTCTACAGAGAAACCAACGAGCCAGTACGCAGCAAAACCCGCATCTTCCACACCCAGACCGGCAGCCTGCTGCTGCCCAGTGAGATAAAGAAAGCCATGGTGAGTGACAACACAATTTAATTGTTTACTTTTTGTTTTGTTGTTTACCAGTTCATCTTGAATAAAGGTCCATACTGACTGCAAATGCAAAATTAACTTGAATTCAGTCTTTGATCGACATGCAATTGAGTAAATATCAGTGATTTCTTTGCTCAGTAACGTTCTTACCTTTCTCTGTGTCTGTTCTTGTGCGTCTGTTGTAGACTTATGGTAAAAAGCAGATTGTGATGGAGAAGGACGAGGTGGACGCCATCAGGAAGTTCGAGGACCCCGGACTGTTTCTGATTGGTTTCAAACCCATGGAGGCGCTCGAACGTCACCACCATATCCGACCTGCTGTCTTCCTCTATCCTGAGGAGGGCGAGGTGAAAGGTAGCAGCTTTTGTCTGTTTGAACGTGTTTTCATCATTGTTCACGGCCTGAATAAACATTTTTTTACTTACTAAGTTTTTATTGTATGTAAATAAAGACCTAAAGTTGGCAGAAAGTTTTTAAAAATAAAAATACAAATGTTAATTTTATACAAAGTCCAGCTTATAAATGGTAGAACCCGAAAAAAATGTATTTTATTTTTTTTATTCAATATGAATGATAATTTCTGGTGCTGAGGATTTAATGTGTAGTTTATTAGGACAGTCTTGTGAATGTATGTTCAAGTGAATAATGGTGCAGTATTGTATGTTTGCTGATCTCTTAAATTTTATGTTTTCCACCTTAGGTAGCGCTTGCCTCTTCTCTGCCTTGATGACAAAATGTAGCGAGAAGAATGTGTTCGCTTTGTGTCGCTGCATCGCTCGACGAAACTTATCCCCTCGATTTGTCGCCCTGGTGCCTCAAAAAGAACAGGTCGACGAGGGGAAAGTACAGATTACACCTCCAGGTAATATGTGCCAAGTTCTGTCCCTGTATTTAGCTTTTCAGTTCATAGTAATACACAAGATAGGGTCATATTTTATTGTCCATATCACTGTGTTTTACTGAAGCTGGATCACAATCTTCTCCTTTCTCATCTGTGTCAGGTTTCAATGTCATCTACCTGCCATATGCTGATGACATGCGGACTCTGGATACTCCCCAGTGCCCATCAGCCTCACAAACACAAGTGGACAAGATGAAGGAGATTGTCGCCAAGCTGCGCTTCAAATACAGGTTCCTGCACATGATCAGTGCTTTACAGAGATATTTTACACTTTCAGCTGTTTGATAAGAAAAGGGCACAGTATTGAAATTACTGAAGTGTGTTTGGTGTTGTTGTTTTGCCACTTAAAAATTATTTCTCAATGCGGGGCATACATTTGATTGAAGAGTGATCTCTGCTGATAACAAGGCCATGCTTTGTTTTTATTCCTGTAACATCTCCATGTGTTTTTAATGCAGGAGTGATGCTTTTGAGAACCCCGTCATCCAGCAGCATTACAGGAACCTGGAGGCCTTGGCTTTAGATATGATGGCTCCAGAGGACACAGAGGACCTCATCAGTAAGACAAACGTTTAAAGAGCTCAGTATCTTTTATAGTATAGCTAGTTGTTCCTCTTTCACTCTGTGTGCACTCACTCATCTTTCCCCCTTTTCTTTGTCTCAGTGCCAAAGGTAGACCAGATTGATCGCCGTCTTGGACCTTTGGTTGAAGAGTTTAAAGATCTGGTCTACCCTGACGGATACAACCCTGAAAGCAAACCAGCTGCCAAACGCAAAACAGGTCAGAGCTGGCCTCAAAACAGAAACGTAGCAAAATTGCTGTATCTTTGTTGTTCTGCATTATGATACCATAGATATGAGATTCCTTTCTTAGAACAAAGTACCTGTAAGGGTTTGATAAATCATGTGGTAACAAAAAGACTAAACATTTTTGACTAAACATCTTCTTTATTAATTGATTTTCAGCTGACGCCGGAGGTGCGGCTGAGAAGAAACCCAAAGTAGAGTTGGGAGAAGATGCACTGAAGGCCCATTTACAGAACGGCACCCTGGGAAAGCTGACCGTACCGGTGTTGAAAGAGGCTTGTAAACAGTTTGGGGTTCAAACCACCGGGACCAGGAAACAGGAGCTGATAGATGCACTTACCGCCCAGCTGGGGTCATGAGGGGTTAGAAATAACCTCAATCTGCCTTTATGAGCAGGCAAACATTTAAAGATCAGATTTTCTGATGTCACACTTGATTCCAGGTATACAAATATGTCTTCACAGCTGTGGATTTTGAGACAGACGGGGAAAATGTTCAAACAAATAAGTTCTTATTAGGATCAAACATGGTTTTTTTACCTCTGTTTTGCAAGGCTGCATGGTTAAGTGTAGCTAAGTGCTAAACATAAATCATGTTTGAATGTCAAATTAAAAAAGTTGATTTTTCTGTTTTGTTTTGTGTTCAGGTGCCTTCAAACTGCTTGAGTTGGATGTAAACATAAAAAAGTTTTGTACTTTTCTTTACATAAAAATACTGTAACAAGTGTTGCTCCATGTTGCATTAATAAAACACTTTATTTTTATTGCCCTGTTTATACTTTGTTCTATTGTAATATCTGCATGAGTCAGTAAACCGTACACATTAAGCAGCCTTTCAGGTTCTTCTTGTGGCAGAGAAAAGGTGTGTCCATCCTAAGTAAGACGGCAGCATAATCAGCATACCTGGACCTTCATACTTCTTTGTTTTCTCAGCACAATAAAGAGCAGAGTTCCAGCTGAGGGCAGGCCTGCACAGGAGAAGGTTTCCACACAACAGCAGGAAGAAGGGATCGCACACAACATGGACCTCGTGTTGGTTTCAACAGGTTTTAAGTGGAAGTAGATGTCATTCCTGTTTTAGGATAATCTGACTACACAGCAGGTAAAGCTTTAGTAATAACCTGGCATTGCTGTAAGATAATGGGTTACAACATGTATTTATAGAGTTTGCTCAAGGTTTTGTGCTTAGGTTTTGAAACTGATTGATTATGAAGAGTTATTGGACTGACTTAATTTTCAAAATCATGTACAGACACTTAACATTCGCTGTTATTGAAGCTTGAATCCAGATGTTATTGCTGTTTCGAGGGTGGTTGTTGTTTTCGCAATGGACGTGTGAAACGTAACTTTTAGGGCTTTTATTTTGAAAGCTGTGGGCAGAAGTGCTGTAACGTGTTCCGCTACTATAAAAGTGACTGAAGGTACTTCAACAGAGTAGAAATGGAGTGTCAGTGTGAAAGAGACAACACGGAGGATGCAGGTGAGATACACTTTTTTTCGTCAATTATACCTTTAACAAATACATATGGGATATTCTATGAAATAAAAGTGTTTTTTTAACTTTCATTCTTTGATAAAAACAATTCAAATTAGGAATAACCCACATTTCTGTTTAAGTATTATATTGTCTGATGTTATTGAGTACTTACTTACCGGCAGGAGTTTAATATTAGCACATCACTTATCGTTCAGTATAACTCATAAACACCAAAGTATTTTTGACTTCCGGGTAAGCTTTTCAAAATAAGTATGATAAATCCAAGGCTGGTTTTCCACTTTTAAGTCTTGAGTAAATTCACACACAAAATAAGCATTTTATGTACTACACAACAACTTCAAAAGCATTTCATTAAATAGTTTGCCTGAAACTTATGTGCTGTTTTATCTGAGCTGCCATATCTCATATTGTGCTCAAGTGGTCTGCCATAAAAACAGAGTATGATAAAGATGTTAAGATTAAAATAAAAGATATTTGACTGTAAACCTTCATACACAAACTCACCCACACAAAGCCCTGAAAGTTTCCTAGGATTTAGAGAAGTAGGTCGAAGGTTAATCACATGATAAGTTGTGTACAACATTACAGTCCTAATGTGGTGCTTTCCTTCCTCTCTTCTCTGTTTAGGCTGGTGGCTGAATGGAAGCAATGTCCAGATGGGAGCTTTTACTGTAGTGGGGTATCTTCTCTACAGATTCTCACAGAGTCAGTAATCCACACACATACATCTTCTTATGAATTTGGCAAAACGGAGACTTCCACTGACACAGAAGCCATATTGTTAAGAGTATTGACTAACCTCTTCTCCTCAGAGGTCGTACTGAGCACTGAAGAAAGACAGCAACATAAAATGTGAAAGTCAGCTCGTATGAGAAATGGCTTTGATGAGAACAGACATCCATGATTATTTCATCAGGGTTGTTCTCACAGAGGACGACCTTAACTTCCCTCAGTTTTATTGATAACAGTTTACATACAGTGTACCAATTTACAAGAACAGATCTATTCATTCATTGATCAAAAACACACTGTTCTAAAGGATAAAACAGGCAATCTTTTTCAAATGGTCAAAATACCAAATACAACTGCGATTTAATTAATCAATTATTCACACTAACAAGTGTTGGCTCTGTTGCCAGGCCCACATTTACCCCATTACTGTCCTGCTGAATTCAACTACTGAGCAAATGCAAAAACTGTATGCAAATCCGTAGACGTAAATAGTTCTTATCAAATGTACATTGAACTCCTGATTGTCTAGCATGAAGGATGTAATGCCTAGTGGTTAGGACATTAGAGCCATTAAAAACAGTTTGAACTGCAAACAGTTTTTCCATCGTGATTAAAGATTTACATTTTAGTCCATTATAAAATATAGACTAACACTGACCCTAAACTTTGAAATGATAAGGATCCTATTTGAATAATGCTTTTCACAATGGGTCTATTACTAATATGGGTTATTATAGTACAAGTTATTTCATATATATTATACTGTTATACACACTGACAACCAAGGTATGTAACTGAGTAGACCTGGTAAAGCTTTTTTTTAATGTTTCATGAACATGTTTGGTAATGAAGCACAGAACTGTCCCATGTAAAGGGATTTCTGATTATTTACTTACTGACTGTCATATGTATGTACATGTAGATCAATCAATCCATTTTATTTGTATTACACCAATTTATAACAAATGTTATCTCAAGGCACTTTAAAAAAAAGAGCAGGTCTAAACTGTTCTCTGTAGAGTAGTATAGTGGAGGGTTGCATTCTGATTTATTATTAGTTTAACTCCTGTTAATTATTGAATTTTGTATAGTTAGAGCAATTTGCAATCAGGCTACTGAACTTAACATTCTCTAACAGGTTCAATGGGTCCTTTATTACTTGCATTAACATGTGCCTGTTGGTGGAGCTGAGATGTGGCCATAAAGTATTGAAATGCACTTCCCTACTAAACCAATAAAAGATGCCATTAGTCCCATCATTCCCACGCAGCATTGCCTTGAAATATATAATCAGTCCAAATGACAGATCAGTAATCTATCACTCTGCATCACAGTCCTGGAAACAGGGCACTAGGCCGTCCAAATGTGGTCCAAGGGAAAACTTGTCATCAATGTGTTTCTTTCACGCCTGTGCTTAGAGCTAGTCAGATGTTTTTGGATCACTAAGGATTCATGTTAATGCCAGGGCCAAACCCTTCCTCAGGCCCAGGAAAAGGAAAAGTAATACTTGTAAACTGTCAAGATGGCTGCCAACACTCGTTATGCCTTCCCTTCTGTGACTGAAACATGCAGGTTAAAATCATGTCACCTTGTGTTAAAACCTGTTTTTTTTTTTTAAATCTCATTTTTTTAAATCTCGTTTTTCCAGCCAGTCCCAGTAAAGCCAGAGATTGTGTGTTCATGTTTGCAATGATTCTACTGATTGAATTTGAGGTCTTAACATGCTATATGTGAAACAATCACATGAAAACTAAGAAAATAGGAAAGTACTGAAAGTAGTCTGTTTCCTCTGCAGCCCTCCCAGCTCTGATCCGATGGCCGATACGTTTGTTCTGCTCTCTTACTGGTGAGTGAAGTTTAAGTTAATGGTCAGATGTCAGAAGTCTAACGACCCGGACCCTATAAATAAGTACAGTACACAATGTAATTGTCTTTGTGTATGATGGGAAACAAAATCAGCAGAAAATGAATCTGTGTTTCTGCTTTAGGTCTGTCAGCCCTCTGGGGCTGGGTGAGCCACCTGGTGGGAACCCTGCGTGGTATATAATATACAATCACTCATTTTTAATGCATCTGAAACAAACTACAACATGTCTCATGTCACCTCTGGATAAGTCGTATCTTACCTTTCTGTCCTTGTCTTGTCCAGGAATCCAGAGTTTGTGTAAATGGCTGTCTCGAGTTTGGAAGTTCTTCGTAGGTGAGGGCTCACTGTGTTTTTATTGACTGTTGTTTACTCTTCCCTGTGTGCTTCAAATTGGCTTTTAGTGAAGGTCAGGGGAAAATTTACAGTTAGAATGGGTAGGTTGGGAAAATGAGAGGAAGTGAGTCAGAAACTCACCACACACATGACAGCAATTTAGTATCTCAGGGGGGGCGTGTCTATTTTAGAGATAGATCTACATAATAATTATAGGCCTGTAATTACAGTTAAACCGTCTGAGTAACAATCTGTTCCTCCATCAGGATGTTCCTCTAAGTTCAAGTGGCTGGGAGCCCTCATTAGAAAAGTCACAGGTTGGTTTACCTCTCAAGCCCAGTTGAGGTTTATACTGAGAATCTCAGCTTTTCTGCTTTTTTGAAAATGTATCTACTAAAAAGAAGAAAAAAAATTCTGCAGGTTCATCAAACGATGGGACACTGGAGTCAGAGATAGATCCAACCAACGTACCAGGCCTGAGGATGATCCTCATTGGACCCAATGGAGGACATTCCTCGCTGTCAAATACTTTGTTGGGCACCAGGGAGACAAAGCAACCCATAGGTCATCTAACAGAGAGTACAAAGATAAAGACTCTGTTAGATGGGAGAGAGGTTACAGTGATCGCCACCCCGGATATTTTGGGGCCTTCTTTGGGGAACAACAAAAGAGCCAAGGAAGCTCTGAGGAGCCTCCAGCTCGCCAGTCCTGGACCACACGTGTTCCTGCTCGTGATCCCGGCTCCTGAGTCGAGCACAGGGATCAACCAGGAAGCGGCTCAGGCGATCCAGGCCACACATGAACTGTTTGGAGACGGGGCTGTGGAGTATATCCTCCCGGTGTTTACCCATGTAGTCAATCGAGGCCGGAAACAGACAGTAGAAAAGCTGCTGGATGGAGATGCTGGTGGTCTAAGAAGGGCTCTGTCTCCTTGTGACCAGAGGCCAGAACTGGTGGATATCACTCCAGACCGCCCCCTGGAGGAGCAGAGTGTGCTGCGCAAGCATCTGCTGGGTCGTGTGATGGAGATGAAGACACTGAGAGGGCATTTTGTGCACGAGCTGCAGAGGAGGGAGGACCGCATCAGGGAGGAGCTGTTAGCTGACATGACCTCTGAAGTGGCTAGAAAACTGGGTCACATGTAAACAAAGAGATGGGGTTGGTCAGTCTTACAACTGCTGAACATGCAATTTTAAAAATAGAGCGGTTATTTTTTGCACAAAGTAATTTTTGCCAATGCGCTGGCTTACCTCTGAACAGATGAATGCACTACCACTGGCTGCCTTTAGTTTCCATCATTAGATGGGTACATTTGGTTACCTCTAGGCTTACTCACTCTTAATGTTCCTATTCTGGTGTGTTATGATATGTTGATGACAGTTTACTCTTTAGTTTAAACCTGTGTCTCTGTTGTGTTTGTTTCTATGCTTTGTATCCCCCATCATTTTGTAATTTACAAGAGATATTCAACTTTAAAAATGATCAGGGAAAATGAACTCAGGTCATACTGCGAGTAGAGTTCAGGAGTGCTGTTCGATGTGTTCAGTGCAATCTTCTACATCGCATTTTTTAGCTGTGATTATTAAACATTAATGAATGTTCTGTCCCATATTTTTAAATTTTATATCATATACTGTTATTCTTTCTGCAGATATGTAAACATACTCACCTTCATAGTCATCCTGGTGTAGACATGTATGCATCTGCTTTTTTCTAAAAATTCAATAAAGATCCTCTCTCCTGCTCTTGATTTTTTGACTGGAATCCAAATATGGTGACCTAAACCAATCAAATAGAGGACTTGCCTGTCTTCTGACCTCTGACATGAGAAAAAGAAAGGTGGTCGTGAAGAAAAACATCCACTCCAAAATGTAATTCCAGTCGTCTTGATTAGTGCTGGCTCTGGGATCCTGTTTGAATAGCTGGAGGAAGATAGTGAAGAGCAAATAGTTAGCTCATCACAATAGAGGACTTGCCTGTCTTCTGACCTCTGACATGAGAAAAAGAAAGGTGGTCGTGAAGAAAAACATCCACTCCAAAATGTAATTCCAGTCGTCTTGATTAGTGCTGGCTCTGGGATCCTGTTTGAATAGCTGGAGGAAGATAGTGAAGAGCAAATAGTTAGCTCATCACACTCTCTTGCCATCAACAGTCTGAGTCTGACCACCAGACAAATAGAAAGAGAGATGGTGCTAAAGATGAACGCAACAATTATCAACACACCATGTGTTGGCATCTGTTAAGCTGTTTATAGGTAAAAGAGAAAATCTCCCAGATTTGGAGCTGTAACGTTTTCTATCTGAGTAAGGTGTGAATAATGACTGTGGTTGCATATGTACGTTGTGTCCCTTCAGCAGTACTTGACACAGCTGTTAAAATCAGTTTTCTTCACTGCCATCACTGCCGATTGGACAAAGTTTGTTGCCATCAAAGAAAACTATCACATCTGGCTTTTCTGGTCTCATTCTTTGCTTGTATTGCAAAGTAGCTGCAACATTACACGACAAAATACAAAAATGGCATCCAAAACGTATGAATGAATAAATATTTTATTTTTTGTCATTCACATGAACCATCCCTCATGGGATTATTCAAACACATTAACTGAGGATCAACCAAATGTTTCAGCGTGTCAGTCCGCCAACATCAAAAAGCACAACATGGACAATAACATCATTAAGTAAACATGACTAATTACAATCCAGGCGGTACAAAAACAAAGAATATACCAACAAAATTAAGTTCTATATATAGGCCCATAGCCTCTTTACATGGGGCTTGCAGCATAACCACGAGGCTACGATAAAGGGGACAGTATAAATTAAAATGAATTATATTTTCTACTTACTTTAGCTCTTTTGTAACCCTGTATTCCTGACACATGGTTTAAAAATTTTGGCTATAGCACCCCTTAACCCCCCTTCTACTTGCTGAGTCCCAAGATATTTATATTTATCAGTAAATTTAAGTTTTTTTCCCCCTGCAGAGGAATGAAAACTACTCCTCTCTTTACCTGCTTTAGGAAAATGCATAGCTTGTGTTTTATTTTAAACTATACAAAGTCTTCATGTTTACACCATGCAATTGGTTACTAAAGCAATACATCACAAGAGGAATGTTGAATATCAGCACTTCTGTGATATCGGTCATAAACCCAAGGATGAAGATAATCTCAGCTAGACCTCTTACAGCAAGAGATGAACTTATCATTTTTTTGTTTGTCTAAACATTCTCGATTCTCCCCAAGAAAAAAACACCTTAGTAAATTAACTGAAGATGGACTGTTTCTTGAGTTTGTATTTATCTGACGGAAAGGTTGTTACTCAGCACACAAGACACCCCAACCACTGCCTCAAAGTGATTAAAAAGTGTCTTTGTATCTGCTGAATGAAAAATATTGGCTGAAATGTTTTCCTACTGGTAAAAAATCTAGTGTTTCTCCTTTGACATCTCAGCCTAATGTCTTATATGCAGTTCATCCTGCTGTGGATTTTAAAAAGTATTATCAATTTATGGTTTGTTTTTTCCAACTGAGTCGTTTTCCATCTACGGAACCCCTGAATTCCCAAAAATTAACTTCTGCGTTTTCATATTATTTTATTTTTATTTTTATGTTTTTTACTTTTTGGGACTTCAGGGGCTCCGTAGCCATCTGATGTAGCCTTTATGAGACCTATCAGTCTCACTTGTGCTCTGTTTTATTGCACGCAAATGAGAAAATATCTGCCTCATCAGCTACTAGATCCTCACATGCTAGTTGTTACTTTGTCTTCCATGCTTACCAAATGATGGAAGTTATAAATGAATCAAAACAATAAAGCTTGAGGCCAAAAATCAAAACAATGAGCTATGAGTGGCTTAACAGTTTCATAGTCCTCCGTCTAAACAGAACTGCTAGGTAGAGTGATAATTATCTGCTGGCTCATAATGTCTCCTAATCATGTATATTGTATAAAAATATAAACAATAAAAAGCCTAAAATAGACCTATAGTGCATGTCCATAGGATCCTGTCTGTGCATGTGTGTATATTTCATCTTATGTGTGTGTTCATGACTTACAGAGTGTAAAAACAGAATTTCCCCTTGCGGGATCAATAAAGTTAATCTTAATCTTATCGCCAATCAAAAATGAATGGTTATGGCCACGTAACACATTCAAAACCCAGAAGTGAAAGAAATGTGGTGGTGGTATCTTTTTATACATAATAAAAACCCCAGAGCCTCAAAGTCATGTTTTTATGTTTTATTTCATTAGTTAAGAAAAAAGTGTCTCAGGGGAGGAACTGCTCCAACTGTCTACTGACGCAGGCTGTGACAGCAATATGGAGCCAGGGAAACGCTACTGCGCATGTCCGCGTCTGCACGGACGGAGAGAGAGAGAGAGAGAGAGAGAGAGAGAGAGAGAGAGGGAGACAGAGAGAGAGAGAGAGAGAGAGAGACAGAGAGAGAGAGAGAGAGAGCTATATCAGGGAAAAAGTGGCAAAGACAAAGGACTGAACAGTCATAAGGACAAGCAGGACGGAGTAAATGTCGTATATTTACCGGGTTATGTTCGTTCTGCTGTGACACGTCGGGGCAGGAAGTCGTCAGGTGAGTGTTCAGTTTGAGAAAATGAAGTTATAAGACGTAAAAGGAAGCGTTGTAGTTGTGTTTGCTGTAAACTGGAGTCACGTAGAGCACACAGGAGACTTAGCGACAGATATCTGTTTCTGTCCTGGATTTATTGCATCTGTACATTAACTATTTTCAGCGACTATTGTCCCTCTTTAATGGATTTAAAGCCGTTCTGTTTGTGTGTCTTGATTTCTTTATGCGGCGCTGTTGTGATATTCTGCTAGCTAACTGAGCAGCCTGCTTCCTCTATCCAGTCCAAATGTTTACCTTCTTATTATGAGGTCTGCAGACCCACAGTAACGTCTTATAGTGTTATTTCAGATATCTTATCAGCATCAACAACTGAGACTATTTCACTTTAAGGGTTTGTTTAAGCTTTTTGACTAACTAAGTGTGTAGTTTTTTAAGATGAGATTTTGGGCTCCACTATCTTGTGGGAACTTGTGTCAATATTTTTTTGAAATCTTAATGATTTATTTCTGTATTTCAGGTGTTTTTTTGTGGCAGCGTTACTGCAAAGCATCAAATATCCCTGGTCAAAACCTGGCGATGGAAAGAAGCGCAGAGCTGCAGGCTTGATGACTGGATGGATGGAGAGAGCTGTCAACACACGGAAACTTACAAAAGATGGAGGAAGTGGAAACACACAGGGAGCAGCTGCAGTTTGCTTGATGACACCACTGTGATGTTGTGGGAGGCGTAGTCTTTAATTCGGGAGCATCTGGAGTACCGTTTGTTTGCTGGCAATCCCATCTTCAGTTCCGTTTGGTACCGTCTCTCTCCTGTTGACCTCTCATCACATCGTTCCTTTAGAGAGAGCAGGTGTTGCTGTCTTAAACAAGCCGCAGGTCTCATTTACCTCACCACCCCCCACCGCCCCCCCCCCCCCCCCACCTCGACCATTCACAGACACACACACAAGCTCCTCTCCTCCAAGCGGCTGAGAGGTTGCTATGGCAATGGTTGTCATGATGCTGCTGATGTAGCATTCGGGAAGGTAGTAGTTGTGGAGGTAGTGGTGGAGCTGGAGGAGGTGGCGGCGGCTGTGGCGGTGCTTGTGGTGAACATCCAGGGATGGGAAGCGCTCCCTATCCAGCTGGCGAGTGGAAGGGGAAGGGGCGAGGCGGCCTGCAGGAGCTGGGCTGCATGCCCTGGAAGGTCGGCAAGCAGAAAGGAGCGGGTGGAGGAGGAGGAGGAGGAGGGGAGGTAGTGGTGGGAGCGGAGGAGAGGAAGAGCAGGGATCCCACAGACTCTCAGCAGCAGCAGGATCTCTCATCTTCCTCGTCCTCTCTCACCTCTCCGCTGCCTCCTCAACCTTCTCTGACACCTCCGGCCATATACCACGAGAAGCAGCGGAGGGAACTGTGTGCTCTGCACGCCCTCAATAACGTCTTCCAAGACGGGACAGCTTTCAGTAGGGACACCTTGCAAGAGATCTACCAGAGGTGGGTATCTGGTTCATTCATCTTTATCACTGTTAGGCCTGTATACATGAAATGTTTTGTATAATCTGTTTATCCCTCTTGTCTTCTTGTTGCAGGCTTTCTCCCAGCACTCTGGTGACACCTCACAAGAAGAGCATGCTGGGAAATGGGAACTACGATGTTAATGTCATAATGGCCGCCCTGCAGACCAAAGGGTTTGAGGCGGTTTGGTGGGATAAAAGAAGGTATGTGGAGCTGTAAATATCTCTTTGTTGTTTTGTTTAAGATTGACTTCCAAACCTGTTTATCTCAACTGCTTGTGTTGTAGCTGAAGTTTATCTTAGTCTGCTGCGCTTGTTGTTTCTCTAAATGATCAATATGAGGGTCAGGGAGACCAGGCCTTCACCCCCCCCCCCCACCTCTCTTGTTTTTTGCAACTTCTTATCTTCCCAGCATGCACATGGTGACAGAAAAAAAAAAAAAAACACTTGTTTTTCCTGCTGTGGCGTCAGCAGTTAAGAAGCATCCAGTGAAATCTTAGAATGTCACTTGAGGTAAACGTTGTAAAGAGGTCTACTGTGTCCTCTTCTGCACCTCAGTCAGCTAATCAGCAGGCCTCTGAATGATCTCTCTTGGATTACTCAGCAGTTTCATCAGTTCACAAAGACTGGGAGACAGTTTTATCTTCCTGTTACCCTCCTTTAAAGTCTTACGTGACTGAGGTCAATAACAGGAGCCACAGACGTGCTCTATCAGTCCACCGTTGGTGTTATCGCAAAAACCAAATTCCTGTTTCTCTGTCTTGACCAAAACAGGAACAAAATCGTAGCTACATAAACAACGACGCTTCTCTCTTAAGTTGATTGATGAAACACAGAGGTGATTTAACCGAGTGCATTTGCATTGTATGCATTGTAAATGTTTAACAGTGATGTGATTAAGCTTCTAACTAAATACACAGTTTACAGACTACCTCTTCAATCTTACTGTACAAATATTAAGCTGTGTCTTTAGGAAGGACGAGATGTTTCCTGGATGAGTACAAGACCGTTTTGGTTCTGTTTGGGATTGAGCTTTGACCGGGGATATTTTGAATTACTCTCTACTTATGGGAAACTCTGACAACCAAGATTTCAGAATCGGTTTTGAACCAGAAACCTTGTGAATGCCAGATGGCCTGGCGGTTATGGCGTGCGTCCCGTGTACAGAGGTCGTAATCCTCATCGCAGCAGCCATGGGTTTGAATCCGCCCTCTGCCCTTTGCTGCATGTCATCCCCTGCTCTCTGTCCTATCAAATAATGCAAAATCACCCAAAGATATCATCAATGGATGCTTATTATGGAAACTCTTTATTTTACAGTTAATTTTCCTTTTTGTAAATGTAGTTTATGTTTTGTTTTAAACCCTATAAGTAGAGCTGCACAAAGATTGAAAATTCGTCAACAAAGCAATATTAGCATGTGAAACAAACACACAGCAAAATACTGCTAGAATCACAAGAAAAGTAAACACATTTAATATCTACATTACACAGGGCATTCACACTCGGCATGCAAACATTTGTCCTATAAGCTGGACCCATGGATACATGGGCCGTGTGCATTCACACCATTTCACCAATCAAGCCTCGGCTAGCTGTCAGCTAGAATCAGACTGATTGGTGTCCATTTGGTGCCTGTGGGTACTATGAGTGTAGCTTGTATGACTTCTGAGGAATAAGAGCAGCATGATGAAAACAGGGCTGATGAAGAATGTGTGGTGCAAATAAAAATAAATTCTTCTAATTTGAATTATCTTGTATTCAAGCCTAAAAGCAAAACACATCAGAACCAAACTGTATCAGTAATTCAATGATTATCTGTGACTGTCATCTCATCAATGCAGTGTTAATCTACAGTGAGAATAGATCTCTACTGGAAAAGGAAATTCATCCAGGTCTAAGACTTTGTATAAGAACAGCTGCTTGGTTTCAAAAGTCAACTGATTGCTGAAGTGCCTGAATTCTGCGTTCTTTCAAATGGCCAGCAGGGGTCGACTTTATTGGTTGGCCTAAGACAAGAAGTCCAAAACACCTAACTCAGCACATTTTATGTATTTCTTTATTTTTATTTAACCAGGAAAGAAACTCATTGAGATTAAAAATCTCTTTTTCAAGAGTGTCCTGGCCCAGGCAGCAGAAGTCTTATTTTTATTTAATTTGTGTATCAAATCTATGAGCCAGGTGTGTTTCTCACCATGTTAGAAACATTTATCATCTCTGGGTGTATGGCATCTGCTGTTGAAAATAGCAGTGCATTAAATTTGGTCAGGCTACCTTACAGTAGGGTTGATAATGTTCTAGCCGGAAACTCTGTTAAGATCTTCAATAAAGGAAGAAGCAAGGGTGCAGCTAACAAATTGAATTGACACCGCTAATGATAAAGCACACGTCAGTTAGGTTTGCAACTTTTTTCAGCATGACAGTGACTTATTTCTCCACACAATAACGATAAAGTAGTGCATGTTTATAAAGGAAGGAACAGATAATCCGCATAAACATAAAAACATTCAGACAATTCAAAACCCAATTTAAAAAAACACCAAATTTTATACTGAAACCGTTTAATACTCTAATATGAAATATGAGTTGGGGGGGGTTTTCCGTAATTTTTATTTTTTCAGAAACTAATCTCAAAATGTAGAATTTCATCTCTTATCTCCTAAGCTCGACCACAAAATGTGAGTTTATCAAAAGTAAAAGTTTGCTCCTTCCTCCAGGGATGTCGGCAGCATCGAGCTCACCAATGTGACGGGCTTCATCCTGAACGTGCCGTCCAACCTGCGCTGGGGGCCTCTCCGGCTGCCGCTCAAACGGCAGCACTGGATAGGAGTCAGAGAGGTGGGAGGAGTCTACTACAACCTGGATTCAAAGCTGCGCAGCCCTCAGCCCATCGGCAACCCGGACGAGCTCAGGTGAGAATGATGCTTTATGTTTGTTCGTTTACGTCGACTGCCATTATCAGAAACTCCGAAAGTTGTAAGACTTTGGATTAATTGTGCCATAGAGAAACATCCAGAAACTTTTTTTTTTTACAGCTATGGCTGCAGGCCATAAAACTTCTGCGATTAATTCACAATGTCTGCTTTGCAGTGAAGCAATTAATTTGTTCAGTCAATAAAAAATGTAATCACTACAGCAAAACAAACACCCTACAAAGTAGTCTGTCTTCTATCTGTTATCTCTCTAAATGTTATCAAAAAAACTCAGCATATATCTTTACAGAGTTCAGTAGACTCACAATCTGTCAGTGACACTTAGCTCTTCTTTTGCCTCTTTTCCCATACGTCAACAAACGCATGGGAAGCTGAGAATCTTCCAACATGAGTCTTATCTCAAAAGAAATGATCTACAGTACTAACTGTGATGGAAGTAGAAATGGGTGATGTAAACAGACGCCTGCCCAGCTCCTTTTTGTTATCACTCACATGCTGAAAATATGTGAAGTTGTTTCAGCTTCCTCAGAACATCATGCTGGTATAACGTCCTGTGACTGAGTCTTTGGCTAATATCAGTGTCAGTAGCCCGGCTGGAGAGAGACTCCTCAGGGTGCCAGTTTGCAAAGACCTGTTACTATGTACTAACTTTGTATTCCTGATCCAAACATAACCCCAAATTAAAGAAACTGAATCACTACTAATCTCAAATTAAAGTCTGCCAAGTGAACTGTCTGCTGGCAGCAGCTGCTCTAATGATTTGACATAAGTTTTTCATCTTGCATATCTGTGTCTGTCCTTTTTTGACCACGCTCTAGGAAGTTTCTTCGCCAGCAGCTGCGAGGAAAAAACTGTGAACTCCTGTTAGTCGTCTCAGAGGAAGTGGAGGCGCGCCAAACATGGCGGTCTGATGGCTAACAGTTTAAACCAGCCGATCACTGCTACAACAGGGCCAATGGGCCAATCGCAGAATGAAGAGGAGAGGGAGTAGGGTCTTGCACAGCCAATCACATGGATGCACACTAGCAGATGTATTTTTTTCCCCTCTTTTTGGGTTCTGTTTACACAGCCATTGCTGGACTCTTTTCTGATAAGATGCAACGCAATTAAGGAAGCAAGCACTTCCCAGGGAGAATCAAAGAATCACAGTCCTTTACTCACACAACAGTTATGACTTACTAAGAGTTACTATTCTGTTTCTGCTATTCTTGTGTTTTTTATTATATATATATATATATATATATATATATATATTGACTATTTTTTAATGTCACTTGGGATCCGTTTTTTCTTTTTTTTTTCTTTTTACTGTTCAAGTTTCCAAAGTCATGGGAGTGCAGGGCAGGCTTTCTGAACGATGCTTTGTTTGTTTGTTTGCCTGTCTCCCTCAGTGATCCTCCTCCCTGCCTCAGTCCTGATCTTCACTGATGTGTCTTCTTGCTTCTGTCTCTAGCTTCATGATGTGAATCACTCTCTGCCCTTCTATCCTTCACCTTCACCAAAATGTGCCGTTCCTTGCCTTGATATGTCAAAATCAGCGATGAATCACATTGCCAACTTTTTTTTTTTTTTTTTCATTTCCCAAACACTTGTGGCAGGGACTGAGCCTACACTGTGTACAGAGGCTGTGCCCACACAACAGTTTTATATGCAACAAAGCAATGCAACAGCCAGGCCAAGCACTCCCTCTAGTGGAGGTTTGACTCTGCATCCTTATACTGAAGACATAACAGCATCATTCAGTCACTATTCCTTTTAATGATTCACTTCTAAATGGATGCTTTAAGTAATGAAGAGTGCTGGTCATGAAAGAAAACATGCGGCAGAGGCTATTCTCCAAATGATACAGACTCATAATATAATAAGGGTCAGGTTATGGCAAATAGAGCACTGGTTGTTTAAATTATTGAACAGTTTAAATGATCAAAATCTGCCAAAATATTTCTAAAATTGTCCAAACTTGGTATTGATATGTAAAGATGAAGTCTAACTCTTCATCTTTGACCGTAGAAAATGAAAATCAACAAAACAATCACAACTTCAGGACTGCTTACGAGCTTATTCTTCAGTTTTTGACAGAAAACCTCAAAGTTCCAACTTTTTAGGTCTAAACGTGACGTGTTGAAGATCACTCAGTTGTCAGACAGAAAATTAATTGGCAGCAATTTTTTTAATCATAATTCAGTTTTCAAACTTCAAAAGTCTGATTATTTGATCATTTAAAGTAAACTGTTTTTTTGTTTTGGACTGTAAGTCAACAAAAACCATCTGATTGAAATACATAAACTTGAGCTCTGCCAAAAACAATTACATTTCAGACATTTCACTAACCAGATATTTAAAGAAAAATTATTAACAGTTCAGTTCATAAGGAAACTAACCATTTCCTGGGTAAACAATCGGCTGCTGGTAATGGGCTATTTAGTCAAAAACCTCCAAACAGCCGATTAAGTGACCTTTGAAATTGTCATTAATCATTTAAATTTAGAAAGGAAAAAATACAACCACTTCATAGGTGTAAAGAAATATATTTTCTTTTTTCAAATATTACTCAATATTTTACCACAGTGTTAACACGACATCACTCAGACGGGATGCAGAATAAGGGACAAAACCTTTCTTCTTAAGCGCAGGGTCAAACTAGTCCACAGGGTCTCCCCCACAGCAGCCCTCTGTAGCACAGGAGCTCAGCGGATTCACCGCTCCTCCTCTTTTAAACTTCTTCTCCTCAAACCTGCATTCCCCCGGCTCTGAGAGGATGTCACAAGTTGTTTCAACAAGTCATTTACTGTTAGCAGGGGCTCCAATGTGTGGTTTCAGTCTGACGAGAAGTTACAAGATTGGCTGCACAAAGGGAAGATGTCAAAAGAAGAAAAAATGCAGAGAAAGAAAAGTGAAAGTTGACAGGCTGGTTGTGAGGACATGTCCAGTCAGACGTGAGTTGTGGTGGGTTTTTTTGTGAAATGAGCCTTTAGAGAGATTTTACTGTAAGTAGCTTTCAAATCTATCAGCTGAACATAAACTGTTAATACTCTACATGTATTGTCCGTGTAACGACAATATTGGCCTTAACTTGTTTACATAAAAGCATATTTGTTGCTATGAAAAAAAATATGAGGGTCTGTGCTGTTTGTCGCCATTTCAGGAGATTTATTCCAAAGCACCAATTTATCCTAAATATAAAGGAGAAGCAACTGAAACGTATCAAATATAATATTTTCACTGTTGAGGCCAAGGGCTTTATATTATGTACAACTGTTTGAAACCATATGATTTTCTAAAGATCACTTTTTTCAACGGTGCATGTCATATTTTGGATGAAACTCTTCACTCCCTTGCCTACTCTGTAGTCCTTAAATGTCATATCTTAGTGAACCTGCAGCAAAAAACATCAGAGAGGTTGTTGCTGAGATTTCTGGAACCAATCGCATCGTGTTTATTGTCTCACAACTCTACTGAACATTTCTTTTTTTTTTGCCATGACAATCTTTCAGTCCTTCTTACTAAAGGGACCCTGTTTGTCACTGTCTTTTGTTTGTTTTTGTTATTTTTGCATACAAATAAAATGCTTGTAATGGCACTTTATGTACAGCATACAGTGTGGCTTCATTTAATGGGATATTTACCTTTTAAGTACACACAACTCCACCACATTAAGATGGAAATATATTACTTTATTCAGACACAGACCATTTACTTTTTGAAATCACGTTGCTGGCTCTACTTTATGATATATGAAAAGTTTATTAAAGACAAGCTCATCATTTTTAAATGTTTTTGGCAGGTGAGAACTACAGACACATTTCTCTTTGAGCCTCTGTGTCCACTGTTCTGAAATGTTCAGATTACTTTATTCCAAAATAAATCAGTGAATTCAAAATTGTTAAGCATATTTGTTTTCTCTACCTCATTAAGGCCTAATGTCTTTAACCCCTTCATATGAGGACCCTGTGTTGTCCAGACCCCTGCTGTAGTCTAGTCTAAAAACATAATTTACTAAAGTAGTCTAAACTAGCCTCTCCTTAATTTACTTCTATGATAAAATTATCTTTTTTTTTTTTGCATTAGTAAAGCAAAAATTATATGTTAATTGGGAACTTTTATGTAGAATAACAACTTTTGGTAATAAATGCGAAAAATACGGACTTTGAGTTATAAGAGTATTTATTTTTTACAATGTATTTCTATTTTTACAAAGGGGTCTGAGTACATAATCACACAGTGTTTGTGTATCCATCCGTTCATAATAAAGACATAAAGTGTCAATAATAAAAGCTGTTTTCTATGATCCGTGCGCGCTGAAGGATGAGGATGATGAGGCAGCTAGCGGGAGCGCGCACTACGGGGCCGGGAGCGCGCAAAGCGGTGTGCAGATGTGTCGCAGATTTTGTAAAGTCACTGGACGCTCGGGAAGATACATCACTCGTAAAGACGCTCTGGATACACGGGGCCCTTAACTTTTCAGGAAAACCACACAGCTGAGGGAGAAGCGGGAGGAAGAGGACAGAAGAGGAGCCCCGCTGTCACCAGCAGAAAGACATTACTTTGACAGTTAAACAACACAGAGATGGAGCTGTCCGCGATTGGAGAGCAAGTGTTTGCTGTGGAATCAGTCCTCAAGAAAAGAGTTAGAAAGGTAATTTTTCACATATTTTGATAAAAACGTGTCATTTGGTTTAGCTGCAGCTCTTGAGGAGTCGCATATTTTGGAGGAGAGATGCTACTTTGCACGCTGATAAAAAAGCATGAGCAGAATCGAGCAGCTAAAATTGCATGCTGCGTGAAGGGGGCGGGGTCAGAAGAGGATGTCCCTTTAAATGTAACGTGGAGAGTGTTGTCACTGCACTACTGTTATAACACATGTCAGGTGTTTGCCTGTATACAGAGGAAGGGAGCAATTCCCCTCATTATGGGTCTGTTTTGATGCTTATTAGAATAAGGTTTAAGTTAAGGTTTACATAATGTGTTGACATGTGCGCACCGCATAGAGATTATGGGTCCCCTGAAACCTCCAGTTTACTAGTAAAACCCATGATGATAAATGAAATGATAAAAGGACCTTTTGTTCAGCAATAATTGTTATGAGCAAAGATATCGCCTGCATATTATTATCTTATTGTTTTTTTTCCACAAGGCAACTTTAATCCTTAATCCTTTAATCTTTAATCCACACTATTAAAGTGCTTTATATCCTAATATTTATGTGATCAGCAGTGCAAATTATGGAGGATTAGGATACTAACTTCAAACTACCATTTTTTGGTCTTATACAATCAGTTCATTGAGGAGCTAAGATGCCCCCTACAGTACAACCCTGTCTTTATACGAGGAAGTGGGTGACTAATGTGAAGTCGGGAATAGTGGTGACTTCACCCCCTGAAATACTTTTGAGAGCTTGGAAGTTGTTATTGGATGATGTCACTGAGGATGACTAACTGAGTGGCTGGTATATGCAAAAACATACAGCACCTTTTAATTTTTTTTAAATTCTTCAATATCTTCTGATAGCATGAAAACATACTGCAACGTATTTTCCATTTAACAGCAAATAATATCATGGGTAATAATAATCATGCACATAAAGTATACACAAATATGGAGGTAAACATCACCTGTAGAGATAGATTTCTTGTGTTATACTTTAAATGATTCTATACATGTATAATTCATGAAGGTCCATGTCTGTGTCAGTGTAACAATTGATGCATCGTCCTGCAGCCTTAATCAAAGCCAAATCAGTGTTGCAGCACTTACTGCCCCTTTATGTTTGATGTAGACGGGACCATAATGCATCTAACTTGTATTAAGTTATCATGTAGACTGTGAAAAGGTAAAGTATGTTCTTAATAAAATTAAGTTCCTGGCTAATATATTCTTAAACCATGTTTCTCTACAGGGGAATGTGGAGTATCTGTTGAAGTGGAAAGGATGGCCTCCAAAGTAAGTGTGTAAACTTAATATAAGGGGCTGCAAACAATTATGTTTTTTTAATTGCAATTAATCACACTTTGGATCACATGAAACACATTGAAACTCCATTATTTTGCATTTAAAAATAAAAATGGTTAGGCTTTTATTTTGAATTATTGTACTGTCTTATGCTTACATCAAGATATCTACTCTACCAGCAACAGAAACAACCTCTACTTTTTAATATTTGCTGACAAGTGACTTTTTAAGAAGATGCAGCCAATACAATAATCCATTCATCCATCCAGACATTTTTAAATTCCACGGTAAACATTAGCAAAAAAAAAAAAAAAACAGTTGGTAAAAGCCCTTAAAATCATTTGGAAAAAAAAACATGGCAGTGTGATGCAGACAGAAAAAAGTCCCCATGGTGTGTAGTTCTCAGGGAACTCCCTAGTGGATAGTTTCTCGTCAAAAAGTCCCCAGAACTGGTCCGAAATCACCGAATGCAGAAGATTTGACCAAATGAGTAACACACGAATGAAGGGAATAAAAAGAAAAGTGAAGTACATTGTCTTATTTTGTTACATCTTGCAGGTACAGTACCTGGGAACCAGAGGAGCATATCCTGGACCAGCGCCTGGTTCAAGCCTATGAAGAAAAGTAAGGCTCATCAGAACACGTCATGTTTTTACTGATGAAAAGCCACACAGACACTACGGACACATTGTGTAGCAGGAATGTGCAGAATAAATCTGTTTTCTTCTTACCTTATATTTGTTTTTAAAGAGATTACGACCCTTCAGACCAAGATCCAGATTAAAGACATCTCTCCAGCTTTCATTAGCATGTGTCCTGGGTCGTAGCATTTTAACTACACATACTAAAACACAACTCAATCTTTAATCCACATCTAACTTGAGATGTTGTAAGACATTATAATCATCCAGACCATTGCCAATGGCTCAAAGTCTTCAACCAGGGCGCCCCTTTACATAAGCTGTGCTCCACTTTTGTTCCATTTCTTTTTCAGTTCAGCCCAAACTAAAATTCTGTATCAGCCGACATCAATCTTCTCATAAAGTTCTTCATCATGTGTGCTGCTGACACATTAAGAGATTGTAAAAGTGTACCTCCTGCTTATATTCAGTTTTTAAATTCCTGTGCATGACAGCGTCTTATAAGGCAGCAGATACAATCGTAACAAAACTTGACCACTTTCTTGTCCAGAAAACGCGGCTGAGCAGCCGATCGAAGGCGAAGAGTTGCATGGCAGTCAGTTTGAGTATGAGAAAGTTCCCATAGAAGTTGAATGAATTGGCATGCTCTCACTTTCTTTCTTTCTTTCTTTATGCTGTTGACTTTTCTGGTAAAGTTTTCTCAGTTAAAGGCATTTCCCTCCTTTTCGTCTGTATAAATGTTGAAGGCCTGGATGGAGTTTTTTTTTTTGAAAAGGAGCTGTGTTGTATGCCTGACTGTTTTCTTGGCATTTTAGAGAGCAGAGAGACAGAGCTCTGGGCCACAGGAGAAAAGGATCCAAAACCAAAAGACTCCTTCTGCAGGTAAAGTTTGAGATCAATATACAGATCAGTCTGCATAACTCCTTCATTAAATTATAAATCCCTCATTCCCTTTCATTTCCCTCGCAGGCCTCTGTCCGATAATTATCCTCTATAGACTAGTTGATTTGCCTTTAGTCTCCTAAGAGCAGCATCATCCCAACACTCACCATTATAACCATTATAAATGTTTATACACAGTCTGATTGAAGTTGCAAGTTTCAGTTGTCCGAGTGTTCTCTCTGGGGTTTTTATTCAGAGTACAGTCTACACGATGGATCTCCGCAGCGCTCACAAGACTCAAGAGGCACCGCCGCCTCGCCTTCGTCTCTCCCTCACACGCTCTCTGGTCCCCGAAGATGAGGATCCGTCGTTTGGTGTCTACAGGAAAGTCCCACAACCACAACTAGAACATCTCAAAAGCAAACATGGGAGACCACAACTCAAGTGCCTTGACTCAGATCCTGCCAAACAAGAGGACTGGGCAGAAGAAGGAGAAGAAGAGGAGGAGGAGGAGGAGGAGGAGGAAGTGGACAATGTAGAAGATGAAGATGACATGGAGGTGGAGGTGGAGGAAGAGGAGGGGGAAAAAGAGGAGGCGACAGGAAAGAGCAAAAGCATTTTAGATGGTAAGTGTGTCACTCAGTCAGCCAGTTGAGTCTCATCACCTTCACCACCCAGATTACTCGACTCTTTGTAACTCTCTTGAAGGCGCGGCCACACACAGCTTTCTTAACTTTAACCAAAAACAAGGAAACTTCCTCCATCCTGACCTAATAAGAGATAAAAACCATGCAGCGATCAAGGTGGTGGTGGTGGTGGTGAGAATTTAAATGTGAAGAAACAGTTCCTGCAGAGTCCTTACTGTACAACGTTACAACTGCAACGCAAAAGTCACTCAGTCTCAACATAATGTTACATACTTATTCTTGAAACTTTTACTCTACGGCAGTTATAAAACCTAAATGAGTGACCACTGAATTAAAAGTTTGGCTGATAGAAGACAAATCACAAAACTCCTTTTAAACTACATGACCCTATGAAAGCAGACATTGGTGTTATTCCTTTGAATGTTCCTGTTTGACTCAACCTGAAACTAAAATTATATTTCAGTCAGACAACTCACCTTTTTATCGTTTAAATTATTAATTGCAGCAGAATATAGTTTTTGTTTGCCGTCAAGGCTCTTATTTTGTCACTCCTCACAGTTTTGAATTCCATAGATAGATAGATAGAGAGGAACTTTATTAATCCCTTGGGAAGGTTCCCTCAGGACATTCAGATTCCAACAGCAGGTAACACCAAAGGATAGAACAGCACACAGATACAAAGAATAAAATAAAAACACATGTTATATACAAATAATATACTGTACACATTTGCAGAAATTTGAGGAGTGATGGGATGATATTTTAACCCCCCTCAGTGGGAGCCTACAGGTGGATGCTGGGGTGGTGGTCGGAGCTGAGCAGGAGTGCAGTAGAGGGAGAGATCGGAGATTTTGCAGCTTACATAGACGGCTAATTGGAAGGAGGTGTTGTCAGGTGATTGCTGACAATGAGGCATGTCAAGTAGCTCACAGGCGTCGCCTCATGAACTAGATTTTTTTCTATTTTCTGCCTGAAGCGCAGAGGCTTGTCTTTAGACTCATCTCATTGACGGTACATTGATTATTTCACTAAATTACATGAAGTGCGGAATAGAAAAGTTGTGTCCCTCCCCGTCCGCTCCAGAGCAGTCAGGACTGTCGGTTCCTGCTGCCAAAGTCTTCCCATCTGCCTTCTACATCTATCAGAGCTGAAATATTTTATCCAGGGAGGTTGACCTAATAATATTCTACATGTGATAGGTTTGATTGAATCACACCCGAGTGCAACTCTATCTCTTTCTGCTTCTGTCTTTGACTCTCACTTACTCAGGAAGGAAGAGGACAGACAGCTGGAGCTCGGCTATAGAACCAGACGAGCTCACAGCATCAGAGAAGCCGGACAGAGACGACATCTGGAGACCAATCATCGGGGCTGGGGAGGTGACGGTCACTGACGTCACCCTCAACTCCCTCACAGTGACTTTCCGAGAGTCGAGAGTGGCCAAAGGCTTCTTTAGAGACTTGGGCCTGGAGGTCTGAGATGTGAGGAAGAGAGTAGGGCGGTGAGGAAGAGCTGTTGAGGGTCAGGGTTGGGATCTCACTCTGCTCTTCCTCTTACCAGCTACTTCCAGCCTGGTCAGTGGTGTTTACATGCACAGAGTCACCGGGATACAAGCTGAACGCCAGGTAAAGTTTTAGATATCTGTAACTGTTTGTGAATTCTATTAGTGGATGAGAACATGAAAAAAAAAAAAAACAGGTAGGGAAAAAACTAACACAAAAAATTAGGTAACGTTCACAAGATTGAATAATCTAAATCAACTAAGATTTAACCAAAATATCTGGAAAAGATGTAACGTTTTTTCAGCTCAGTGAAAAAGAGGATGTTGGCGAGGTGATGGAAGTGCAATAACTACAAAAATATGGTCTGCATACGGCTGCTCGAGAAAACTGGATTTCAGGTAAAAATCAATTCTAAACGACCATGCTACCTGAGGGCTACTGTTGGAATCTGTGTGTGCCGCTGCCCGTCTCAGCGTGCCATACGCATATTTTATCATACGCAGAGCCCGCTTCAAGCATGCGTCGAGCGGAACATAGCGGATCGACCTAGACAGGAAGTCCAGCAACGATACGCATATAGCATCCTGTCAATTTCAAAATAAAACACAATGTACGGACTCCAAATTACATCACTGAATCAACAATGTGTCAAAACAGGCACCAAATCAACCCTGGAAAGGCAAAGTAACCTGTTTTTTGTACGTTGTTCTGATCTTGTAGTTCTGTAATCTTGTAAACACACCGATTCAGCTCATGTTAAAAAAATCTATTTTAAAGCAGAATTCCTTATTCATACAAACTGCTCTGCTGGTGACAACTCATGTGATTTGATTTTGCAAAAGCTAAGATGTAGGCATACATTTGCATAATTGGGGGCGTGGCTTACTTTACTACCTGGGTGTCTTGGCTGTTTAATGGGAGGTTTAAGGCCCGCCTTTACTCCACCTCTTTGCCTGTTTCGAGTACGATGGAAATTTAGGGAGCCACTTTCCAGTATGGCTACTGCCATCATATGGCTTCAAAACATCTCTTCAGAAACCAACAGGTGACGTAACTGAGAAGTGCGTCCATGTTTTAAACAGTCTGTGTATGACTGCCACCTATGGATCATTGTTACACGATGCAGCCAGCAGCAGAGTAGTTCATGACGATGTCCAATAATGAAAGCAATAATCAATGACCCCATGGGGGTCAAAAACTCTGCATGGGAGCTGTGAAAAAGATTAGAGTAAGACACCCCAATTTTTAGATCCTCTCAAACCTAGTAAATAGAAAATAGAATCGCCTGTCATCATAAACATGTAGTGGCGAAAATCAAAATGAAAAAGCTACCTACAACTGCTCTTCAGTAAACTTTCTTTTAATGAGGGTAAATAATACTTACAGAATTCTTCCATCCAGTAACTTGAGTGATTGTGTGAAGAAGAAGAGGAGCTCTCTGTGCATGTAAACCGGTCCATTGTTTGTGTCTCTCTTCCACACTCGGTCAAACATTCAGTACTGGACTCATTGTACAGTAGAGTCAAATACAGTGAGTTGTGTGTAGCCGTCAGTCCCATACCAGCACACAGTGCTGTACCTGTAACCTGTGAACTTATAGACTGTTACGGCTGTATGTGTGACTAAGTCTTGTATGCGTTTCAAAACTCACTGAGCGAAGATTTGATCTGCCTGCTTGCCTTTCTCTCACAGTGCAGTATAATCAATGCAAAGACACACAGTGTAGTTTTCTGCCTCCACCGGGCTCTCCATCTCCAAATATATACAACAAACCACACACACAAGTGATGAGGACGTACTGAACCAGAGGAGACCTGGTAACAGAATGTAGAAGGGAATAGCACTGTATTAAGTAACGTTTGTGTAGTTAGTCCAGCAGGGTAAATCACATTTTTAAAACAACTAATACGTTGATTTCTTACTATAAACAAAGTCACACATATCAGCTATCCTGATGCTGCAGTCCCATGAAGATGCTCAGTAGGAAACTTAACCCACACATGTCCGATACAAAGGATTGCATTTAAAAGATTTATTGTTTCAGAGTCAAACCACAACTCATGCCAAGGTGTAAACCACATGGAGCTAAAAAGAAAGATGTAGTATAGTATAGTAGTCTTTGCCTTGGTTAATATGAAGCTGAAGTCTCGTCTTAGTGCACAGAACTTGTAGAGTGAAGATGAATTGTCTGCTAAGACTTGAGAAGGAACAACATTTAAAACTCAAGATTTTGTATCTAGTTGTCCTGATGAAGGTTCATTCTGGACCACGGAGAAGGCAGCTGACCAAACAATTTTATATCACATTTTTATTGGCTGATTATATCATGTGATCTGAGTTTGCTCCGATGTCTGAAAGTTCAGTTTTACTCTTGAACTCGGAAACAGAAATTAACAACTCAAACAAACTCGCCTCAAAGTCGGTTACAAGTAAAAGAATTGAAAGAGAAGAACTATTTTCAAGATTTAAAGGACAAACATTCAAATCAATCTCAATATAGTAAATCAAATATTCTGGATAATAACAAGCTCTGAATTGTAACCGTCTCTGCGTCAAAGGTAGAAAAGAATCTAAATGCATCCATGATACTTAGAGTTATTGAACTGTCTTTAAGAATAATATATTTTGTGGTTAACAAAATAAAACTGTTTAACAGATCAGGCAATCAATCAAGTCATTAGACAATAAAGTAATATTCAATTAATTTACCATAAATATTAATAAATGATATGGAACTCATGGATTAAGAGTAAAAGCTTTCTCCACGGCTTTATCTAACTGTGGTCTGGGATAAATGCTGGAAAAGACCACATTCTAAGAAATGAAAAAACCCAAATCTGAACCCTGTCAATATGTTTGACCCTGCTGGCTCAGGATCTGATGTGATGTGTCACATCTGTGGAATCTCCTACAGAGGCGTCCCATTGGTCAGAAGGATGTTTATCCTGCACTGATGGTTAATGAGTCAGCATCTTGTGATCTCTAAACTGTCTCTGTGTGACAATGAAGCCGCAGGGAATGGAAGTGCCTGATGTTGCAGTAGTTTTTGTGGTTGTTAAGTCTGTAGGGCTTGTTCTATCCTTTACACACACAAACACACAAACACACACTCATAAAGAGACACACACGATTTGGACTTTGTATGAATGCACGATCCTCGCCCAATGCTACAAAGACTCAAAATGTGAGGAGACTTTAAGGGGAGGACGTTTAAGGGTACAGGAGGGAGCAACGTATTTTTGAAGTCATTATTTTTCTACATTAACATGAATGTATATTTATTCTTTGAATGAACCTGTACATGCTGATGATTGACAGAATAGTTTTATACAGTTTGTGATAACCTCTGAGCTGATGCCATATGTAAATGTACGTAAGTAAATCAAGCACCTTGATATGACTCTGTGGCCTATGTGGTAGCTTGTGCTGATTCTGTCCTCCACTGAGTGAAGAACTTTGCACTTTATTGTGATGTAAACCTGCGCCTGTCTATGAAGTCTCATTGTGGATAGAATATTTCTATGATAATACTACAATAAATGTTTCTCATGGTTCATATTCTTTTTCAAACTGCAGTGGGATGTGTAACAAATTTGTTCAGATATCAGGACCTTAAGGAATGTCTGAATAAAAACTGTTTGTGGAACCTAATTTTCCCAAAGGCAGGTAGGTGAAATGTGTATGTAGGTGTTTTGGGACCAAACAGTTCTGAGGACTTTTTGAAGGTAGACTCTCCACTAAGGAGTTCCCTAAGAACTACAAATCATGGAGAAAAAAAGATTCTGTCTACAATTCCACCCCCATGGTACCTACTCTGAAGCAGGAGCAAAAAAGGTTCCTCTAAAGGGAACTTAAATAGTTCATAGTTCCTGCGGTGCAGAATGAATAACAAAGGAGGGGGGTTTCTACAGTTCCTAGAACTATGAGGAAGTTCCTGCAGTCCGAAAAAGCCCATTAACACACTTTACCAAATACATTTTTCCAAGGGCAATGAAGTGTAATGTAAAGGTGTTTTGGGACCAAACAGTGCCGGGGACTTTTGAAGTGGAACTATCCACTGGAGAGTTCCCTGAGAACTTTTTTTTCTGTCTACATTCACACTGCCATGGTACCTACTCTGAAGCAGGAGCTAAAAAGGTTTCTCTTAAAAGGTTTCCAGGAACTGAAATAGTTCATAATTCCTGCAGTGCAGAATGAAAAATGAAGGAGAGTTTCAACAGTTCCTAGAACTATGAAGAAGTTCCTGCAGAAGACAAACATTTTAGAGTTATGACACTGTCTTAATAAAGTTGTGCTGGGTTTTAAATTAATAAAAAATAAACGAGTCATACTTACTTTGATACCATCAGTGATTGTGTTGCTTTTAATGTAATAAGGCAATTCATTCATAAACATTTGATAACATTTGAGAGGGTCCTGTTACTGACAGTAATTAAGATTGAATCTTCACCTCACTCATTATTTTCAGTAAACTGATTTGTGTTCAATGTAAACCTTTTTTTAATACTCATTGCTTTGAATTCTTATAACTTTTTGGGATGCGTACAGAGGTGTTATTTCAAAATAAAATGTCTCCTCTCCAGGGGACGTTTACCTTAAACCCTATTTCCATTTCTACACAGCAGTTTCCTGTTAGTAAATATTTACACTACTCGATATTCAAAATAAGTAGAAATGGATTTTCTTAAAAGATTATTTTATTGAGCTTTGGATCTTTAATTGGATAGGACAGCTGTAAACAGACAGGAGTGTGGTTAGAGAATGGGAGATGACCTGCATCAAATAGGGTTTCAGAGTTGATCCAGCATCAACCACGGCGACGAGGGTGAAAGCCTCTGTCCATGGGGCGTCTGTTCACCAACGGAGCAACACCAGATAAGGAGAGTTCCTTTTTCATAGTCACTACCTGTTAAAAAAAGAAAGACAAAACTACAGAGTATTTTTTCAATGGTACAAACATACTTTATTGTACAATTAATTTATTGGCAAAAAAACAATCAGACCACCAAAATAACTTAAAAAAAAAAAAAAAAAACTAATGAAAATGGAGCAACAGTTATTTTTGCTTTCTCTCAGCAAGCACCAAAATTGTTAACAAGAGGAACGAAAAAGTGGTCAAAGATTCCATTTGAATACTAAACAAATATTTAAATAGTCTTATTTCCAGTCTCTTTTAAGGAGAAGAAATGATTAAAACAAAACTATTTGTTCAGTTGCCATCGGTTTGTACAGTGATTCAGTATGTTTACAACTATATTCATGTACATGAAACATTTCTTAAAAAGGATGGTACAATATACTCCACGGCCTCCCCAGGGCAAACTGAATGACTGTCTGCAGTGTCTTTTTGCATCACCATAACATCTTTAATACAAAACAAAACATGTTTTTATCTAATAATTCCTGTAGCTTCAAGTTTTATTTCCAAAAAATAAAATTAAATAATATATCTATATATAAAAGACAGTTTTTCCTTGTTTTTCTTATAAAATAAGTCTCAAGATATATTGCCACCTGGTTCTGATGCGTCCCCTCCCCACACCCATCAAGCCCAACCTTTTGAGAAAAATAGTGAGCATGTGAATATTGTGTCTTCAGTCCTCTCCATAAAAAGCTAAATGACCAGATTTAAACTCTTTCAGATCACACCTTCAATGAACCCGTGCTTGGGCTCAGCTATCTGTGGGATTCCCGTTTGAAGTTTTGAGATTGTTCAGGTGTGTGACTTGTTTCAGTAACCCCTCCCTCCCTAAAACCTTGTCAAAAATACACAGAAAAAGGCGCATTGGTGCTTGTGACCGACCACACCCCACACTGTACCTTTAAGAAAAAATCTCAATACTGTACAGTAGCTCAGGAGTACTTTTGTAGTTTTCTTTACAGATACATCAAATATCCAATTAAACAAGAGGGGGAAAGCAGCAGAAAATAAGTTCTCTGCTCATAAGGTTTAAAGTATGTACATGTTTTTTTGTTTTTTTTTACATCTTTCACTTTCATTACAAAAAACAGTATCCAAGTCCACCATTTCTTACTCTGTACAGTACTAACATTGAAATAAATCTTGTGGTTGAGAGGCAGTCATGAGGATGAGGAGCAAAAGAAACCGTTGGGGGGGAGGATACAGGCAGGATTTTCTCAAACCTCTGCAGCCCAAACAAAACAACTTGACCAACCTCTTCCACATGTCACAGTTCATAAACAAGGCTGGAATATATTTACACGCAAAACCCTTTTACATCGGCCAGCTTTAAACAATGCATCTGACAGCTAGACCATCTGAAATCAACAGTTCATCCCTCCTTTCATTAGGGTGGGGGGTTGGGGTAAGGGAGGTGTGCACATTCATAGGAAAACTGAAGATAGAGGGCGGAGATGTGGCTAATGGGTGCAAAGGTTTGTTCTGCAGATCTGGCCATTGAAAAATATGACTAAACCCACGGTCAATGACACCCACTCCCCAAAACACTGTCAAGGTTTTATTCTAACCAATAAACCCTGCCAAAACATACAAAAAAATGAAAAAGAAAGAAAGACACCTGGCAAAATTAAACTGCATTCATCACCCTCCCTCCCACGTATCAAATAATAGAAATTCTATATATGTGAATTGTTGCAGTCGCTGTACAATGCTGTAAAAACTGTCCAGAACAAGAAGATATGTTGACGCTTGTTTAACGGTCCGTGGAGGGTCCGGGAAAAAAAAAGAAAAGTAAATTCAGAAATAAAATGTACTTGCTCTGCAAAATAGATACCGGTGACCGGGTGTTTGAGGAGGAAAACAAAACAATAAAAAAGGTACATCGTGTCAACTCACTTTAATTTTTAGCCACATTTAAAATCTTAAAAATATTCATAAAAAGGCAAAAATTCTCAGTCCCCAAAAATATTGTGTCATAGACTAAGGAAGAAATATATTCAACCTGAAACACTGCCTTTCCACCTTTTTGTACACAATTGGCAAAAATATATAGATATATATTAACAGCAATAACTTACCATTGTTTTAATTTATTCATTAATTGACTTCTAAGATTTATGTTGCATCTCCCATAGGAAGGAAGCTTCAGTTCTTATTTATACATCACAAAAATATTTAAATAAAAAATAAAAACTTCTAAAACCCCAAAGCCGTAGTCCCGCCTTGCTCTCAAACTTGTGGCAGTTTGTCGTTCGGGGCGACCGATCAGTGTCAACACAGAGAGACAGTACGGAGTCAAGGCTACATCAGGTCTAAACTGTTGTTGTTTAAGTTCGTTCCCAGCTCTTGGTTGGTGTTGTTGCTGTTATTATTCCCACCCAACATGTCCGAATGCCCCCCTTGCCCACTGTGCATTCCTGTCATTCCACTTAGCTGGGACATGATAGAGTTCTGTTCTGAGCTAAACTGAGCCGGGTCTACAGAACCACCCGGCTGCTGTGATAACGCCTGCTGCTGGGGGGGTTGGGGTGGAGCCATACTTGGGTGGTGTTGGCCTAAGTGGGCTGGATGGGGTGAGCCTGTCTGGGTCTGTGGGGAGATACGATGAGGGGAGGGCTGAGGCTGCGGTTGGGAGGAGGGCTGCATGCGTGGGGACGGGCTGGAGTGTGGAGGCTGCGACTGCGGTCTCGGCGAGGGCTGAGGGGACCGGACCTGACTGCTAAGCGACCCTGCTGGACCAAGGCCTCCTTGTCCTTGAAGGTGGGGGTGGGGAGATTGCGCCATCTGCTGCTGGGGACTCATGGGACTACTGTGGTGAGCAGGAGAGCCCCCACCTAGGTGTTGCTGCTGCTGCTGCAGGAGCCTCTGGTGGATGTTCTGGTGAAGCATGCTCTGGGTCGTCTGCTGCAGTGGGGGACCACCGCCCCCTCCGCCGACTCCACCTTGTTGTTGTGGCCCTTGCCCTGGTCCGCCTTGTCCTGGCTGGAGCGGAGGTCCTCCTGATCCCCCACCCGGTCCTCCATCTTGTCCTTGAAGCCCTCCCATTGAATTCTGTTGTTGTTGCTGCTGCTGCTGCTGCTGTTGTATCTGGATCTGATGCTGAAGCCGCTGCTGTAGCGCTGCAGCTACCTGGGACATCGAGTTTGAGTATCCTTGCTGCCCCATCTGGCCTGACCCACCCTGAGGTCCTCCTTGCTGCTGCTGCTGGGGACCCCCTACGCCTCCACCTCCAGCCTGAGGTTGGGCAGAGGGAGGAATCCCTGGTTGACCCTGGCCTGGCTGCATGAAGCTCTGCTGCTGGAGACCTTGAGGCTGCTGGAACTGCCCGTGGTTTCCCATCTGCTGCTGTTGTTGTTGTTGTTGTTGTTGTTGTTGTTGTTGCTGCTGTTGTTGCTGCTGCTGCTGTTGCTGCTGCAGGTGTCGTCTCATCAACAGCTCTCTGAACTGTGGCGTCATGTTGGCCATATTGCCTTGCTGCCCTGCTTGCATTGCTCCCTGTTGTTGTTGCTGCTGCTGCTGTTGTTGTTGTTGTTGTTGTTGTAATGCAGCCATTTGCTGTTGCTGCAGGTTTCCAGGCATCATTGGGCGCTGCTGCTGCTGCTGCTGTTGTTGCTGCTGCTGCTGCTGTTGTTGTTGTAACTGCTGAAGCTGAGCCATAGTGGGCATGTTTCCTCCACCTGCTCCACCCTGAGCCATGTTCATTCCTGGCTGACCTGCCTGGTTCACATTAACCTGTTGTCCATCCATGTTAGCCCCAGGAAGACCTCCAGCAGGCACTGGGAACCTTACACCTCCAGGCCCCACTTGTGGAGGCCCTCCTGGTCCCCCAGGTCCCCCCTGACCTCCTTGATACCTGGCTGCTCTTTGCCTGATAAAAGCAGCCATCAGGGTCGGGTTGGAGCGCAGGATGTTGAGGACTTGCTGCTGTTGGAGGGGCGAACTTGGGGAGCGCAGAGTTCTCAGGAGGTCTTGTAGCGCTGCCTGTGGGAGGTTTCCTGATGCTGCTGCACTGGCGAGAGCGGCAGGTGTACCTGCTGCACCTCCTGCTACACCCATCACCTGCATCAGACTACGGTTCCCTTGTTGGGGATTCATTGGTTGCTGCTGCTGAGCAACAGCTGGTTGCTGCTGTGGTGCCATGTGACCCATCATTCCTTGCCTCTGTTGTGGGTTCATGGATGGTCCCCCAGGCCCCCACTGTTGGTTTCCTGGCTGAAGTTGTCCACCTGCTCCCTGCTGGACCTGCTGGAGCTGCTGCTGAACTTGAGGTGGCAACTGGGACTGAGCACCACCCTGCTGCATCCCTGCAAGCATTCCCTGCTGCTGTGGGTCTAACATAGTCCTGCCAACAACTGCCTGAGCCTGAGGGGGCATGCCTTGGGCCCCCATGTGGGGCATGCCCATCTGGTTCTGGGCGTTCTGGTGGTGAGGGTGTGGTGGTATCATGCCCCCTTGTCCAAGGCCACGGATTTGGGCCTGGGCCTGGGCCTGGGCCTGGGCCATCTGTCTCTGGTTCTCTGCAAGGCGCTGGATCTTAAGGGCGGTCTCCACGGCAGCCAGAGGGGGCCCCTGCTGCTGGCCTGGTGCAGGCATGGATCCCTGTCCCTGGTTGGGTTGTTGCTGCTGCTGTGGTGGTGTAGCAGGACCCAGTCCGGGTTTGCCAAGGGATTGGTGGAGAGGAGATGCTCCAGGAGGTCTGGGGTTATATGGAGGCAAACCACCAGGATGCTGCTGCTGGAGCTGCTGGACATTTTGAGGCTGCTGCTGGAGCTGAGGCACCATCTGTTGCTGGGGAGAGTTCATCATCCCCCCTCCTCCTGCCACTGATTGAAACTGATGGAGATGGTGTTGAGAGGGCATTGCACCTCCTTGCTGCTGAAGCTGCTGTTGCTGGCCTGGAGTTCCCATTGCCCCCATTCCAGCCATCCCGACTCCCTGCTGCTGAGGGAGTGCAGGCATGTTGCCTTGGGTGGGTGTCTGTGGGGTAGGGGGCTGCGTACCAACAGATGTAGGTGTACCGGGACCAGTTGCTCCATTGTTGGCTCCTGGAGAGGGGAGGCCATTGCCCCCAGGAGCTCCTCCAGGAGCTGCCTGACCAACTCTCTGCATGCTGGCCATCCTCCTCCTGAGCATCTGGGCCTGCTGGAGCCGGTGCTGCAGCTGCTGCTGACGGAGTTTGTGCTTGATGTTGAGGCAGAACGGGACTGGGCACTTGTTCTCCTGACAGTGCTTGGCGTGGTAGCAGCACAGAGCGATAAGCTGCTTGCAGATGGGGCAGCCACCGTTGGTTTTCCTCTTGCAGCTTTTCGTGTGTTGAACAACCCGTTTCATCTTCTGGCAGGACGGAAGAGAGCAGTTTGCGTTTCGACACTGGCAGGCGTGGACGAGGGACTGGATGCAGCGCTGGATGCTGAGGCGGCGAGAATCTCCTGGACTCTGAGTGGCAGCTGCAGCCTGGTTGCTGCTCTCATCATCCAAACCGAGGCCTAACTTATCCATCTTGTGTTCATGACCCTTAGTGTTATAACATGTGATGCAGAGGTCGTAGTCCTGTGGGAGACAGTCAAAAGGTTTATAAGTTGTACACTGCAGCTTTAATTTTAACATAAACCGAACAAACCTACATGTTTTATTTTTACCTAATGAGTTACAACAAATCAGACCCATCCAAACGACCCCTCCCTTACTCACCTCGCAGACAGTGCAGTGGAAACGAGTCTCCACATGGTGCTTGCACTCATTACAAGTGTAGACAAAGCGGTCCTGGCTTTGGTTATGCAACTCCACCAGCATGCACATGGAGCTCCACTTGGCCCTCCTCAGCGAGCTGAACTCCAGATGTTTGTCCCGGGCTATTGTCAAGAAAGCATCGCGGCCGTCCATGAGGTCACAGGCCATCAGGGGATCTGGGTCTGTGATGGGCGGCAAGGCGTTTGCCATGGGACCAGCGATTAGCCGGATCACAAAGAACACCTATGAAAGGTTGAAGAGGAACAGATGAGGCACAGCTGAAATATAGTCTTCAGAAGGTTTTCACCTTTGAGGCAGAATGTCATATACAATATATGGTGTGTAAGTGAGCTATCAACCGATCACCCAGTCAACAACAAGCAAGCTTTTAAATTGAGTGTATTCAAGTATGCACTATGTATCAAAATAAAGTCAAGAGAAGGATCTTTTTCTGCTCTTTTTGTAATGTGCCTAAAGATAACATGAATTGGCCTTATGCAAAGAAAACGTGATTGATCAAGATCGATTATTCCTTCATCTCATACCTCCTTGTGTTTCTCCATAGTGGCGTAGAGTTTCTGTGAAAGGTCATTGGAGACATTTGGCATACCCGGCTTCTTCTTATTTGCCCGACTCAGGCTGCTCTTGTTCTTACTCGTCTTCTTGTTGTTCTTTTTCTTTGCGTTTTTACTGTCACCTTTTGTGTCCTGCAGGAGAAAGAAATGGACAAATACCTGTGAGCATAGACCGTGGGAGACGCGACACTCTTCAGGACCATGATGACAGACTGTAGCATTCTTACATCAATACTCTCGTTTGAAGTGCTGTTCTCCTCTCTTTTCCTCTCCTCCTCCTCCTGCTCCAGCTCTTTGATGCTCTCCTCCAGCACGTTGGGCCAAAAGTCCCCCTCAAAGTAAGGCAACTCCTTGGCACTGGTCAAACGATCCTCTGTCGCCTGCTTGAAGACATCCTATGGGGATAAATGGAAAATAAAGTTAGTGTCTTCCTGTAAATTGTTGTGCTACACACAATTGAGAAAGTTCGCCAAGGGGTCAGTATGTCTGGAAGATAACAGACGTCAGATTTCTTTTAATCTGTCCTCAAACACATGACAGAATAAAGTCGAATACCGCTGCTGTACCTTGTAATCGTGCACGATCCGCTCTGCCACAGCTTTGTCTAGCATCTTCTTGTACCACTCCTGAAGGCGTTTGGGCTTTGGGATCTTTTGATCTGCCGGGTGACAGTGGAAGATGTAGTCGTCCCCTTCACTAGGCGGGCAGGCCCAGATGTGGCCAGTGACGTAGCTGAGGATGACAACCGAGATTGAATATAAAGAGCAAAATGTATTTACAGACTAAGGAAAATAAACGTAGTGACAGGAGAAGTCTGGGAATTTTTTTTACAAGCAATCAGCTACTAATGACCAATACATATGTTTTCTTGTCCAGCATTACTCACCCCAATTTCCTGACATACTCCAAGTAGCCGATGAGGACTTCATGGTAGACTGCTGTTCTTAGAGATCGAGGCCGGAAGAAGTGTACACTGTCCAGGTAGGAGATGTACACTCGCCTGAGTGGATGGAAGAGGAAATATTTATGAATATTGCAAGAGCTGAAATTCAACATTACGTTCTTTCTAAATCACTGCAAAGTAAAGGAAAAAGTCTCAATTAAATACAGTGATATCCTTACCTCTGGTTGGGTTGAGGACAGTCAGATCCATACTCCTGAACGTGCATACCAAAGAAGCAGACTTCTGCTCCATCAATGTCCTCAAAAGCAAAAAGAGCTTTTGTTCTGTAGGGAAAAGACTCCGACATCTCTCCATTGTCCACAAATCTGCAGACAAAAGGACACATGTTTGAGGTTGCGTTTTTTCCTTTTGTAACCAGATAAATGTTATTATTAGACACTTGGTATCTCCTACTCTGTAGAGGAATAGAAATGTCTACTATTGTTCTTGTACCTGGACTTCATGCCTGGTTTCACCTCCACCACCTTGTCAGAGACGTGGACAACCCGAATAGTGACCTCTCCGGACTCCGGGTGGCCCTGACGCTTCACAAAGTCATTCACTCTTTGCTCGAGGTAAATGCCCAACTTCGTATGGGGCAACCCTGTGTTTGGGAGAGCAAAGAAAATACAGATTTTTTAGTTTTTAGTTTATTCTAATTATAGAATCTAAAAACTCATGTAGAAACATCTCAGCTTCTGTCATACAAAGTCCTAAATAAAAGGTCAAATGAAGGTTGAAGCATGCAAGTTAAAAATCCAAACATTGCCACTTACGTTTGGCAGAATACTTGTTCTCTTTCCTCGTCTTATTCGCCTTCTTTAAGCAGCCGTCACATACAAAACTGTCAAAGAAAGTTGAGAACATAACAAACCATATTTAGCGAATCACATTAAGAATTTCCACTGAGCCTGGAAAGGACAGGAATCAGAATTTGTTTCTTACCCCAATGGCCAGATTGTGTCATTGTGTAATACACAAATCTGGTGCATCCTGCGCCCACAGTCCATACATTCAACAAGCCTGGAAAGGGTAATAGAGTTTGATTATAATTGCACCACCATAGGACTTAAAACTTTGCTTTAGGATATAAAATTCAACTAAATAAGCTTCAAAGACAGTTTCAGTTAAAGATTCAACATCTTTTAAGGAGTACGCTTACAATTCAGGGTCCAGTGTGTCATTCTTCTTCTTCTCAAACTGATCCTTGTTAATCGACCTGAAATGGAAACAACAATAAAATATGTCATTTTTACAACAGGCTAGATAGTTTATCCCTTCTTTTAAGGATTTTACATTTTCAAATATGACTTTAAGTCCAACAAAGAAACTATCACACATGCAGCTAAAAAAAGTGCCAGAGCTAGTTATTTTCTGATGATTTAAGACCTTTAATTAAATGATTCCTTTTAAGAAAGTTAGAGTTTACTCTTAATGATCCGGCTATAACTTACGTCTGAGGCTGTGTTGGGTCGTCTCCCAGGGATACCGCCTCTCCCTGGATCTCGTTGAAGCACTTTTCGCAGAAGTGGTACCTGTCAGCAATAAGCCCAAATTTTGGTGAACTACACCATTCCCCACAGCACAGTCAATCACAGACAGCGCACGGGAGGGCAGTCACCAATCGGTGCAGGACATGGGCAAGGATAGGGTGCCACAAGCGGAGCAAGCAGGAAGGAGGAGCGCAGGACAGCGGGGAGTCGTCATCGAAACAGCCAGTCATGATTTTGAGGGGTGAGGGTGAGGGGGATGGGTTTGGAGGTGCATGGTTGGGCAAGGCAAAAGCAAGCCAATGTTGATTTCACAACCATTGGAAGGGGGAGGGAGACAGACAAGTCACACACAGACAAGGAACAAGACAAGACGAACATCCAAGACAACACACAGCAGAGAGCCGAGGCAAAGCAAAGATTAGCGATTTGGACATGAGAGGATGAGCAACAACAACCACCGTCACAGCTAGCAGAGAGGGAGCAGAATTAACAGGAGCTAAACACGAGGAGGGAACTGGAGCAGGAAGTGGCAGCACAGGACATAATGCAGACATTGAACACATGAACAGGTAAGCACAGACGACTGCTCATTCATTCATTCAAGCAGCTCATTTTAAAGTCGGTCCTTTCCCATTCCTTTAAGGCTTTCAAGGGTGTGAACAAAAAAAAAACATGTAGAATCTAGAGATTTGTGGACATATCTATGAGGAAGTGAACACCATAGTGAGATCACTGCTGCCTCCTCTGTGAAGAGAGTGTCCACACACTGTGCATTTAAGTATCAACAAGACTTGTTAACACAAAGAAAAAAGTTAAGTCAAACATGCTGAGCTGGGATGTTACCTATAGGTTAGTCTAATGACACTCCAAACAACTTCAAGAATGTGAGTAGGGAAAACCGACAGTTAAAATGCCATTGCGTTAAGCTACACATGGAGTTATGAGGAACATGAAGGGAAGTGTTTTGGGGAAGAAAATTAATCAGATGGCTTCAGTGTCAACCTCTGCATCTCTAACAAAGTCATCTGCTGTCTGTTGGATTCTTAACTAAGTAATCTAAAACTTTATAAAGACTCACTCATCCAAATAATAATCCTTCCACCCTTTTTCACATGGGAGTTTCTCTCCTGCCATACCTGTTCTGGTAGCTGAAGTAAGCAGCGTCTCGGGGAATAGTGCACAGCTGCTTCCCGTAGCAGCAGAGAGTCTGAGGAGAGAACTCCAGCTGATGGAAAGAAACAAAAACACATTTCTTTAATAAAAGCTTTTAGTCACACACATGTTGCCTAATCGAGGGTAAACACACTCTTTGTATAAAAAGTACTTCTCTCGGCTTCCATTGGTAGTCAAGATTACCCAACTGCTTATAATGAAACTAAAGTGAACTTTAACTGAGTGAAAACATCGGTTTCCCCCTAAGAAGAGTTGAGCTGAGCTGATGTCGAGTTGGCCAAGATTTGTCCAGCTTATGTCAAAGTCAATTTTAATTGTCACCTTTCTCAGAATCAATCTGACAACATTTGAAGAAGAGATTTGTATCTGGGTGCAACAGCCATTATCATAGAGCTGAAGATATCCAGAAAAGTGATCAAGGAGACCTGAAACTTCCTCTTCCTTCCACTGGTCATTGTTTGAAGTTGGACTTGCAACTTGAGACTGATTAACAGACAACAATCCAGTCATGGATTGTATCCATGTATTACAATTCTGTTTTCATATTCAGATGCATCTTTACAGAGGTTCATAAATGATGCCTTCTGACCAATACGCTCTGCCTCTTTTACTCTTCACATGGCTGGTTTTCCGGCATAAAACCAAAAAAGCACTCAAATATTACCGGCCCCAAAAGCATGTCCCTCACATTGAGGTGCAAGTGCCTCCTAAATGAATATACTGAATATATTGTCAGAGGTAACCCTCCAGTCAGCCTTTATAATAAGAGTCAATCTGTTTTGTTATTTTGCCTGCAAAACCAAAAATAGCAGAGTCTAATGGGAGTTGAAATGTGATATGGTGGTGGCATGCCCCAGGCCAGATTTAGCCATCACCCTCTTCACGGCCTCCATTTTCAGATGTGTATGATTTAAGTTAATATCTGCATTTGAAGCATGCACTCAAAACACCATACAGATATATTATACATATACCCATGTCATATAAGATATTAAAATAGAGGTCCATCTTTAGGTTCATACATTGTTCCTTTAACACATGAGCAGTTTAACTTAAACCCTTTCTTCTTGATTGTTTAAACAATACAAAACCATTTCCAATCTCATCTGTTAAGCCTTATGTCTCACCTTCCTCCCACAGCAGTAACCGAGGCTCTGCATGACGGGATCAATCTCCTGCTCAAAGACCTCGGCCAGCTTGGAGCAGTACTTGTAGACTCTGGATGTTTTGCGGTTGTACAGCCAGGCGTTGTTGAACATCAGCCAGATGTCGTCCACATACTGCCAGGGTTCCTGGTACTGACCTACACACCAAACAAGGCAGGGGAATTAAAAAAAACAAGAACATCGGAGCATTTCCTATAATAGGGTTAACAGCCAATTGACCATAAATGTAGGTAAAACTTCAAAACAAATACATCAACATTTTAAATCGTTGGGAAAGAAACAGAGAAAAGTTTATTGATGGACAAATGTTTAATATATCAGCAGCAACTACTGACCTGTGTCCAGCTTTCTCTTGATAGTAGACAGGTCCATAGGAGTCTTCACAATGTCAAAGTAGTCCTGCAAGAACCCAATGAGCATTTATTCTTCAAACTTTGATTCTTTTCGTGAAATAATCATATTCAAAAGTAAAGCACGACATGTGGTGAGAAAACTAAACTAAATACAGCAGACTGTGGCAATTAAAACTACACAACAGAGGAGAAGAATGTGAACAAAAACGTGCACTAACAGAGATGCAGCAGTGTAGACAAGGCAGAGGAAGAAATACATCTAAAGCTCTGCAGGGATACTCACAGGTATGCACAGCAGTTGTGGGTCTACAGGCATTCTGAAGGGCAGAGACTCTGGATCTTGTCTGTAGAGAGATTCTAGCGTGGGCATCAGGGCCTGACGAAGCTCCTCTGGTTTAAAAACTGGAAGGAAATAGAGATCAGATAGAAGAATGAGGAAGAGTGATTAAACAATCACATGCCTGTATCCCTAAAGATGACAACATATGTAAACATATGAGAAAAAGTACACTAAAGATCTAAACTTTATTCATTTACTTTTCTTTTTCGATGGGGCCTGCTGCGTCGCATCCGACGTCTCTTCTTCCTCTTTTGGCTCCTTCTTCACTTCCGGTTTCCTGTCTTCCATTTTCACGCTTGCTGTCGGCGTTGTTGACGATGTATCCATGGCAGCTCCTTTACCTATCTCTCCTGAGCACTCCTCCTTTTTCAGCTCTGTTTTTATAGGTTTTTCCTCGGTTTTGAGGTTGCTGAGCTTCCCTCCTTTTGAACAGCTGCCTGTATCGCTCTCCTCCTCCTCGTCCTGCTGCTTTATCTCCATCTTGGTGTCCACGCTTGCGGCTGACGTGTCCAGCTGTGGCTGGGAGGAAGTGTCCAGACTATTGACCGAAGCTGGAGTCATGGCCTGACCGTCCGCAGGGAAAGAACCCTTTTGTGACAGCTAGAGAGAGATATAGAATCAGTGTCAGCTGCAGGGAAATCTCACACAGTGATACATTAAAGTGAACAAATAAATCTTTCATCCCTTCAGCATAGTCTGCTCTTTAAATTGAGCGGTTAAAGGGAAACGCATCGCTATCAACACCAACAATAGACATAGGTTAATCATAAGAGCCTCAAAGACCTGGGGTCCTCTACTGTGAAAGCTAAGCCCAAAACCTATCTATTCTCCCAAGCATGTGAATACTTTGTCTTTGTGTGTGTGTTCATGTGATCATGCTGCAGTGTGTACAAGGCAGAGGAAGAAATACATCTGAAGCTCTGCAGGTATACGTACAGGTTATGCTCCACGGGTATTGTATGTGCACTACCTTTCATTTCCGTTTGGTGTTGATGAATGCTTTGTGGTGTGTTATTTTACTGATTTGATTTCTGAATCTTAATCATAACTGTGGAAACACATTTTGAATGATTGTACCACTATGTCTTTAAAGGCTTAACATGCGATTTGTCACACTTAAATGTAATAGAAATCAAGTATATCCTCTGAAAATAACTCTGTGAGTCCCACTGTCTGTGATGTTTTTTTTGTTGTTGTTGTTTTTTTGTTTTCAGAGTCCTATCTTCACTTTGTTTACATCGTCAGGACGGCTGGCCAACTCCTCCCCTCATGTATAAAAGTTGTTTAAATGAGGGACTAGAGAAAAGAAGAATAACATACTGTACTCACTGCTTAACTGTGTTTCTAGATCACGCTCATTTCTGGTAAATTTACATGCAGTGTGAAGATACGAGCATAATAAAGATCACTAGCATTAGCATGCTAACACAACAATGCAGCGCAAGTTGTTTTGTTTTTCATGCTGGTGCTCAAGGGCGACATCTGCTGGATCAAAAAAAAAAAAATGCATATAAAGCCTTTAAGCTCAATGTAAAGCACATCGAGTTTACCTGCTCTGAAATGTGCTTTATACATAAAAATGCTATTGCTATGAGGCAAAAGTCAAACTTCTGGTCTCACAATGAAGACAAAGAGAGTATTAGTGAACTTATAAGGACACACATTTCTGATACAGTATTAAGAAATACAGTAATGTTTGAATTAATAAGTATTAACACTGACCGGAGTGCGTGGCAGCTGAGCACCATGCGGCGTGGAGCTGGAGCTCATTCCAGGGTGAGACGGAGTGGTGGAACCAGCTGGGCCTATGTGCTGCTGCTGGAGGGACTTGTTAGAGCCGGGACCTTGGCCAAGCTGGTTCTGTTGGGGGACCGAGGGTGGAGCCAGTTGTGGTGCGTTAGGGGTGTGTGGCTGAGGGGTCTGGGACCCCGCTAGTCTGGGGGGTGTTTGGTGGGGAGTGGGAGATCGGCTGTGAGCAGGAGAAGGAGAGCTGCCACGCATGGCAGCCAAATGGGGGATGGAGTTCGGTTGCTGGTTTGAGTTAGATGGAGTCATTGACGACGCAGCAACCGATGAGTTGGGACCTCCACTACCCACACTCTGAGGACCCATGGGCCCAACATTTGACACGCTGCCAGGACCACTGGCTGAACCTGGCTGTGCTAAAGGACTAGCAACTGGAAGAGGGGGTGGAGTGCCCATCTGTGTCTTTAGAAGAAGAGAAATGGAGTGAAGAGATTAACATTAAGGAATTATAACACATGTTATTTCTTCATAATTTGAACTTTAGAAAACATGGAAGTACCACTTTCTCACAACATAACAGAGAAGGAAGAAATAGTTTTTATTGGTGATCAAGTACTCAGTAATTTAAATTTTGGGTAATTATTACTGTAGGACATCTTCTATATCCCAGGAACACTTTCACACCAAGAATCAAATTGTGCCAGACACATCTTTCACACGCTGTTCATGGCCTGACAATGACTGACCAATAAAAACACCCATTACTGTAAAAAGGAACCCAAATATATCCTGTTGAACTAAATTCTTGCATTTTACACAGGTATCTACAATAACACAAACCCCCCCATTCCCTTTTCATAAAAAAATCATCAGCAGAAAGCTCAGGTTTTTAGATTCATGCTGATGTGTAATCTACAGCACATTTACTATTCAGATATATTAAGGAGGGAAAAGAGCTTGAGGCCACCTTACCTGTGCCATGCTTGCCTGTGATTGAGGTTGGGACATCCCAGACTGAGACGCTCCAACTCCAGGTCCTGAGCCAGGAAACTGTCCCTGGGACAGATACTGGTTCTGAAGCTGGTTCACATTTGGCTGCCCCATCCTCGGCCCGCCAATTCCCATCTAGAGATTCAGAGCAGGGCAGAGGTCTTAAAAAAAATGCCTCAACAACTTTTTCAGTCAAGCCATTCGAGTGGTTAAAGGACAGTTTTTAAAATAATTTCTTACAATTCATTTTCCCTTTTCAAACTTTGTATTTTATTTTATAAATCTTTCCTAAACACTATTAAAACATTATACTCTAGTTGTCAATGTAAAAAAAACCTGAATCACAAAAAGACTACTTGTTTCTGGATTCATTAAAATCAACACTTTGCTTGGTGTGTTCAGCACTGACCTGGTTGCCAGATGCTCCCATGGAGAGGGGAGGCGTGGACCTCTGGCCCATAGATTGCATCCCCATCTGATTGAACTGATTCATACCTGATCAAACACAGAGGGCAGTATGATACAACATGAAGCATTTCACAAGGGAACACACACTACTTATTGCATTTTACTCTCAAACTAGTTATCATACATGTGCACTAGTGAGATTTTGATACAAACCTTGACTTCTATATTCTTGTCAGAACAGGGTTCGGGCTCTTTCACTTAAAATAGCATAACGACTGAATAACAAACACTGGATCTAATTTTTGGTCCCCTAATAAATGGAGGAGCCCATATTTTACATCCTAGATCTGAGTAGTTCTTTACCTGGGCCTTGCATTCTGTTGACCATCTGATTTGGTCCTGGTGGTCGCACCATTGATGGGTCGGGAAGAGGACCGTCTGTAAATTATAAAAGAGAACCGAGATTAATAAAAATCAAGCTATCATACGTGCACAGGAGACAAGGAGAGGTGATGGTTCCCTAACCGAGCATTTGAGGAGAGATTTGTAAACATCTGGAAATTTTGATCCTTTCTTTGTTTGGCCTGAGGAGATCATTGGCATGGGGACTTGTGGCAATTAAGCACTGAACAGGGACAACTTGAAGTGCATTTTTAGCCTCTTTAAACTAATCTGTTGTTCCCTTAACAATACATGAACAAGCTGATCCAACGAAAAAACTCTCAAGGCACCCAACAAGTATGAAGGGACTGAGACAAGCTATGTTATTTTGAGGACCTAGCATGAGAAATTAACTGTAAAAACACATGGCCAGGGGAGATTCAGATTCAAGTTAACTGCCTCTCCATAAAACATAAAAACGGTCCAATAAGCATTCTACAGGCAAATCTATTCAGTCATATTTAAAACCTGGTGACATATTGCACCCCTGGTCCAATACACAAAAAAGCTGTATCAAATTTAGGAGCATATCAAGATAATAGAGTGTGATACAAAATACCCTGAGGTGACAAATCAGGGGTCACAGATCGCATTGCATGAAGTTAGAGTTACAAAAGACAGCTAAAATGTCACATTCAGACAATCTAAATTAGCGTTCACATGAATGCCTGGAGAAAAATGGAACATAAGCTCATCTTAAGCCTTTCACATATGCACTCATAAAAATTTCAGGAGGACGGGCCCTGAAATACTCCTGATATGGTTGTTCACACATTCACCTCACAGCAGGAGACTAACAGGAGGTGTGTGTGTGTGTGGGGGGGGGGGAGGGAGGATCTCTTAAGTCAAGACAAAACGTAAAAAGAACAGTCCACTAAAAGATGCTAGATAGATAGAGAATATTTGCCCTTGTAGAAGTGCTATGTGTAGTTTGACAGATTCACAATATCAACAAAAGATTGGAGAAGAACATTGAGGCAAACAAAAAACCTGTGGTGTGAATACAGTCACCACTCACTCGCATTGAATTCTCCTGATTATATCCTGCTGTGTTTTCAAATCCACTCACTGTGGAATAAATACTAGGTGGCTGGCAGTAGAAACTCTGGATAAAGTCTGAGTGAAAAATGTGGCTGTTCACGTTCACATGTGCAGCTCAACCCAAAAAAAACTTCAGAAGTCTTTCAAGAGCTTTGTGCAGGTGTGAAAGCACTATCAAGCCGTTTTCACATATGCACTCCGGAAAATATCTAGATAATTTCAGGAGGATTGCTCCGGAGATTCTCCCGACTTGGGTGTTCATATGTGCTCCTCACAGCGGGAGTTTATGCCTGTCAGAAAGGAGGGGGGGCTGGGGGGATCTCCTAAGGTAAGACCTGACATAAAAAAAACCAACGCGGAAGTAGTGGACCAAGCAACAGAGTCCGCTATTCGACGCTATAATGACAATATTTGCCTTTATATCAATGCTAGGTGTAGTCCAATGGAATGAAAACATCAACAAAAAAAGCGGAGAACAAAATACTGACGATCAGAAAACATAATGCAGCTGTTTAATTACGTGCAGCAGTCACAGTATATAAACGTCACTCCCCCCTCCTATTGGCTGGGGGGGAATTCTCTGGAGAATATCCTGTGCGTTCTCACATGAGCCCACTCGGACTTGCAAAGGGAAAAAAATACTAGGGGTCTGGCAGGTGAAACTCAGAGCGTTCACATATAAAGCCCCTCCGGGAAATATCCTGACTTTTTCAGGAGATTTCTGCAAGTGTAAAAGCCCATTGAGTCTACATGTACTGCATGTCCACTTACTCGGAGAAATTCCTGCGGGGGGCTGACCCATGCCTGGAGGCCCAATGCCCAGGCCCTGCTTCTGGAGGCGGGTCCTCCTCTTCTCCTCCAGCTCCTTCTGGATCTTATAGATCTTCTCTGCTAGCAGGTGATAATACTCAGCCTGTTGAGAACAAAGAAAGCATTTAAAGAGGGTTAAAAAGGCTAGAAGATAAAAAGACCTTACAAAGTTTAATTTAAAATAATTAGCAACAGTAGAACACACTGGAAGCGGTTACTTAGTTGCAGATCTTGTAAATAGACAAAATCTTGTGCTCTAGGTTTTCACTCGAGTAACACAATGGTACATTTATTGTGTGATTTTAACAAACTACAGCTGGTTAGTGGTATTTTCTGAGTAAGCTAAAGTAGACAGAAACTTACTCTGCTGTTGGCTGACTCGTACATGTCCCCCTCAACTTTTCTGGCATAGGCCACCAGGTTCTCCATTCGACGATCCTTGAGGGCAGCAGGATCTGGAGTCGGAAAGATGGCCTGAACACTAGAGGTGGGAAAACAAATAGAAAAAGCTAAACCACACTCATAGTCCCCTTGAAAGAGCTTGTGTGACCAGTGTGTGAGTGTCTGTCTTGTTTGTGCAAAGTCTTAGCTCTGCAGTTTTTCCATGTTCAGTTAACATTATTATCCATCAGCAACAAGCATGTTCTAAGCTCTGACTGTAGTAGTACTTAGAGCGCTAGTGTGTTTGCGTACTTCCAGCATTAATGTCAACAAATAAAGTAACCTAGTCTTCACCTGTAAACACAGAAAGTTACATTTAAGAAGTGAAAAGGGGGGATATGATCAGACAGCTTGAATGAAATCGAAGAAGCTGGAGACAGGCTGGAGTGGAGGTTTGTTATTTGTTTTTGTTAGAGCATTTTGTGTAAAATGGGAACATTAAGGTAGTGCGGGGTCCCTCTTTAATACTCACAGTTTGTGTACCAAGTGGTTCCTTAAGTCCTGCGTAATGTCCTCATGCCAGCTTTTCCTCATACCTGAAGAAGAAGGAGGGCCTGCTGTCGGCATGGAGCCGACTCCACTGGCATCATTCATTAGACTGGAAGAGATAAGAGGCATGGTATGAATGATTAACTTTTTAAAAATACATGGACATGTCAAGTTGGTATGATGTAGAACTGTGATGACATGATTAAGCTGCTAGTTATGGTAGCTGATTTTAATGAAGGTTGTGTTTCCCTTCCTGCTTACCCTTGGCTGGTCACATTGAGGTGCATCATGGTATCCTGCAGCAGGTTAGCTTGGCTCTGAGTTGGAGCTCCCACCCCTCCATTGACTCCCATAGGATTTGCACCTAAACATGGAAAGGACAGGATATTGATAGTCTGCATGTGATATTCCCTTTTAATTGTAATGATTGTTACACTGTAATGGATGTTTCTGTTCAGACTGTATTCTTTTACCTTGAGCCATGTGAAAGGTTATTAAGGTACAAGTTCACTGAAATACATCTAACTCTTTTTATCACTGCCATTATAGAAAAAAAACATAATTCATATGCCACAATATGTAGAATAAATATTGGAAGTGATCTTAAAATCATTGTTATGAAAAATGCTAAGCTCTAAATCACAGAGGATGGCATATTTTTCCTCTGAAATACCCTAGAGATTGAGGTTGATTGAACATGCATTCTCACTCACCTATTGGGTTCAGAGTCCTCATGCCTGCCTGGCCCTGCATGCCTGGGTTGGCCATGTTGGGCTGAGCAGACTGAGCCTGAATCTGGTTACCCTGGTAAGTGAGGCCCAGGGCTGCGTAGGCTCTTTCTATGGAGCTGGGGTCAATCTGGCTTGGCTGGTTGAGGTTGGGAGCACTTGGTTGGCCACCAGGTACTGCTCCAAGAGAGCTGCCCAGACCTGCAGCAGCCGCACCAAGTAGAGCTGTCATGAAAAAAGAAGAGATGTTGTTAAATAATGCAACTGATCTGCTCTAATGGAAAAAAAAGAACTCGAAAAACTAAGGTCACGAAAAGCCTGTGACAAAATATTTACATGAAAACAGAAAAAAATTGATATTAAGTAAGTTATGGATGAATTTCCCCCCTACAACTACTGTTAAGGTTTTAATGCAGCAATATCAAAAAAAAAAATGAATTGACGATCTGACAATAACACAATATGATAATGTTACTTAGAAGAACAGTGTAGTAAGAACAAAAATAATGTGTTTGGTCAGATACAGACACTCACACTGCGGGTTCCTCTTGTCGCCAGCATTCTTCAGCGGCAGGCACACAGGACAGTCGTGCCGCGTGCAGTTCTTCCAATGGGAGATGATCTGCCTCGATGATGCACAGTGAGCCACTGAGAGGAAAAGGGCAGAAAGACAGGAGAAGTAAGGAAACACAGAGATATTAAGGGAGGAGAACGAGGCAGGAAAACAAAACTCAAACAAAGAGTTAAAGGTGCCTTTTTGTTGCAATTAAAAAAACATTCCTGAATCCAAAGGACACAGAAAAGGATTGTGAAGTTAACTGAATGATGTTGTTGATGTGTATATTACGATATAATATAGGTAAACTTCTGTATTAAAAATAGTCGTCTGTGCATCTATTTCCCTATACTGCGTATGCCTCCTGCAATGTTTGCTTAAGAGCTTTACTGTGGCATTGGGGATATATATTCAGCATTAGAAAGTACACATCTTGTGTGTAACAAGCCTGCTTGTTAGATATATTATAGTTGCCTCTCAATCTAGAAGCATGCAGCATCCCTTTTACTCACCCTGGCAGGACTTGCCAGCCTGGCAGTGAGTCATGTGGTTGAGGACGTTCTTCATGGTACGACAGTGGGGCAGGTTGCACTGGCGGACTTCACCGTTGGCCTGCTCCCGCCGCTGGCACTTGTGTGCATGGAGCAGGAGCACCAGTTGCTGCTGGATGAGCTTGCGCTTCTCAGGGTCAGCTGTAGGTGGTGCTCCTGCTGCAGCAGTGGCTGCCGAAACCTGGGCACCTGGACCGACCAGACCTGCCTGAGCGTTAGGCACCATCCCTGTGGCCCCTCCTAAAGGTGCACCTGAAGGGCCACCCACGCCCGTTTGTGTTTGTTGAGAGCCCTGGAAAGGTAAGTGGGAGTTAATAAGTAGCAGGGACATGGAAGAGGCAAGATTTAAGTTGTCGTGAAATTGAGAGAGATAAGGTAGATGGAAGCAGGAAAGACAGGAAGAGAAGGTGGTGCTTAATTTACAAAAACAGGAGTGTGAGATATTAAAAGAACAGGGAAGTTATTTAGTGGGATACGAGGGAGGTGGGTTAAGGGCAAAAACAATTAAATCATTTTCAGTTTTAGACTTAATTGCTTCCCTACCATGGCAGCCATTCCTTGCATGGGCTGGTTCTTCTTGTCCACATTGAACTGGGCAAGACTGTTTGCCATGGGACCTTTGTTTTGGAGCTGAGGGCCCAGCCCTGCCCCTCCCAGGCCTTGATTCCCCTGCCCAGCATACGGACCTCCAAAAGGGCCCCCTGGATTTCCCAACATCCCCATCTTGGAAGAGAAAAAAACAATGGGGAACAATAAAAAGATATGAAGAGCGTGAGATGATGATGAAGGATACATCAAGCGAAGTCATTTTACAACTTAGTATGTAAGTGCACCATATATACTTTTTTACTGTTTTCAGTGATCATATTTGAGATGTAAATGTTACAGCAATTTTAGCTTTCTGTGTCTCTGCAAGATCCCAAACCTTAGCTCATAAATGATAATGACCTGTTGATATTTCTACACATCATAAATTCCATCAAAGCCAAATTTAAAAGGTTTTCATTTCCCAAAAATTATTAAATCATCTGTTATACCACTTGCACTTTCTAAACAGCAACTACTGAAGGAAGAGATTTCTCTTTTTTTACAGTATTAAAAATGTTATAAACTATTAGAAAATATAAAACAATATTTTGGAAACCAAAAATCTTACATCAACTACAGAAACACTGCCCAGCACATTGAAACCAGTTTTGAATAGTTCCCATTTTCTCAGATTAAACAGGTTATTTGAACATTTATTTTAAAATCACAGATCTGGTACTCATCAGTACCCTGCATATATCCCCTTCTGTTTATCATTTCAATTGCCTTAAAACCTTAAAACATTTTTTCACTCTTTTCGTACGCAACCCAGAAACCATCTCACTGCTTGTGATCTCTATGGCAGGATCAAACATCAGTGTCTCCGCGCCACATTCATTCATTCAGCGACAACAGCAGCTTGCCGCAGCAACATTTTTACTGTCACTCCTGAGGGACTGTCAATCACATAAGCAGAGCATTTTTCTGCCACTTCAACTCAAAGCATAAGAGCTAGAAAATACTTTTTCCATTTAGACGTAAGATCTTGACTCAGAATGAAACTTGCTCATGTGTTCAGTCATAAACAACAATACTTCAAGACAGATAGATACTTATTTTACCAATGTGCAATTTACAAATCCAATCAAGTTAAAATCAAAATAAATGTTATATCTATAACTGAAGGGGTCCTTACCTTGTTCATTGCTCCAGGTTGCTGGCCTCTCATCCCAGCCTGACCTCCAGCCCCCGGTTGCTGTAGGGTCTCAGCCAGCAGATTACTGTTGCCACCCATCCCTTGATTCCCAAAGCCCATCCTAGGGGAGCCATTCATCACCTGACTTCCCATCATGCCTGGCTGCTGCTGTCCATTATTGCCTTTCTGCTGTGCTCCCATCATGGCCCTGTTCATGCCACCCATCATAGTTGCATTCTGCTGCATCATGTTGGCCTGCTGCTGAGGGGAGAGGTGCTGCTGCTGCCCCTGGCCCATCATCTGTGGAGGCCCCTGGCCAGGGGAAGCTTTCATGTTTGCCAAGTGTTGCCCCATGGCAGTGGGGCCTCCTGGGCTACCCATGGCTCCTTGGTGCCCTTGTTGGGTAGACGACGGTGCTCCTGAACGTAAAAGCTCAGACAGCTGTTTGTGCTTGGCCACCGCATCCTGACCTCCACCAGGACCCCCTCCAGGGCCAAGACCAAGACCCATTCCTCCTGCCCCTCCACCTGGACCAAGCCCTGCAGGTCCTCCTCCCAGTGTGGTGTGCAACTGGCTGAGGTCTCCACCATTCAGAACCAGACCTGGTTCATTGGAACTGATGAGCTCGTCTGGGAGATCATGCTCCAGGTCGAACAGAGAGCCGAAATCTAAAATTGGGAAGAAAAAAAAAAATGGGGAGGACAATAAGTTGGGAGACAAATCAGAAGAAGCGTGAATAGGACAAAAAGGGCCACGATAAGATAGTATAATCCTTCATTTTTCAAAATTGTTGTGTGAAAACGACATTGCATGCTGACATTTAAATCTGATAAAAGATGTTTAGACGTGTATGAAAAATTGTCTCTGCAGGCATGCTATCCGGCACAACTAAACCGATCCAAATGAAATTTAGTGTGATTGTGAAGCTGGCATTCAAAAATATGTATGCAAACACACACACACCCACAAGCCCTCACAGAGAATCCCTGACCAGTAAAGTGATTCAACATGTTACTAAGGCAGGTTTGTACAGACAAGGTGACGAATGGACCATTTCAGAGAAGTAACACCACAAAATGGAGCCAAGTCGAAGGATATGCACACTAACTGCGTTCAACTGCATCTGCAAGGATCAACTGCACGCAGCTAAGGTAATTAAAAACATCTTGTATCTTAAAGATGGCTTCAAGATCAAACAATACACAACCCAACAGACCTTAAGCCAAAATGTTTGTATACAATGATAAGTTACGATATACATGACATTCACTTTGAAGAAGACACCACTGTCAGATCGAGAATCATTTTAAAAAAGGTTTTGCATTCAGATAAACTGTGATGTGTTAAGTAATTGCTCAACATGAAAATAATATAAAAAAATCCCAAACCTTAAATTAACTTAATGTAAAAATCAACAACTTGTAGTCATTAGAAATAGCTTTTTGAAGTGAAAGCAGACACACATGTAATCTTGTGCATGAACTAATTCATTTAAATATTATTCTCAAATAACCCATAAACAGTCTGTATGGAAGTTGTGAGACACTACATGTGGGTGCAATAAATGTCACCCCTTTGATTCCCATAATTTCCTTGACAGCAGGGCACTAAACCTGCTCATGAAAGGTAACATGTAGGACTTCAGGGACAACCATAGCTGAGTGGACACCCTGCGATGCAACTGTTTAAGGGCAATAATTGTGTGAATGATTAAGCGATTAAATCCGAGTTTCTACTTCGTGCATAGATCATTATCTGCCTTGCTGGTTAATATCGCAGTGGCTGATCATGGCGCTGTCCATGCTCCTCAGTTTTTACTCGAAGGCCACTATTCCAGCTGCTGTCACACGACATCCATAAAAACACACCAACAATGGCAATTTAGGCTCAACAATCAGTCGGACCTGTGGGCCTAAATTTAGCTCCGCAACAAGGCTAAACACACCAGATTGACAACCTGTGTTTTTCTTAACATTACAGAACAGAGCTAATGTTAATGTGAGTTATGATGGGGCAACACAACAGATTGTTTTAGTAGCCCTCAAATCTCAAGATAACAGAAACGAGTTAGCTGTAGCAGACAGCCACTTTAACACGGCTGTAACACAACAAAAACTTTATTACAAGTTGTCTTGGCGTTTATAAGCCCCGGTTAAAGTAGCCCATTAAAGACACGGGACCGTCAGTTGAGGACCCCGCATTCAGTTAGCTAACATAGCATTAGCCGACTGAGCTAACAGAGCTACCTCCGGCTAAAATGGCTGTTAGCATGCAAGCTAGCTGTGGGAGCTCCTCTTCACGTCCGACACACACACTCATTAGCAAGCTAACGTTAGCAAGCTACGACAAAAACAGAGGAGTAATCACGCGTTTTCCTCGCCTTTCAAGTGGACACAAGCCGTTGAAAATTAATAAACCGATTGATTAACACTGTAACAAACTGTATCAGTAATAAATACTTACCATTTCCATCGCTGGCGGAGGCGGAAAGTGCCGGAGAGGAGAGTTTAGGCCTCTTGGCTGCAGGCGGGCCAGAGTCCAGAACGTTCTCGGCCATATTTTTTCGAAATAAAAATATATAAAGTATCCACAACTGCAGACGTTTTCACGCCCTTAGAAGCTCATTCCTTTTCGTTTCCAATATTGCGACTTTTCCCCCTCCTTTTGGGGGACTAAGAGGGGGAAAGTCCCGTGTACAAATTACTCCTCTTTCCCTGGGTTCGCCTCTCGATTTCAGCCTCGGCGTATATCAACCCCCCTCCCTCCCTCGTCGGATTTTTTGTTCTTTATAAATTTCTGCCAGCGGAGGAGGAGGGGGTCGGTGAAAGTAAAGAGGGAGACACACGCAGCGGCTTCCCTCTAAACTTACACAGCGTCTTCGGATGTAAATAAACTGTCCCCGGGTCTCTCTTCCATGCTTACATCCGTCATTTCGACCTCCTTTCCAGCGGAGTCTGGATGGAGATAATGTCGGGCAGAGCAGGCTTGTTTGCCTGCGAAGTGATGGTGGTGCTGCTGGTGGCAGCGGGTAAGGATGAGGGGATGCAAAAATAAAATAATAAAGCTGACAAATATGCAGCCGTGGTGGTGGATGACATATAATGCTCATTCAAAGAGTTGTGCATGTAAGCTATATAATAAATAAAAGAGATACGTGATTTATGGAGAATTCATCTTTGAAGAAACCTGAACTTGCCACTGGAAGGTTTAATTAAGTTGGATTACGCTAAAAGGCTATTTAACATGCAAGTAGCCTAAAGTTATTACCACTTTTTGCGGCTATTCCTTTTAAAATCAAATATATATTTTCATAGATTTATTGGCCTATAACTTTCAGTGCAGCAGACTATGTTGGGTTCACAAATACAAACAGCCTAATGCAAATCTTGAAAGATTGGTTGAACTAATTCCTCACTAATTAACATTTTCCAAATTAAAGACGGAATCCTGTCATCGTTTATTTCCTTTTTGTTTGTCTTCTTCAGTGGCATGGCTCCATGCATACATTTGTGAATCCTCTTTTATACAGCACAGAAGAATGCAATTTCCTCAGCCTATCCTTCTGTTTACTCTGCATTAAACCCTCAGTTAAAAAAATATTCTTCCTGTCTTGGTTTTGCACCAAAACAGCCACCAGTCTTTACTCAGTCACTCACTGGTGTGTATGTATTCAGCATATACCTGAGTCTATAGACTTCACAAAACAACTGATTCCATTTCAATCGTTGCATCGACTTCACGGTTTTAAACTGCAAAGAAATCAGTTTGAAAAACACTTTATTATCTCAACCTACAAAGTGGTCATTCATGTTGTAGGCCTAACTACTCCTAAGCCATTTGATCTCATTTTAATGCACACAGGTAACTCTTAACCTTTCAACCCTCAATGCTTATCTATGTTTCAGTCAAAATTTTGCATCTATAAAGTTTATCTCCTTGTTCTTAAACTGGGGTTGGGGATACCCTCTTCGAATGCCCCTATGGTATACGAATAAGTCTCCTCCAGGGTGCAATTTTAGTGGATAAAATGTGATTAAGTGCTCTCCTGGTTGTTCTTCCAGTGGTCAAATCTGGGAACATGCCCTCCAGGGTGCCCTTCCTGTGGACTAAAAGTGGCAGCGTGCCCTCAGCCCTCCATGGTGCCCATCAGTGGACATAACTATTTCCCTATAAATGTATGACGACTTTTAGTGTGCTGGTGCCACACCTTATAGAAAAGGTGCCCTTATCATTATTTTTCGCTCCTGCCCCTTAAACATCCCGAGTCTGCTATTGTTTGTGAGACTTTTAGAGTAAGATGCCTACATTGAATGAACATGTTGAAGCACAGAAGTCATTTAAAAACGCTGCACCATTGGATCAAATGAAATACACTTACAGCATGTGTTTTATGTTTTTATACATAATGATGTGTTCTGGAATTAAGAATGAAGTTTCATTCATCTTAAATGTGTTCGGCCAAAAGGAGAACACTGTCATGTTAATGCTTAATATGATAAAGAGTAAAGGACTTACACACTATCCGTAAACCTGTTTGATTTCATGCTGTATTTATATCAATTATGCAGATGACATTCTTTGTAGGGGAATTCAACAGACAAAGTCAGAAAATTAGGTATTTAATGCATCTAAATGAAAAATGAAATCTCATTGAACAAGTTGAACATCTATAAATGTCTACAACACGTAACAAGGCAGCAGAGGTAATTTTTCAAACTTAATTGCCAACAGAATACAATCAGAAGTCTGTTTTAGTTTCTCTGCATGCAATCTTGTGAGTATTATATAGTAGTAAGTTTTGTATTACAAATCTGCAGCCACTTCTTCTTGTTGTCACATCCACTGACTTGCTTTAATGTGATCGAAAAATGGGATTCCATTGCGTCACAAAAGTTTCATTAAACATCTCTATCACATAATAACCAAATCGGTGAATATATATGTGTTGGAATCAAACCCTTGTGGTGTGGTATCATGCCCAGTCAGAGAACTTCATCAAGCCATGGCTGGATCAACCCACCAGGGGGCCACATGGCACACAAGGACCCTGTGCCAAGTCTACCAGCATTAGTTTGCTGCAAGGCAAATACCATACAGGGTCTAAGAATACATTTCTAGATTAAATTGTATGTGCACAAATATTTAATGAAATATTACTAAACTTAACATGCCTTAATAATGCATGACCCATAATTAAGGTCAAAATAAAGGTCAAAATAAAACAATATTTTAAAAAAAAGTACTTAATATAGCCTAAATATAAAGGGTGGACAGTGAGTGAAGTTTCATATATTTATATATCAGCATGTATACAATCTATAGAAATTTGAAAGCAACAAGAGTTAACAGGTTTAAAGATTTTAATCAGTGTACATTCTTTAACAAATATAAATTTAACTAATTATGACACATAGGCCAACTGTGAACTTGTGTCCTTCAGGGTCCTGTGGAAGTTCCCTTTTCTGCCAGGTCAGTAATCCAGCCTCAAACAGGTATCAGCCTTATTTTCTGCTGTTTTTGGACTTTTTACCTCTCTTACTTTCACCCTGGGCATGAACTGAAGGACCCCACATTTTGAAGGGGCAGCAAGTAGACATTATGACATCAAAACCTGCAGAAGAGCGTGTATGGAGCCCCAAAAGTGACCACATTACCTGAAGGATGATCTGAGGAGTTTGTTATGAGATTCATTTATAAATAATACAAAATCAAACAAAAGTAATGTATTGATATTTCATCACTAAGTATATGAACACTTGGTGGTGGTGCATCAATTACCTTCATTAACAACTGCTTAATTGGGGACTTTGGTGGCCTAGTGGTTAGTGGGCATGCTCCATGTACAGAGGCTGTGGTCCTCCAAGCAGGAAGCCCGGGTGTGAATCTGACCTGTGGCTTCTTTTTTGCATGGCCTTCTGACTCTACACTATCCTATCTCTAAGATAAAGGCCTAAAAAAGCCCCAAAATGAACCTTTGAAAAACAAAAACAAGTGCTTGATCACAAGAAAAACAAAAACAGTTCACTTTAAAAGAAAAGGCAGACAAGCATTACCATAGTCTGATTCTAAAAGGTTGCACTAAGTGGCTTTCATACAGGATACCATGGTCTGCCAATAAATGTGAAACACACCTTTCATTATAGGGTAAAAACAAATGACAGACATAGTGCGATAGAATTGTTGGCAGTGACCATCCAGGGATAATTTCCATTTTCAGAAGCTTAAAAGAATCTTAAATTCAACTCTTAACCCTCCATTCAGACACTTAGTGTCTCATGTTGCACCTTGTAAGAACAGACATCACTGCCTGTTTACCTCTCCATACATCATGCTTTAAATGGGGCTAAATCACATTACTTGCAGTGCATTACCTGTAAATGCATTGTGTATATGTTTGTGTATGCATGTACTAAGCTGTGTTCTTTATATGTGCACATATATAAAGAGTGGCCTTAAGAAGATAGAATGATAGAAGCTGCTCTCTTTATCCATCAGTGAAACCTTTTGGACCTGTGTTACTGTAAATGAAAAATATATTTCAAATGTTTTTCCTGCTCTTTCTGTGTGGCTTTGCATGTGTTTACCTCAAATAGTACTATCAGCAAAAATATCAAAAAGTTAAGAACAAATACATTTACAGTAATTAAATATAAGTAGAAAAGTAATAATAATAATAATAATAATAATAATATAGTACTAGAAATTATACACTATGTAAACTTTCACTTCTGGAAAGACAGAGAAGTAAAAAAACACAAACAGTGTCGCATATTAAGATGAGCATTTCGATGCAGTCATTTCACATATGAGTCATGTGATGCTGTTAAACAGTCTGACTGCAGATGGGATGAACAACCTGCGGTTGCGCTCTTTCTTGCAGGGTGGGTGTCTCAGTCTGCTGCTGAAGGAGCTGCTCAGGGTCTCCACAGTGTCACACAGGGGGTGAGATGGGTTGTCCATGATGGATGTCAGCATGGATAACATCCTCCTCTCACCCACCTCCTCTACAGAGTCCAGAGTCCAAGACAGAACTGGCCCTCCTAAACCAGTTTGTTGAGTCTCTTCCTGTCCCTCTCTGTGCTCCCTCCTCCCCAGCAGACCACTGCATAGAAAAGTGCAGACGCCACCACTGTGTCATAAAAAGTCTGTATCAGAGTCCTGCACACTCCAAAGGACCTCATTGGCCTCAGCAGGTGCAGTCGACTCTGGCCCTTCTTGTACAGGACGTCTATGTTGTGGGACCAGTCCAGAGTGTTGTTGAGGTGAACACCCAGGTATTTGTAGGTCTCCACCATCTCAATGTCAAAGCCCTGGATGTTGACCGGTGCATGGGGTGTCAATCACCATTTCCTTTGTCTTGCTGGCGTTGAGCTGAAGGTGGTTGGGCTCACACCAGTCAACAGAGTCCATGATGACCTGCCTGTCCTTCTGTTTATTCCCACGATGGCTTTGTCATCAGAGAACTTCTGCAGGTGGCAGCTCCCAGAGGTGTGACTGAAGTCCGAGATGTACAGGGGGAAGAGAAAGGGTGAGAGAACTGTCCCCTGTGGGGCCCCTGTACTGCAGACCACCATGTCAGACTCACAGTCCTGAAGCCTCGCGTACTGTGGTCTGTTGGTGAGGTAGTCCGTTGTCCATGCAGCAAGAAGACAGTCCACTACAGCTCATTCCAGCATCCCTCAGCGTACAGGCCGGATGGTGTTGAAGGCACTGGAGAAGTCAAAGAACATGACCCCTCACAGTGCTGCCGTTGTTCTCCAGGTGAGTCCGCGATCTGTGCTGCATCTACACCTGTATGTCCAGTTGTTAGGTGAACTGAGTGGATCCAGACTTGAACTCACCGGATGTTACAATGATTCTATAGATGAGAATGTGACTAGCTGTATGTCTCTGTCAGTCCTGCGATTGACTGGCAACCATATCAAGGTGTAGCCCACCTCTCACCTCATGACAGCTGACATCCGCTCCAGCCCCATCGTGTCCCTGAACTGAATACGATTTTTTTAATGATTGTAAGAACTTGACTGATCTTGGAAAGAGCAAGCAGTGTAAAGGTTTAAGTCAATGCCCAGGGTATTTATCATGGAATTTCTCACTATTGCCAGGATTTTTACAAACAAAGAAAATAAATTGATTAATGGAGAAACTAGTGCAGATAATATTCAATTGGCTACAGCCCTACACAAAAAATTTACACTTTTATCTCCACCTAAGCAAGAAATGGCAGAAAATTTGCGTCTACATTAATGTAGGAGTTATCCAATGGTATTCTATGTAACTACTGTATGAAAGTCACATGGACTACTTTCACTTTAAAATCTTGAAATACCTTTCCTGGGCATTATAACTGCTTATATCTTATATCAAAATGAATTCTTCAGTGCAGGAGTTTTACTGCACATCATGTGTAGCTGATCTGTTCTTCCAATTACTGTAAGTGAAGGATTTGAATTCTTCCTCCACTGAAAAACATTTATATTTGAGAGAATGAGATAAACAAGACAGGACTGGGGGTCACCAAGGTTATTAGGACTTATCAGTACCATTGAATTGAACTAAGATTGAATAAAATCCTGGTTATAGATTTTGGTGATATAGGTTGACATGGAAAATGATGGATAAATTTGGACCTGATGATGGCTCAAAAGTAAAGACCACAAAGTAGCAAAAAACAGAACTAGAACCCCTGAAAGCCCTGCCAATCAGAAGAAATGTGTACATGTTTCTTATATCTTTCTTAACACTAAAGTTCAGAACAAACTGAAAAACAAACATGGCTTTCTTGCACCCCTGAAATCTCTCATCTGAACTAACAGGTCAAAGATGAAGCAGTCAACTGCACAGCATCCCCTCACACTTTGGCTCACACAGGACACAATGCACGCATCCTGTTCATGGTGTTCAATACAATCATCCCAGACGTGTTTCACACCAGAATCAACCAGCTCAGTGTTCCAGCCCCATCTGTCAGTGGATCACAAACTCCCTGGAAAGAAAGAGATGAGCCTCAGGAACATCACATCCAGCTCCCAATTAACATTGCCATCCTCCAGGGGTGTGTGCTTTCCCCACTGCTCTTCAATATCCACATCCACAGACATCCACATAATATAGGGTTATATCACACCTCTACATAGCTTATGTACACCTCTGATGAAGTCAGATCCACCTGGAGTTTATTCAACTCAAAACCATGGAAATGACAATGGACTTTAGATGGAGTCCCTCCAGTCACTGTCTGTTCTGGAAACCATCAGATTTCTGTGATCCACAATCTTATCTAGTCCTACCCTTTAACAACCTTTACTGCTTTTATTTAGTTTGTTCTCTGCACATCCGTCATAGTCTGGTTTGGATCTCCCACCTAACAGGACAGGAACAGACAACACCAGACGTCACCACAGTCTTTGTTGTCCATCACCTACCATACATGACTAACATCTGGTAATGGGAAGGAAACATCACTGCAACCTATAACACATCACACACAATCTGTTCAAACCTCTCCACTCTTTTAGGCACTACAGAGCTCTGCACAGCAGCAGAACAACCAGACTTAGGAAGAGTTTCTTTTCACAGGAGCGACAGCATCAAGAGCAATCCCTGTGCAGTAACTCTGTGAAACAAACGTTCCCAGTACCTGTAAATCATACTATCTCATTGATTAAAGTTTTGAATGCCAACCCTCAAACAAAATTTTTCTTATGCATACTTCCCTTACAGTAACATTTATCTACCTCATGTAGCTTATAAGGCGATGTATCATTAATCATGTTTATTTAAGAACCTTAAAAAATCTTAACCACTGCACCATGTTACTTACAAATGTATTTTTCCTGTTTACTGTTTATATATATACTTTTTATTACGTTTATTTAATGTAGATATATAGCTTAATATGTATGTTTAAACTTTATGTCTTTGTTTGGATCAATACGTTTATGCAAATTTCTGTGTTTACAGTTTAGTACAGAGTCGATCTTTATCAAACCTCAAGCACAGACAAAAGGAGGCTGGCCAACAGGTGCCCATAAATAGAAAACTAACTAATGTGTACACTTTTTTAAAAATATTCTATGCGTATGTATGTATCTAGATTAAGAGACCAAGACCAAAAGAGATGAATCATAACCAAAGTGTCATTGTACCTTTATTGATCAACCTTGCATATTGAAATTAATTCCTGCATATGAGTTATATTGTCATTACCCTTTAAACACATTCGTTTTTCAAAATAAGTACATGGACTCTAATGGCCAAAAAAAAGAGAGAAATACAGTATGCACACATTTGTGAATTTTCTCTGAAATATGACCAAACAAAACAAAAATAAATACAAGCTACATGCCACCTACAAAACGTATCCAGCAAATCATACTTCGAATATTTTTCAAGTATCATCCTGCAGATTAGATAATATGACATTTGTAAAGGTAATTCACTGTAAAACTCTTCCAATCCTGTTAAGGCCTCAATTCCCATAATGCCTTGCCAGTGTCTGATATACAAACTACAATGACGTCACAGGTAAGGGACCGCAGTACTGTTTTAGAGAGGTCTAAGAAGTTATAGCAAAAAAACAAATAGTTTAGCTGTTTTTTATAACAGCCCAAAGCCTGCCTAACATTATATGTTTGAACCTTTTCAAGCCGCAGACTTTGAGTTATAAAAAGCGAAATGCTGCTTCATGATTTGTCAAACACGCTGTTAGCACTATTAGCTGCTAGCTAGCACGTACAGTAGCATGTGAACTATCACAGTTTGTTTATGTTTCGACCAGCTTGTCTATTAACCTTTGAGCTGTATTAGTTTATCCATTATCTATGTAGCTAAATTAATTGAAACGTGTTTGTTGCAGTGCATTTAGGCTTGTTAACAATAGAGTGATACTTATTGTTTGTTTATTCATCTAACAAATGTTTCTTATGTTTTGGTTTGTAGTCAGAAGATTTATAATAACGCTTCTTATTTCTTGTTTTTGATTGAGACTCTGTTACGAACTTTAAAATAGTGTCCAAGTAAATATTCTCAACCAATCAGGTTATTGTTATAAATTAAACCATATTTCCTCAGACCATATTCAAAACAATGTTTACAGTCTCATACAAATCGTTTAGTGTTTGGTACTACCTAAAACAAATGTCATCAACTACATTTTCTGACATTTAAAAAAACACTGTGTCTGCTTGATTTAACATAATTATAATAATCACTTTCTTCTCCAGGGCTCTTAAAACAACTTAAACACAGTTTAAAAGAAGAAATGATGTGTTGGATTTAGGTCCTTCTTTGTATTCTGAGGCATCGAGCGACCACAGCGATGCCTTATCACTGTGTAGCCTATGGATGCGGCAAAACGGCAGAAGATGGTGTGGCACTGTTTAAATTCCCCAAGGACCAGCAAGAATTTCTGAAATGGGAAAAGCAGGTCCAGAGAACCCGCAACAATTGGGTCGCCACACCAAACTCTTACCTCTGCAGCGAGCATTTCGGCAGGGAGTATTTTGAACCCAGACCACACACAGCGGCTCCGAAGCTGAAGCCTGGAGCGGTTCCTACGGTGTTTGTCCGTCCACACTGTTCCTCCTGCAGCGGAGTGGGCTGCAGCAAGTGCCTGCCTGCTATCCAACGCCGGGGCATTACAGCCGAATCCAGTGTGAGTAGTAGTTTTCATGGAGAGCGTCAGCTTGAATTTTGTTTCCAATATTTGTACACATTTTGTGTAAAATTGGACTTGACACATTTGTTTTCTTTTATTCCTCTTTACAACACACATTCAGTTAGACGATAACAATGGAGGAGGTGAGAAAGAGAATCCAGCAGGAGGACGGGTTAAAGCAGGACATAAATACACAGAGGATAGACCAGGTACGTGATGAGAGAACGAAGTTTGAGAAACATAAATACCACTTTTTGGTTTCATTGTATGTACATTTTTAATATTTCTAATAAATCCAAATGACTTTTGGATTTTCTCTGTAAAACCCCTTGAATCCTCTGTTTTAGCTCTTAGGTATGTAAATGAAGTCAGATGATGTAAATTATACTAAAAGGTGTTTTATGTTTTCATCTTTACAGCAGTGTGTGAGATGTGTGGCACCACTGGCACCTTAAGCACCTTCTTTTCGAGGACCAAGCGTTTCTGCAGTTTATCCTGTTCACGTTCCTTTTCATCGAACTCCAAGAAGACCTCCATTCTCGCACGCCTGCAGGTGAGGAAAAGATGAGATGTTGCTGTGCACAAACAGCACTGCATCATGAACACTGTTTGCTGCCACGTAATCATTTAGAAGTAAACCACAGAGACCTGCAGAGAGTTGATAGATGTATAGTGTAGTTATATCTCCACCACTTATAGAAAAGCAGTGACCGGTTTGTCTCTCTAACACAGCCCTCCAGAAGTCTTCATCCAGATGTTCCTTATTTCTCACACCTCTTCTTCAAACACTGCCCTTCTCTTGTTTTTGATTCCCTATGCAGCCCTCTTTACTGCTAACACAACTACCTCTTTGTGTTTGATCCTCTCAGAGGTCAGACTGCAGAAGCTTCTATAAAGCCTCTGCATCCCTCTTACGTAGAAGTTCTGTGTAACTAGCTCTGAATGCTCTTCTGATCAGCATGTGTGTGTAGTACATACTGTGTTCATTTTGAACTGCTTAGGTACACCATAATATTGAAGTGATGGTAGAATGCTGAACAGTGTGAAAGACATAAAAACCTCAAGGGGATGTGGTCAGACACTTCTCTTTCAGCATTTAAAAGCAGCAGTAATAAGCACATTTTGCAGTTCTTTTGAACTGAAAACTGGCACATGGTGTTTTATAAACAATTCATTCTCCACTTAAAGGCTAACTTGTGAGAAAAAAATCCAATATTTCCTTCAGGACACTGACATAGTTTGCTGCTTTGTTTATCGAATGTTGCCTCCAGTGGGTTTTATTTATATTCCCGTGAATAATAATTGTGACCAAAAGGTGGCGGTGTTTCCTTTAAAAACAAATGTAAACGAGGAGGAGGAGGAGAAGAAGAAACCCGCGCTCTGCTTGAAAGTGTTACCTCACCTGAGGGGAAGCCCACCTGCGTCTCTGCTTGTTTTGGTTCTTTAATTCATTATGTATGTGTAGACATAAGTACATTTATGTATGAGTCAAAATGATTCATACGTGCTGCATTGGTTCATGATGAAAAACAAAATATCCGAAGCAACTAAAAGATTTAAATCGATGAATAAGGCCAGTGGCTGATTCATTGGTGAGGACAAAGCAAAGATGCAGCCGAGCTGAAGTTGATCTTTTCTATGCTTTGCATTGGTTGTATTTTAAAGGGTTAGTTCGGAAAAAGTGGTATGGGGACCATATCAGAAGCTTATCATGCAAAATACAACAGATGGAGCAACAGGCATGAGTACCGGAAGTTAAGCCAAGTACTGCTACGGGTGGGGTTGGCAGCAAAGCGTTTTTTAGCAATCAAGAAAAGGCCTTAGGATCTTAATTAATCAATTGCCGTTCAGGTGTAGTTGATTTTTTGGGGGGCTTTTTTTGCCAGCGGTCATATAACTTTTACTGAGCACTATATTTCGCCGCGGAGCAATTATTTTGTGTCACAAGGTGTTGCTGTGCGATCCGCATGAACCTTTAACTATTGTTGAGGTTTCCATGATGGTGCGTGTTTGTGTTTTTCCCGGCTGTGCAAACAAAGAAGTTTCTGAGTTACCGTACAGATTTCATCCCATCCCATTGGGAGATATTGGTGTGAAACATTTGTGGCTACTTGCACTGAAAATAGACCCCGACACATCGCGAGCAGCGCTGAAGAACCTCCGCGTCTGCAGCGATCACTTCTCTGACGAGGATTATGAAACACCTGCGACAAATAACAAAAACAACACAAGCTAAAAATCACTGCTTCCCCAAAAATCAGGTAAGATAGCACCGAACTAGTCCAGTTTAAATGAAACTATTCAAAAAACAACTAGTTACAATGTAAGTTACACACAAGTCGAAAATATCTCCCCCGCCCCCTCTCTACCCTGTCTTGATTGGCAGAAATGTTTTATGAACAATTAATGTGTTAGGGAAATATAAATTAAAATATATATATTCTTTTACATTTTTTATTTATTTTTTACATAAAAATATACATTAAAATAATTGGGTTCTTTTACATTTTTTATGTAATTATTTACATAAAAATGTACATAAACAAATTACATACATTTTTTATTTATTTTTTATTAACAATAAAAAATGTTTTGCACAAAACGTTTAGAATTTGTTTCTGATTATTGTATTAAGAAACAAACTTGTTCACAAATAGGCTATGTCAAGAAATTTTGTAAAGTTGTTGTTTTAACTGTATCCATGAGTTTGTCACACTGTGCTGTCATGTGTTGCACAAAATATTTTGCTTTTTTTATGCTGATTTTTAATCAGATTTTAAGTGTCAGTTTTGATCGTTGAAAAGTGCTGAAAAGTTTTCGGTCTCTCAGCTCAACTGGTCATGACCATCCATCTCGGACCTGGTTCTGTTTATGACTTCTTCTTGATTAAGAGACATAAACTTGTCTTCACAACCCCACTGCTTTTTCTTGGGATCCAAATCATAAGGGGAATGATCCGGCCCGGCTCTGTTCTGAAGATGTCATAATATATCTAGTTATTTGTCTATATATCAATATATTGTTATAGAAGTTGTTGTTTGAAAAATAAATGTAGTGCCAAAGGAAAGGGCAGCAAGGTAAAGAGATAAAACAGAGATAAACACTTGATAGGCTTTATAACTTTCATTGGGCTGACTGTCTCAACCTGTTCCCTGACTGTGTAGAGTAGAAAAAAACTCAGGAGGATGAATTAGGCCGGGGCAATATGACTAAAAATATTATATCACAATAAAACGTTTTAGTCGATATTGATAATTATAACGACAAATGTCAAATCTTAATTTATTTCAAATGTAAAGGCTGATCTTTGCGCCTGAGTGAAAGTAGAAGGAACCAGATGGTTGATGTTGGTTTAACTATTCTTTATTGTCAGAACCCGACATACTACACTTGAACAGAGGAACACATCAGTATCTTTAGCACAGTGCTGGAAAACACTGACATGAGAGTTTGCTGCTGGACAGTGACACTTTGGACAGTTTGGTTGTTTCTTGCTTTCTGTGTGTTCTAACAGGTTTTATTGTTTCAAATGGTGGAAAAGGTTTGTGGTGTTTTAGCTGCACTTGGGTTCTGCAGTAATTATAGGATTACATCTATCAAACATTTGCCATATTTATATTAAGAAAAATTATATCATGATTTGTGATGGTTACATTTATCACTACAGTTATCGTTTTATCGCCCAGGCCTAGGATGAAATTACATTTCATAAGCATTCTTTTCTTCTCTCCTCTTCTGTCTCTCTTCAGGGAAAGCCACCGTCGAAAAAAGCCACAGTGCTGAACAAGGTGAACAAAGCTCCTGCAGCCCCATCGGGAGCAGAAGGTGAGGGCACACAGACACACACACACACACACACACACACACACACACACACATATACAGATCTGGACTTCAATATAGCAGTTAGTAAGTATATATGTCATGCTGGAGTTTAGGGACATTTTGGGATCGTTCTGATGCCAGTGTGAACTCGTCTAAAGGTTACCTAGCGACAGAAAAGACACTTGATACCAATGTTTGGTGTTTACTTTGAGATATTATATTTCAGCTGATGAAAGTGAACATCTAAAATCTTACCACCTCTCTTCTTTCCATCCTGTAGCATCGCCTGCTCGTTTTGAGTGGGGTGCCTACTTGGATAAAGAAACGTCTCTGGCTGCGTCAGTGTCCTGCTTCAGACATGTGAGCCTTATCTGAATGGAGTATTTAAAATGATTAAAAAAATTGTTGGTCAAATACAAGCAACTTCACTCTGAATGCCGCTGATCACACTGAGGGTCTGTTAGGAATCATGTGACCTCCCCTCCTGCAGGCCCCGCTCTGTGCCCAGTGGGACGACATCCATGTGGGGATGAAGGTGGAGGTCCTGAACTCAAACGCAGTCCTGCCCAGTAAAGTCTACTGGATCGCCACGGTCATCCAGGTTGCAGGTGAGTACATTTATCAGTATGTGTTGATTTGACCCCCCACACTGTGGAATTATAAAACTGTATGATCACAAGTCAGACCAGCTGTCATTGTTTTCTTATTCCTCGTGAATCTTGCATTCTGTTTAAGGCCGAGTGGTTTCCAGTTTGTTTATATTGTAAAAGCCTTTGCACCCAAGGTGAAAGACACATGATCCATCCATCTACAGTTGTCAGTTGCACAACAAAATAAGCTGCAGTGCACAAGAAACCAAAGCTCAGATCAAAAATGACAGAGAATAAGTCTTCCTTCAGAAGATAATCTTTTTCTCAGAAACAGTATTTTGACTATTGTACTACACATTTTACGATTAAAACGTGACAAGAGCGTCGTCGCAAAAGTGCAACAGAAGGAGAAACAGAAGACTTTCCAAACTGTAGAAAAGACCTAAAAAGACAAACAATAAACTTTGAGATGCATGTCTTTTCTTGAACTTAATCACAGATAAAGAAAGTTGTTTTCAGCTGTTTATTAGCACTTGTCTGCTGCTGCCTCTGCTCTACAGAACCCTGCTATTTAAACAGGACAGGGGAAGTGTGTAGACTAGAGGGAGGGGGAGGGGAGGGGGGAGCTGAGGGATGAAGGATGAAAGAGATGTCTGAAGAGAGCGTTTGTTTTGATCTTAAAATCTGCTCTGAAAGTAGCATAGTAAGACTTTAACAATCCAATATCTGGTCCTTATCAAAGCGTTCATGTGGGTCTGACTTGTGCCGTGAAGTACTAGCTCAACTTGTTTTCTTTTTTGTGTCTCCAGGATACAAAGCTCTGTTGAGGTATGAGGGGTTTGAACACGACAGCAGCCACGATTTTTGGGGCAGCCTCGTGTCAGGAGAGCTGAACCCAATCGGGTGGTGCGCCATGACCAGCAAGCTGCTGGTGCCACCGAAAGGTGAGAATTCTCACTACAACTTTCCCACCCCATGTACGGAGGCTGTGTTCCTTTGGCTGGGGGGCCAGGGGTTGAAATCAGACCTGTGGCTCCTTTCCTGCATGTCGATTCTCTCTCTCTCTCTCTCTCTCTCTCTCTCTCTGATTTCTGACTCTATACAGTGTTTAGTCATGATTGAATGTAGCAGTTGATGTGTTAAAATAATATTTTTTGGAATCTGTTTGTTCTAACTTGACAAATTGTGGGTCCACAGATGTAAATCAGAACATCCCAGATTGGAAAGACTATCTGATGAAGAAGCTGGTGGGGGCTGACACTTTACCTGTTGACTTCTACCTGAAGGTAAGCGTGGAGGCTGCTTCATAATAAATCAACCAATTTATCTGATACGTCTGAAATGCACACTTTGAACAGATGTTTGAATTTGTCGACATTATTGAATACGATCAGCATATCTTTTTACCTCATCGACCCCCTCCCCTCCTCTTCCGCAGCTCGCAGAGAGCATGAGGACCTCCTTCAGAATCGGCTCGCGCGTGGAGGTGGTGGATCCCAAACACGTGAGCCGGACCCGCATCGCCCTCATCGACTCGATTGTCGGCGGCCGTCTGCGGTTGGTGTACGCAGACCAAAGTGACGCCCCTGAAAACGTTACCCTCGACTTCTGGTGCCACATGTGGAGCCCCCTCCTGCACCCGATAGGCTGGTCCAGCAGAGTGGGTCATGACATCAAAGCACCCGGTAGGTTTACGATGTTGATTTTCCACACATGATAAATAGTATTTACAGAACGGCTCAGAAGTAATGACACGTGTCTGCGATGAGGTAACGTTTTCTAAAAATCTGACGTCAAGATAAAATGTAACTACAGTAGATCTGTTTTCTTTCTCATTAGTCGATTGCTGTAGCCATTGAACAGATGAAGTCAGATTTATTTTGCCATGGTAGACAAACACTTAATGGACGAATGCTTCTTTCTGATTTCAGTGAACAGTATGGAAGCAGCTACTTCCCGGGGACACTCCGACAGTTCATTCCTGCTCTTTAAGAAGGTGAGGACGGGGTCAAATAAAAATAAAAAAACAGCTGCTTTGGGCTATAAGTCATTTTAAAATGCCTTCAGCAGTCGCAAACTGTCGCAACAAAACACATCAATAAATCACATTAAAACTATCAGAAGAGTCAATATTCTAACCATTCATCTTTCAGCTGTGTGGCTGGAGATTAAAGTCCTGCAACACATCAGCACCCAGCTGACTGTTTTATTTGACCCAAGCCTAGATGTGGCACTTTGAAAGATGATTACATTGTTTGATTCAACCCTGTTTTACGTTTTCTGGTGTTTACAACCATTTTGAAAATTGGTGGATTGCCTCAGCTGGGACCCAGCCGTAATGGCTACAGAGTAAACCTTGTGGGCAAGTTTTCCCAATTCAAGTATGAAAACTTAAAGTGTAGTTTTTTTCCCCACTGAGATCCTCAGATTGTTTATAAATAGTCGTCAATAAAGGTCTGTCTTTGTATGAACTCTACCGAGAGACTTAAGATCCCTTCTTCAAACCAGAAATAAGCGTACTTTTACCCTGCAGAACACAGGAGTTGCTGGTCTACCTCTTATATTAGGTTTGTTATAATGTTGGTGTTGTAACCGGTTAGTTTGGAACCCACACAAGTTTTGTGTAACACAAGAACAATTGGTGGTCATATAATATCCTCCTTTTCAACAAATTTAAATGAGTCTCTGAGCTCCTTAAAACATGTCTGTGATGTTTCTTGCCAAAAGTCCACTCTGATCCTGTATTTGATCATGTCTATAAACCCCTCTATTTAAACCCTGCTCAGAACAGGCTGTTTCTGTAGCTTTAAATGCAAATGAGCTGTGTCTGACCACGCCCCCTCTCTGGAAGGGGTTGCCTGGGCTTTCTGCCCCCATACCCTGTTGTTTACTATGAGAAGGCAGACTCGGAGGACAGAACAAACATCTAGCTGTGTGGGGGAGGGGTTGCTGCCCTTTATGATGTCACAAAGGGTAATTCTCCAAACAGCCTGTTTGAACTCACATTTTCTGAAAAGTGAAGCAGACAAAAGATGGAGAGGATGGGATTTTCACATTTTCACCACAACAGACTTCTAACTCTTCAAACACTTCTTAGTTAACTGAGCTGTAGCTCATCTCTGTTTGATTTGCAGCCCAGGTTTGTCTACATGGACGGGTGTTTCTTCGAGGAGGGGATGAAGCTGGAGGCGATCGACCCTCTTAATCTGGGGAGCATCTCTGTGGCCACTGTGCACAAGGTAAATACACCTGTCCTTTTCTTATGATCAGGACTGAATTAGTAAACCCATTAAGTCAATCATTTTTCCTCTTTTACTCTCGCTGCTTCCTCGCCCTCTCCGACTCCTCCCAGGTGTTGTTAGATGGATACCTGATGGTGGGTATCGATGGCACCATATCCAACAACGGCTCTGACTGGTTTTGTTACCACGCCTCGTCTCATGCCCTCCTTCCTGTGGGCTTCTGTGAGAAGAACAAACTCCCTCTCACTGTACCTCCAGGTAAACACGATGTGCAGAATCATTCAGCTCACGTTTTGTAACTCCACTGCTTATTGAAGTTTGCTTTAAGTTCCAGATTTTGAAAGATGTCAGCGGTTTATGCTAAGAATCAAAAAGGAATGACCTCTGATTACCTGTTTTTGTCAGGTTATGACTCCAAGACCTTCACCTGGGACAAATACCTGAAAGAGACCAGAGCTCGAGCCGCACCATCAAGACTGTTCAATGTTGTAAGTTCAGCATTATAAGACAGAAAGTCCAAACCGAGTTCAGCATTTCAAGTCTTTCTCCTTGTTAAGCATCAACTTTAAATCCCTTTATGATTCATCGAACGGGGCTGTAACAAAGCTCAACCTCCTTTACACCATTCTATTTAAAAACAAACCACATCATTTGTTTTTTCCCCAGGACTACCCGGGTCACAGCTTCTCCCGCAACATGAAGCTGGAAGCGGTGGACCTGATGGAGCCGCGCCTGGTGTGCGTGGCCACAGTGAAGCGCTTCGTGGGCCGCCTGCTGCTCATTCACTTTGACGGCTGGGAGGACGAGTTCGACCAGTGGATCGACCACCAGTCCCCGGACATCTACCCCGCTGGCTGGTGTGATCTCATGGGCTACCAGCTGCAGCCGCCACCTGGACTCGGTAACCATTTACAGTAACGGCTCCTTGTGTTTTCTAGAGAGCCATCCTATTCTGATTGTTTACCTGAGTTAATTAAATGTGTATTTAATTTGATCTGACAGTTTGTTCTGCTCTGTTTCCAGTGAATTTGTTTGAGAACCAAAGCAAGAAAGCCAAGCCTTTTATGTTGAGGAAAAAGAGTAAGTTTTATGTCCAGCTACAGAAACTTGGCTCATATGTGTTTTCTTAAATCAGGAGGAAATATCACTATTCTTTAACCTCCACGTTTTACTTTTTTCAGAAAAGAGGAATGCAAAAAAGAGGCTCTCTCAGGAACAAGCTGAGGATGCTGCTTCTCAGGAGCACGATGGCCAGCCTGAGGCCACCGGCACCGACAGTCCTCCAGAGCCTAAAGATCCAAGTCTTCCTTCAAAACATCCTATCATCAAGCCCAAGTCTGAGTCAGAGGAGCAGGAGAGTAAGTTGGCAAACTTGTACTACATGCTTTTTATTAAAAATATTTAGGATGAATCGCTCACTTCATTCTGTGTCTACAGTCTTTGCAGTGCACGTGAAAGTTGAAGAGGTGGAGGTTGAGATGGAGACGCCTACTGAACCTCCAGACAACCGTAAACAGCTCCCTCTAAGTATAATTAAAATGGAGGAGGCGGGGGAGCAGAGCGAGGCACGACCACATCAGGAGCCAGAGCGGAGCAGTTTGAAAAACAGGGCACATGGGAAGACGACAAAAAGGGCATCAGCAGCCGGGAGACGGACAAAGTTTTGCTCATTGGAAAAGAGTTGTAATGAAGAAAGCATCACGGAGAAAAGCATAGAAGGAGATGACAGTGCTATGGAGGACATTTCAGATATCAATGTTGAGCAGGACACAGAGGACGGGGCTGTAGAAATGGACGATTGAGATGTTTGCTTGAAGAAAAAGTTGGATGAGCAAAGAGACGTGTAACATCTGTCAAGAGAGCCGGTATAACTTTTAATCTTTGGTGGTTTAAAGTTACAATCCTACAAATGTCAGTCCTGGTTAGATGAAGAGCATGTTAACAGCATGTGGATACACTAAGTTTTTAGGGCTAACCTTTCAAACTTCTGCATTTTGTTAGGTACGACAGTGATGTGGCTCTGAGTGATTTAACAAACTGTGAGGCTGCAGTCACAACAACACGGCTGGATGTTTTGCTAAATGTTTCCTGTAAATCCCTGAGTTTAACGTAGTAACCATTACGGTTACCATTGCTGTGTTTCTATCACTGCTTCATGTGACTGACTGCAACTGAGGTGAGCATCCAAGAGTACAAAGCTGACAAACTCAAACCTGCACACTTGGCTCATCATGAATGTTCCAGACTATTACCTGCTGCATCCGTCTGCTCAGCCAGACTATATCCCGTCTTCTTAATACTCAAGAATCTAAGGGCCAAATGAGAAGGCATGCTACACATTGACAGACAATGTCGGGATGTTTTCAGAAGTGCAGTATCTTTATGAAACGGGCTTTAAAGACGTAATTATTGAATGCATATACATAAAATAATGATTGCTGTAAAATGCCGACCATAAACAGTTTGGCAGACCAGGTTTGATTTGATGATATTTCAATACGTTGAACACACTGGACAGCCCACAAGGAGCAACTTCGTCAGTGTTGTAACTACCTCACTTTATCTGTCAAACTCTGAGGACCTTTGTGCATAATGTGGTTTTTAAGAGTTCAACATGACTTATCATTGAGAGTTAAACATGTGGACATCATCCAGAGATGTTTGATCTTTCTGAGCTAACAGAGCAGACAGATGTTTGTTGTAAGGTTTTATTTCTCCATGGTCAGATCCAGATGTTCTTCTGTTTTTGTAAATATGTAATATTTTATTAAAAAAATAACTTGATCATAATTGTTGACTTGTGATATCTTTACAAACGTTCTGCCGTTGTGGTCAAGATATCTTTAGTATTAGGTTGAGGATTGTTATATTTTGGTGACAGATTGTTAAAGGCAGGTTGGGTCATTTCCTCCAGATTCACTTTTTAAGATTTTGGTTGAAATTGTCTTTAGGTCCTGACAGAAATTAATAACTCGTGCTCTGAAAAAGGAACAAAGAAAATCTATCTTCTGTAGCAGTAGCCTGTAAAAACTTAGACAAATGTCTACCACGAGGTACCAATCTGATGAACCAATCAGACGCCTCCCTGTCTCCCTGCTCGACCACATTCAAACCGAGGGGCGTGGCTTTTGAGGGAGCACAGATGGGGGGAGGAGGCTGTCTGGACGGAGCACTGAGAGAATGCTACTTTCAAAATCATGCTAGTTTTTGAAAATTACCAACCCTGCCTTTAAGCTAATGACGCTCACTTTATTAGCCTCCTCCAAGAAGCTACAGAGTCCCAACAGAGCTGCTGGGGGGACTAGCTGAACTGTCAATGTGTATCTTGTTCTGCTGGCAGAAGAAAGTATGCTCGGTGTTGATTCCTGGGATGATGTTAGAAGGAATATAACTTTTTTAATTTGTGGATTAAACAGCAACACACTGACTAATGAAAACTTGACTGACAAAAGATGTGAAGGAGCCTCAGCAGAGACGGGTCTAAGAGAGTTTACAGTTTAAGAATTGAAATCTTTGGTTCCACCTCTTGCTCATCAGATGCAGTTAACTGGAAACTGAAGTCTCAAAACAGCTAAAGGCAGCAGGTTCACGCCATGATTCCTGTCTTGGTGGTTTTCTTGGCTGCTGTTGGTTTCGTGTTGGGACCCTTGCGTGTTTTGGATTTGGGTTTCATCATTTTCACCTGCCGAAGGCCCTGAAGGTGCATCGGTTTGGGTTTGGTGGCCTTTGGTGGCTTTGCAGGTTTTGGGGTGACGGTTGGGGCGGAGGGGAGGCTCTCTCCTCCTGGACAGGCTTTGAAGACGTGGACGTCCTTGACCCTGCGACCCCTCAGCTCAGGGGGGTTTGCACAGGTGGCTCGTACCTTCAGGTTGACTTTCTCAATCCACCTGGATGAAGAGGAGAAATACACTTTAAACTGTAAAGACACAAACTATGTCAAATGGGTTAATCCACAAAGTTTTCTGACTGCTCTAAAAAGTGAGGGTAAATGTAGTTGATCTGCCGACACCAACCGCCGCAAAACCCACAGGACTAAGCTCTGCTCAACGGGGGACAGAGCCCTCCAAATGCTTTGAAATTGAAATGCTCTCCCTGACCACCTGAGGGCTTCACAGGCTGTAGACACGCTTAAAAAAGGACTGAAAACATTTTTTAATGCCCATGATTTTAACTCTGCCTGATTTTACCTGTTTGATTTCAGTTTTTGCTTTTATTCTCTTATTCCAGAATAAATGAAATGTATTATATTTATTAATTGAAGCACTATATTCTTCTGTGTGGGGCTTTACGGACTGAGAAAAGTCGGGTTCACCTGCTGGCAGAGCTGTGCTGCCTCAACGCCACGATTTCTCTCTTCTTGGCTTAGGTTAAGTCCAAGTGCATTGAACGTAGAGGCCATTTCTCTCTTTCTGAATCTTTGACCTGATAAGTTTTTTTTGTCCTGGTTGAGCTGTAAAAAGCTGAGTGACTTCCAAACTTTAATATCTAAAATGATTCAAATACATGCAGATGATTATCCAATTCAGCCATCAAACTGTAAACATGTATTCTTGCCTATAACACTCATATCTCAGGTGCCATTTTTGCTGAATTTGTTGCAGTTTTTTTTTTTTTTGCTGGTTTGCAATACAGGTGAGGATTCCAAATCGAAACTTTTATAGCCTGCAGCCTTAAGATCAAACTGAAAACCTGTTAAAGATAGTCAACTCTGTAAAAAACTCTTCATAAAGTATTCTTGTTGCTGCTGTGAATGTGTGCAAAGGGAATGCAGATGATAGGATGCTTTAAGGTAAGAGGATCAATACATCAAAAGGCAAAACATTTGTTTATTATTGCACACATAGACTTTTGCATAAGGTTGAAAATTTGCAACATTTTCCCCTGAAATGAATCATTTATGGATAAGGAATAATCCTGTAAATGATGACACATGTTTGAGCCATTTTGGGGGATTTTTGTTTATTGGGCTGACCAATAGGTGGCACTGTGATCCCAGAGAACCAAACTTATTTAAAGGATGCTGATTAACAGCAGGTGTTGCACACAATTTGAGGTCAATAGTTTTTGTACTGGTACGTTATTTAAGTTCTTTATAAATCATCATTTTTAGAGCATTATTATATGAATTGGTTAATCCAACAGCAAGATATTGTGTTTTTTTGTATTTGGACTCACAGCTGCAATGAACCAAGCGTACATAACCGACCCGACAAAAAAATGTGTGTCAACAATACACGACCCCAGATGAATTAGGTATAACAAGCTTATTCTTGTTTTAAGGAGTCAAGGAACAACACCAAAACAAAAAGGATTTCTCATTGCATTGTGCTGTGATTATAAAAAAGTACTTACAGGCGTAAAGGCAGTAGAGGGCAGTCACACATCAGAGGGTTGTCGGCCAGGTTGATCACCTCCAGAGAAGTGAAAGTGTGAAGGTTAGGCACCTCCTCCAGCTGGTTGCCCTCCAGAAAGAGACTCCTCAATCCTGGGCCCAGACCTGCCAGGGAGTTCTGTGACATCTGGAGTACGAGAGACGTCAGAAAAATGTCACCTGAATGATTTGTTGCTGTTCTTTCTCTCTCTGGATGACAGCGTTTTAATCTGAAGATTACATTTCAAAGGCTAAATGAGCGGGTTACAATACAAGAGAAGGACTTAAAGAAATAAAAGCTTTCCTACCTTCTCAAGTCCCATGTTATCAAGGTACAGCTCCTTCAGTGACCCTGCCAACGGTCGAAAAGCATTGGGCCCCACCCAGCGAACAGAATTCCCCGACAGCCTCAGGTCTCTGAGGTTTCCCGTCTTGCTCAGCGCCTCAGTAGGCACCTCGCTCAGCTTGTTTCCGCCCAGGTGGAGCGTATCCAGGTCACCAGCCTGGTCCAGAGCTCTGGGTGACACATGCTCAATGGCGTTCCCGGTAAGGTAGAGGGCTCTGAGGCTCGTTGCGCCAGTCAATATGTCTGCCTCCAGCTTGGTGATGGTGTTGTTCTCCAGGTGAAGCGCCAGCAGACTGGGCACCAGTTTGAAAGCTCCTATGGGGAAACTGGTGAAGCGGTTCTTCTCCAAATGCAGGTATGTAAGCTGAGGGAGGCCTGTGGACGAGGATTGAAGAAGTTCAAATTCAGTGCACAGAAACACGTCATAATGATGTCCAAAATGTCTTTTCAACACATTTGATTGGACCTTTAAAGGCATCAGGGCTGAGAGACGTGAGGTCGTTCTCTGACAGGTACAGGTATATCAGTCCCTTCATTCCAGTGAAAGCCCCGCCCTCCACCTCCGCCATTTTGCAGCGCTGCAGATGTAGCGACACCACCTGGGAGACGCCGGGGAAGCTGTTGCTGGTTATGTAGTGAAAGTGGTTTCCACGCAGGTCGAGGAGACGAGTGGTGGGAGAGAAACCCCGAGGAACTTTGGTGTGACCTCGGTTCTCACAGGAGGAGTGGTGAGTCTCTGCCTGAGGAGAGGGAGGGGATGGGGACAAACAGCCATCTCAAACCTTGTTCTTTTACTTTCTCCATTTAAATATCTGTCACACATTCAGCTCCAATAAACCTAAGCTTGTCATCTGGAGCCCAGTTTTCAAATGTTCTATTTCTTTTATGGCCTGTGTGTTCAGCCGTGCTACAAATCAGTACATTCTTAAGTATTCTGATGAAACAGTTACTCCTGCGACCCTATGGCTGCAACAACATGCCGTGTTAGAACGGAGAGATGCTAGAGGATTAATAAATTAAGAAAATGCTCAAGACCAGATTTTTTTTGTACAAAAGTTTTCAGTTTTCCATTTATGGTCTGCTTTTAGACCAAGTAGTGTTGACCAATCACCAATCAGCAGGCTTTGGTTGTATGCAGAAAAACGGTCTCTGTGGAGAGTGAGTGGTGCAGTGTGCATTTGCATTAACCTCACGATGACTTAGATTTCATTAAAAAAATGTATGAATAAAAATCTGCATTCAAGAGCATCTGAAAATCTGCTTTTAAATGGCCTAGGTACTTCTGAGGCTGTCAAAACAGTGGCACCACAGGGAAAAGGAAGTCCTTTTTAGTTCATCAAAGGTTACAGCGGTCGCATTGGTGGCATCAGTTTAGCAAATTAGTTCCAAGATTGCTTGTTCAGTGTAAAAACAGCATCTAAATGTCCATAAAACTACAGTTTCTGTTTTTGAATGGATTAAACAAACATAATAAAACATGATTTAGTGAGTTTAAAGATGTTATAAGACTCAAATTTTTTGCCAATTTCACATTACAGATTGAAAAAACAAGATAATAAGCCTATTGGCCTACTTCCCTCATCATTTGTTGAATGGTAAATGGACTTGAGCTTGTATAGTGATTTTTTTAGTCTTCTGACTACTCAAAGCTCTTTTAAACCGCAGGTCACACCTACACATTCACACACTGATGGTAGAGGTTGTTGTGTAAAGTGTCCATTAGTATTAACTTGTTCCATTCATACACATTCATGCTCTGCTGACGAAGCAGCGGGAGCAACTTGGGACATCGGACGTGTGACTGCAGAAGCTAGGGATTGAACTCATGTCCTTCCAGTTGAGAGACGACCAACTCAACCACTAAGACCAACTCCCACATTTAATGTCAGCATTGTCTAAATTATCAGCAAAAACAGAAAAGTGAGATTACAAAGCTTAGACTGAAAAGGAGTAGAAGTTGTCTTGATAAATTTAAGTGGGAAGAGTAGACAAAAATCAATCTCTATATATTACAGAAGTAAATCACAAAATCTCTCCTGGTGTCCAACTTCCGACGCACCACTTACCTCGCAGACACAGTTGGCGGGACACTTGACCTTGTTTTCTGGCTCCTTTGTGGGTGGCGGTGCGTTCCTGGTCGCTTCCTCAAACTCTGCCTTTAGCATGGCCTCTTGGCTCTGACAACGCAGCTCAGGAGGGTGAACGGCCTCCAGGTTCTCTCCTGAGAGGTGAGCCGGACCTCCACATGTTCCCATCAGCTTCACTTTACTACGGATTGCCCATTCTCTACAGTGAGGTAACATAAAAGAAGATATTAAAGGTACTTTTGTTCATTGACTGGATGTCATCCGCCATTGTTTCAGACCCCACAGAGGTCAGATGTACCTGAGTGGACGCAGGTAGCAGTTGCAGTAGATCGGGTTCCCGGCCAGGTTGAGGCGTGCTAGGTTGGGTGAACCTTCAGAGAAGGGCTGGACGACGCGCAGCTGGTTGTAGCTGATGTCCAGGTGGATGAGGTTGGGGGATTTGGACACAGCTGTATTGGCCAGGTCCTGCAGAGACATGTGGTCCAGGAAAAGGTGGGTCAGTTTGGCCATGGACACCACATCCTCTCCAAGGTAAGTCATTGGGTTGTAGCTCAGATCCAGACGGGTCACCTCTGGCAGTCTAGATACAAAACAGAGGAAGGTTATATTAGAAAGGAAAGGTCCTCCTTATTACATGAATAATACTTTTAAGACCAGTCACTGCTGATGTTTTTACTCTTACTTCCAACACAATGCAACTCTGAGATCAAACAATATATTTAACTAAGCTAGCAGCACCTCTCCAGAAAAAAGCAGCCAGATAATCCACCACCTTGTTTCAGACAAATTCTTCATCACACAATAATTTGGATCCTATATCTGCTGAACTGAACTGACTTCACTGTACTTAATTATAGGTACCACTTAGCAAATGTTAGCATGACATCACACTTCACTAAGATATCGAACATGACGAAAAAACTGCAGCGTATTAGCATCATCACTGTGAACATGTTGCCATGCTGAAGTTAGCATTTAGCTTGGAGTAGCTTTGAGCCTAATGAGAATGACAGCATATCTATGTTTCAACGGCTGTAACTTCCCAAACTCATTATTTCCTTGTAATGACACGTTATCTTCTCAACATCAACACAATATATGTGTCTCTGGATCAGTATGTTGAACTGTCATGTACCTTAGCTATTAACCTTCAGGGTTTTAAAACTAGGCTCTCAAACTGGCAGGTAAGACAGTTCTCCTTGACTTTGTACTGTGATGCGTTCACTATGGCTGAAAAACACACCTCCCTTTCTGTTGTTTTTGTTATTTATACTATAAAATGAGCTTCCTTACCATCTCTTACAATGTTTTGAACAAACTCTTACTACATAAGGATGATGACCAAGACCAACTTGCATGATGGCTAATTTGTTCATATAAAATATAATAGATTTTATAATTAAGAAGAATAAAGAAGTTAATTCTTTAAAGGAGCAATATGTAACTCTGACACCTGGTGTTTAAAATGGGTAGTGCAGTCAAATTCAAAACATTGGAGAGAGCTGTGGGTCCTTACCCGCATGTCAATCCCCACTCTCTCTCTCTCCCTCATTTCCACCTCCATCTGCTGTCCTATCTCTCCAATAACGGTACAAAAGCCCAAAAATAAATGTAAAAAAAATAGATAAATAAAAACGCCTACCTTCTCTGGTCAAAACAAACACAAACCAGAATCTAAACTACGGAGGACATAGTGGCTGCTGCGTTGTTTTCAGAGAAGCCAGCACTTCAACATAGCATGTTTCCTTAATGTCTGATGATGAATGAGGTCATTTTATGATTGAATTCAGTAGATATCTTACAGATTGCTCCTTTAAGTTTAATAACTGTCCGTGTGAGTATGTTATGTATTCGTCTGACTGAAGACAGATGCTTCTGTCACCTAGTGGAGGTCTACTTGCTGACCTGGTCATGGTCTCAGATGGGAAGAACTGCAGCTCGTTGTGGTCCAGACTGAGGCGGTTTAGTGTGAACAGACCAGCGAAGGCCTCGGTGTCCAGGTAGTTCAGAGAGTTGTGACTGAGACGAAGCCATTTGATGTTCTGCAAACCCTGGAGGTAGAAAGGTGGACAGTTTGGTAAGAACATTTGTAAATGTCTTTAAACCATCTTTATAGTTTGAGATGCTTTGTGTAATTTGATGTGTGTGAACCTGGAAGGCCATGTTGGGGATGTAGACCAGCTGGTTGTGTGTGAGGGAGAGCAGGTTGAGGAAGCCGAGCTGAGAGAAAGCTCCAGGCTGGATCTCTTCCACGCGGTTACGGTCGATCATGAGCTGTTTCAGTGAGGACAGGCCGTCAAATGACTCCTGGAATCACAAGAGGCAAAAGTAAGACCAAAGAGTTGAGAAGGTGAACTTTGTCTTAGGAAGGAGGAACAGTGTTGGTCATAAAAATCTTAAATTAATGTGTGCAGAGGCGCTGCTTGTCAACAGGCAAGGCAGGAAACCAAGCCCCCCCCCCCCCAAAGGCTGACAAACTAAAAAACCACAGCAGTGGCTCAGAATGTTTCTCTTTAGGAGGGCCACTCGACAAGCCCCTCTGGGTTTATTTGGTTCCTCCAGCACATTTCTTTCAAAATGTATATTTTGTTAATTAACTGATCATTATTTAATGTCTGTTTTTCCATTGATGTATTATAGTTTGGTTTTTTTGTAAAAAAAAAAAGTAGGAAACCTCCCTAATGGGGCCCCATTTGAGGCACTCAATGTTGTTGCCCTGCTTAGCAGCTCATGTATTATTCCATCATTACAATTAAACCACTAAAGGAAAATGGAAAGAGGAATTATCTGTCTGGGAGTGAATAAAGAAAGAGGAAGTGAAACACGTCCAGATATAATGATGGTTGGAGCGGGCCCCCAAATAAATTCTGCCTAGGGCCCCAACGGACTCTAAATGTGTCATTGAAAACCTGGTAGAGGATGTCGATGTTGTTGTTAGCCAGGTTGAGGAAGACGAGGCGACCAAGGCCACGGAAAGCGCCCTCCTTCACTCTGCGGATGTTACAGCGTTGCAGCGACAGGTGAGTCAGGTAGGGAGTGTGTTTGAACGCCCCGGTTGGAAGTTCCTGGATGTCATTGCCTCGGAGATCCAATTTCACAGTGATCTATAAAGAAAGGGCTTTAATCTGACATGGAACAACATAAAAACTAAACGAACTAGAGAAATGTTTGTGTGTGGAAAAGAAAAAACCTCGTCCACAGTGGGAGGGACTTGGGTCAGGTTCTTATTGACGCAGTTCACAGTGAGCTGGATCTGGTCACAGACACACTGCTGTGGACACTTTGCTGTGTGTGCAGCAGGGAGGCAGAGGAGCAGCAGCAGCACCCAGAGGATGTCGGGACAGAGCTGAGAGTACATCTGAGAGGGAAAATCACAGCTTTTAGTTCATTCACAAAATTCAGAATCCTTTACAGAAGCGTTTCCTGGCAAACACGGATTGTGCAGGTAGCTGTTAAAAAATACCTTTTAGATAAGACCTAAGAGGATCCCGCACTCAGTGACTAATTCATTCATTCTTCCCTCACTCACTCAGAGGAATTATTCCTCCTTCACTTTTCTGCTCTCTGCAAACTGCCAAGCCGTGTACAGTGGTTTTTGTTTCTCTGTATTTTGTGAGGAATTCATCTCTATTCAGATTCAGTTTTTTTTTATTGTAAAAGGGGAAATTTGCGTCACAACAGGAGCACACAGAAGACAAGAAACACAAGGACAACATCACCATAAAAACATGGACCAAAACAAATTAAAAGAAAGAAAGAAAGAAAGAAAAAAAATCAGACAACACAGCAAAATATAAAAACAAATAAAAACAGCGCAATAAAATCAGTCAAGAGCTCATACCAGAATGGAAATTCAAGTTATTAAAGTGCAAAGTGGATGTGTGCAAATTTGCAATTCAAGTGCAAAAAGAGCAACAAATACCTAATTGTTGTTTAACATATTAATTGCACTTGGTAAAAATGAGACCTGGAGTCTTTTAGTCTTCCTCACAGGAGCTCTAAAACGACGACCTGAGGGTCAAAGGTCAAACTCACTGTGAAGTGGCTGATCTGGGATCACAAGTATGGCCCTAGCTTTCCTCAGGACCTGCTGATTATACAAGGTCAAAAGCCCAACCTGACACCTCCCTGAGATTCTGCTGCTTGTTTTTTACAAGTCTCCCAAGTCTGTTCTTGTTTGAGTTCAGGCTTCCATACCATGCAGCGATGCAAAAATGAAAAACAGATTCAAGAAAACTTTTATAAAACAGAGTCATAATCTCCGTAGAAACATTAAAACATTTCTTAAAAAGAACAGTCTTTGCTGAACCGTCTTAGAGGTAGCGTCAACATGATTTTCAAAACATAACCTATTGTCCAGAACAACACCCAGATATTTGTAGCTTTCCACAATTTCAATGTCAGCTGATTTGATACCAGTTGGTATTTGGCTTGGTGGGGACTGTCTAAAATCAATGACCATGTCTTTAGTTTTTGTTACGTTTAAGTGGAGAAAAGATTTGTCACACCAAGCCACAAAGTCATCCACAACTGGCCCATGACCCTGCCCTCCCCCCTCAAGAAGGCTGACAACAACAGTGTCATCAGCAAGTTTAAGAAGGTGTCTATTACTGTGATTGCTGCGACACTCATTAGTGTACATAATGTACAGAAAGGGTGACAGACAATAACCCTGAAGAGACCCAGTGGAAGAAGAGTTGGTTAGAAAAAACACCATTTACTTTCACACACTGCCACCTATTGGTCAGAAAATCTACAATCCATCCAATCAAGCTAGGTTTAAGTTTAAACTGATGAATTAGCCACAGATTCTGCATAAAAATGTAGAATATGAAGGTTTAAAAGTGTTCTGATTTCTGTTTGTAGTACAGGAAGTATCTTCCACTGCTACAGCAGGCATTGGCTGTTAGAAGGAAAACAGTCCATGTGGAGAGCAAAAAGAGCCGAATGCAATCCCAGCACCCCCTCTGTGATTCTCTAACAATGATTGACCTTTAATGAATGTCTTAACAGATATCTGTTGGAGAGTGAAGGTCACATTCTGCTCTTAGACGTCATTTTTAACACCAACTTCATTCTCTCTTTTCAAGTTGTTAGTCGGAGTGTAAACAAAGGTCCTTTAAGGCTTTAACTAACTGCTTCACTGGAAGCCCTGAAAAGTTGGTCATCACTCCCAGCGGCTTTGCCGACATCAGAAGACAACTGATGGGTTTCAAGATTTGTCAGGAATCATCTGTTTGAGCGTTAAACGTTCCTTTATAACTTCCCTAAATTTTATTACAAACCTGTTGAACAGATATATAAGACATGCTACCCTGTCTAATATTAGATTGATTCTTATAACTTCATCTTATTATATATCAGTTCGGTTCTATAGGGCATGGGCCACACGTGTTAGTGATCCCATGTCTTTCCTTTCTCTGAGTTGTTTTTCAACAGTCAAGGGAAAAGTACATTTCCTCAATGAATGCAATTTGCATCATGAGTATTTACTGAAAATGTCCATTTAAGTGCATCACATTTTGAAGGTCAATTTTATTCTTCTAAATTTGCTGCATTTAATTGATGGCTTGAGATATATCCAGCTCAAACCTGTATTTTACTTGTGAAATGATAACTAAAAGCTGCATGAAGGTTTAGATTAAACTGGTGGTCTCAAATGTTGTAAGTTTGTGATCCTCTGAGAAAAAAAGGAGGTTTGTTTGGTCCCATTATCATATAAAGTTTAATAGAATAAGATAAGTAAAACCGTGAATAAAGACCTATTTTTGTCCTCCCGCAATACTGTCTGCAAGCAAATGTTTGTAAAAGGGATTATAAAGATGTTGCATGGATACCTGTGAAGTTGTTGTGCACCCTACATTTCTCACTAACTTCTGTATCTGTGTCTATATTTATGTGGACCACCATGGTTAAGCTCAAATGGACCAGTGCCTAAAATATCAAAGTTTCTTCTCAGCTTCCAATTTTTTTAAATTAACAAAACAAAATGAATCCAAATGTATTTATTTTTTTGGTAACTTGAACTTAAAATCGCCTTATCCCCCTTTTTAGGGACAAGTCATGGTTGCCACACCATGCTCACTTTCTGTAGATTTTAACATCCTTCACTACATGCAACACTTGGCAATGCAACACTTGGCCCCACCCAGCACAGCAACCTTAGACCAATAAAAGCAATTGTTAAATGTAAATTGGTGTCATGGCAACAATGCAAGATCAGTCAATGTAATTGTAATATTGTAATATCAATGTAATATTTAAAGAGAGATTCTGTATGATGCTCCAACCTTTTCTGGTCCATTTTACCTGACTCAACCCCAAATATATGTGACAGGCTGTCAGGAGAGTTTATGATGTACTGTAGTCTATGTTTTCTTTACAGTGAGCACAGACGGAAGAGGTGAGACTAAACAGCAAATCTGCCAAAGGAGCGTGTCACCTTGCTTTCCTTTCCTTATTAATGCCCAGTCGGGTGAAAGTCGCTCCATTATTCTGTACTTTTTGGGGATTAGTGCCATTCTGTTCAGATTGGGCTGCCATAGTCTTCACTGGAATGCCTTAAAACCACATTCCCATGTCGGATCAACAATCCTGATCCGCAGCAATGGACATGAAAAGCTTCACGGCTCCACACTCTGAAATTTCCATTTTTATTATATTGTAAGGGTGAGATCTTGCCTCTATTAAAACTCGATTAAAAATGCAGCACCAAACCGTGATAGAGATAAAACATCATGATATAATGTTGGCCTAAAGTTGAAGTCGATTTTACTGTTTAATTGAGATAAATCTAAATTGAGGAAACATAGCATCACACCACGTTTTGTTCCTAAACCTCCTGAGAAGAGAGGGGCCAAGAAACCAGAGACGGAGGAATTTCCTCCGGCCGGACTGTTTGTCTGCGTCCCCCCAGGGATCAACAGTCCTGACCGCAGAGGAGCTGCCGCGCCGGCTGCGCACAAAGACGCACAGTGTCTCTCTCGCCGCCGGTGTTGTGCCAAAATGCGTTGACCCGAGAAAAAAAAGTTTCTTTTACCTAGAGACGACGGGACAACGATTCCCCCACCAACTTTGAATGTTTTGACGAATAAAATGTTACACCCCTCCCCATTTCAAAACTTATATTGTTGATTAAACATATCTAAACACACTGGTTTAGTAAGAAAGTTATGAACAAGATCTGTGTGGTAATGTTCAAAAACTGAACTAGTCACACAAATAAAACAGCTGTGGACAGTATAATTCATATATTTGGGTATTCACATTTGAGTTGTTTTAAGTGTTCCATTGGTCATTTACCACCTTTAAAATCACCCGAATAGCATTATTGAAAGAAATCCTGATATTTGGCTAATCACAGTAAGTCAAAAATCATTTACGCGCAGACTCACCGTGGTGCCGTCGGGAGTCCGTCCGGCTGCAGGTCGTTTACTGTCCGCTGACTCTCTCACGGCCTCTGCTCTCTGCTGCGCTTCCCCTGGCTGTCCCCCATCCAAAACAAACTCCGTTTATCCCTTCATTCACTGACACTCCCCCCTGCGCAAAACACACACACACACACACTGCCTCTGCAGTCTGCATGTTGAGTCTGTTAAAGGAATAATTCACTACAAAATAGAAAATGTAGGCAGCTTCAAACAAATGTCTGTAACAGCAGAGACACAACACGGAGAGTTCTTCCTTGTTAGTTATATTTATTTCGTACAGATATTTCAGTACAAATAAACAGCAAATCATCCTGTAAATGTAAATGCAGTCCACACAGTGTAATATTATTCTAAATGCCATGAAGGTGTTTTCAATTCTCATCCGTTACCCTTAAATGCTCCATAACGAACAAACATGAGGCAACAGACAGTCATGTAAGAGTACAGCCTTTCAATAACACTGAATCAGAAACAGAGAAGCAACATTAAGTAAAAGAGATGCTAGTCCCCCTGAGCTGTGCACCATTATGACTACTGTATGTGCAGGACCATGAACGTCACACACACACACACACACTGTGTGTTCCAGCATGCAGCCCATTCCCGCTCAGTCAGGTGCACACGGTGCTCTAAATGGACTGGACCTCAGAAGCAGCGACTGTTATAGGACTAACTGTCCTAGAAGTTTCTCTTCTTTAAAGAACAGAACTTTTCAAGCAAAATAAGCCATGCCAAAACTAACATCCCATCAGTTCTACTGATTTTGTTCAAGCACTCGATTACTAAGTTTAACAACAAGTATCAGTTTGTTTAATACGGGTCTAAAGATACAGGACATGAGTTACTGTGTTTGCTCCATAACATCCGAAGGTAAGATTTCAGAATTTATCAACGTCTGATAACATTAGTTTGATAATCCAAACATTTCCTTTGCCTGAGCCTGTGTGAAACAGACGTATTGTTCTGTTGTTCTCTAACACTGAATTGTTAAACTGAAGTAAATAAATCCAAAGCAACTTCTTGAAAAAGGTGCCAGATTGTTACTCTGATGTTAGCTCCAATAACGAATACAATCCGTTGCAATTTTTTACACATCAACTCAAAAGGTCAACTTAAGTGTAGTTCTATTTTTTTTTGGGTTATTTGTATCTATATTTCTATAAAAATATAAGTCACAAGAAAAAGTAGAAAAATAAAAAAATCAAGAGATTCAGGACAGTATTTTTAAGTCCTTCATAAAATATACAAATCAGAAGTGGAGATAGGTAAAGTGGTTGTCTGAATCCCTTTTGTGTAAAGTGTCCCTGTTGGTTTTGTAGGTGAGGAGGTTCATGTTGGTACAGTGCGTGTCTGTCTCCCAGTGTTTGTGCTGCCAGTGGTCGATCAGTGTTGGTCGTTGCACTTCTTCTTCAGGGCAGAGCTCAACCTCTCTGCGGCACCGCTGCACGACTTGAGAGCGTCACTGTTCCTGCAAATCCACAGACAAAACATTTACATGACTTTGAAAGTTTATGGTCTGTTTGTAAAATGTAGCATTCTATGACATATTGTCAAAGTAAATCTCAGGCCAAACTTTACTGGATAAACGATGATCCTTACTTGTTCATGACGGTGTGAAGCGTTGATGCGTGGTGATGGTGGAAGTATTCCTGCTGGACAGCGTGTTCCAAACACAACAGCTGACCTGGGACCAGTGAAACCTTTTTCATCTTCCCCTCTCCCTGAAACACAAAACAACCAAATAGAAAATAAATAAATTGTCATCAGCAATACTACAGTCTATATCAAACATGGATAGATAAAAGAATTCACTCTCAACACAACGAATAAGAAGAATGTTTGATTTTAGAGCAGATGGACTCAGACACGAACAAAACTTCAAAGAAATTAATGAATGAGCTGCATTGAAAAATGTAAACCAGACTCCAGATTCAGCACCCTGGAGAGAGCACAAAGACATAAACAAACAGAAAGCAGGTTCAGTGCAAACAGAGTCTGTAAACCCTGAAATGAGGAGATAGTCTGGGTTTTTCTGTTACAGTAAGGGAGGTCACTCAAACCCAAGAAAGAGGGGTAACTCAACTTGCGCTAAGTCAGTTACTATGGAAACTGAGTCTGTAAACCTAACCTGGCTGGGAGCAGGGTTTTTTCCCCCCAATAAACCCAGAGTTTCTCTTCAACTACTCCCTCTTACAGAGCCAGAAACGCTGTGTCATCATTATCTGTGAGGCACACTACAACCTTTAAAACATCACTTTTCTATCGAGTATGTTCTTTAGTAGATGAGCCTCGGGATGAATGAAGGAGCTGCATTATTTCGCTGGGAGTTACATTTAAATGTGGAGATGTTAATTTAATTAGGCCAAATTAATTAGCCACTCAAAGGTATTCTTTAATTCAATATGTCAAAAAGGATTCAAGTAAGGTACCACACATTGAGCCTAGTTTGTTCTTCTATTTCATTTTGAGCTGCTTCCCAGTCTGCTTTCTCCTGCTGGATTGCACCTAAATAAAAAAGTTTTTCTAGCTTCCCGAGTAGGTTCACTCAGTGTTCAGCGCATGCAATGAGACCATAGTACTATGATTCACCATGGCAACAGGTGGCAAAGAGGTTTCCTCATCCCTATAAATCCTCATGTTGACATACGCAGATATGAAAAGATTTTAAGATAAAAAAGTAACGCTGCTGCAGCGGCAAAGGAGAGAGAAGTAGTGAGGGATTTAGATTTACACCATGCCCACCATGTTTACGTCAGGCCCATTTACCCGAGCTACAGCTCAGGCTTGGGGCTGCGTTACAGTTTAGATACAACAGTAAAGCGGCATGTGGGCCTACATTAATAAAATGATGAATAATTAGTTTAACCAACTTGTAACTCTGTTGCCAACTTGAGAAGGTGACTACATTAACTGTTCAGTCAAATAATCAAGAACAGTCTATTCTTTTCAAAAGACAAACAATCCCATGCTTGTCCGCCTGTGACTTCTATCAGTTTAAGTCATAAGTTTAATCATAACAACACGTTACCTTGAGGAGTCCCATCATGACCAGCAGCGTGGAGAGGAAGCAGTAAGAGTGAAGATCTGAACCCGAGAGGATTTTCTTCAACACAGCGTCTGTAGGACACAGAGATATCATTGAGCCTACTGGGATAACGCTCATAGCAAAGATATCATTTTATACATAAAAGAGATCTTTCAACAACAGCGTATTAACCTTTAGAAGAAAACTTTATACAAAAGAAAACCTATTTTATAAAAGCAGTTTATTCACCGATAGATTCAAACACAGCCGTGTTGGTCTCCGGATCCTCGCTGTATAGAGAAGCTATTTTCAGAACAACATCAGCTGCATTGTGAGGGTCAGATGCATCCACCTGTTGAGAAGACACACGTTTGATGAGCTGATTAAATCCACTCATGCGTCATGTTTAATGTCTAGGTTGCTGTGGTTAGGTGTACTAATAGGTACACAGGATTGAGGGACCTGCTGGGATAAATTATAATCATTTATTTCAAAAACCTACGTGTTGTTTCAAGTTTGTTCTCATCTCTCCCAACTGAAGGAGCTTCTCTGCAGAGGGACAGCTGAGGAAAGACGCCATCTCTGCCTGAGGAAGGACACAAAGTCACAATCAGCTTTTGTTTTAGTCACAATAAAACTATGACATAACTCTGACAGGGTGTTAGGACTTTCACCTGGATGTTACCTAACTCTCTAAATCATGATAGTCTATCAGGAAATAATTTAATTGTTCAAGATAGTTATTTGCATTAAATAAATAGTTAACAATAATTAACAATATGGGTTGAGTACACTAGCTCACGTAATTTGCCTGGGAAATCAATAAAAAAAAAAACATGTGATGTGTGTTTGATGTCATACTGGTATCTGAGGTTTTTCAGGACTGTCGTCTTTTCTCGGTGATCCATTTCCTGATGAAATTTCATCGTCCTCCTCGTCTTCGTTACAGTCGTCACTTTCATCATCATCATCTTCATTGTCATCGTCTTCATCATCTTCCTCATCTGGTTCTCCTTCATCATCACTACAATGACGTCAGGGTAATGACATTATTTTAATATTGAGTAAACATACTTCCTGTTCAGTTAACATGCTGATCAGAGATAAGATTTGTTTTTTTCAGAGGACGTCTGAACGACAGCTGCAGAAAAGAGTCATTGGATTAGCACACCAACATGTTACCTGAGAGATGCCAGCAAGTCTCCTTTGTCCATGTTCTCCATAGCCTCTCTCAGAGCGTCACATCCCTCCTCTCCAAGACAGTTACCTGTTGACACACACACACAATGATTTCCATCATTTGTATCCTTATTTCTCATGAAGAAAAACTATTGTATCTAAATTTGAAAAGAAAAAAAATATCTAAATTCTTGCAGCATTTACATTACATTAAACTATTTTACAAGAAATCTAAAATTATTTTTAACTTTTCTGGGATTAATCAACAAGGAAACCTCACATAGATGTTAATACTACAGTTTTAGTGGCACCAGTTTTAAACACAATCGGACTGTGTCGTCCCACAACCACTGCCTGATGCCCAGCCACCAACATCTGACATTTTTTGTCCCCACGACCACCATTCATGCACGGCCTGCTCCGACCTCCACTTCAGCGGAAAGTAAGTGTGGACAACAGGAACGTGAGGAATACAAAGGAGAAATCCTTCCTGCATACTGTCCCATATGCTCTTTTGTAAAGCGTCTCGAGATAACACTTGTTAAGAATTGGCGCTCTACAAATAATGATTGATTGATGATTAAAACATAGTGTGCATACCGTTTAAATCCACTTTCTCCATGTGAGGTTTGTCTATTATAGCCTGAGCTACAACCAGAGCCGCTGCCTCTGTGATCTCTCCAAATGACACATTAAGCTCCTAAAGAAAAGAAACACATAGCTGTTATAAACCTCTTGACAATCAAATAAACAGACGATAAAGGCTTGGATATGATGTTGACCAGACCTTGAGGATTGGCAATCCCTCTCTGAGGACGGCAGCGAGAGCGATGGCTCCTTCTGAGCGGACCAGACAATCACCAAAGTTGATCACCTGGATGTTTCTCAGGTGCCTCAGAGCCTGCGTGACCAAAAGCAGAGAAGTGTTTTTTAATATATGCTGTGTGCATTTCTGCTTTACTTATAGGGAATGTGTGAACAGGCCTCACCTGGGCCATGGCCAGCGTTCCCTTTTTAGTAAAGGTGTTGTCGTTGAAGTTCAGGACACGGAGCTCGGGTTATGTCGCATGGCTGAAGCTAATGAAATCACGCCTGCGTGGTTGATACCGTTCTGGGGCATGTGGACTTCCTCCAGGCTTCCCATCAGCTAACGAGGCAAAACCAAGTCAAGTTTAGGTTTAAGACGCCATCATGGAAGATCTAATCAATTCAAGGTGCTGGAATCATCTTCAGTCAAAAGAGATTTTTAACTTGCACTATGAAAAAAGCTGCAAATCCTCACATTTAAAATTCTTTAACAGAAGACATTTGGAAACATTGTATTAATCTGTGAACTGATAATGAAATAGTTCTCCATTTTCTTTTATTTAAATTAACATTAAATAAAATTGTTTCCACAAATCTAAAATGTTGCATAAGTTATCCAGTTAGGTGACAGTGAGTGTGTCTTAGTTTTTACTCTCTATAATCAGAAAAACAGCATTAATCAAGAGTCTTTTTTACTTTCATTCTTTCCAATGTGATAAGCAAAAAACACCTTTTTGTGTGCACTGGTTAGTTTCACAAGCATGCTAAAACTTGGGCCCCGACTCATGCAGAGGTGGCATCAAGTTTGAGTGCAGGAGACAGATCATTGTTTATTATTCATCAATTTGGGAGCTTTTCTACCTGAAACGCCTTGGCCAGGGCATTTGCTCCTTCGTTTTCCAGGCGGTTCCTTCCAGCGATGAACACTCTCAGTTTAAGTGGAGCGCCGAGTGCTGATGACTGTCTGTGGCACTCAGTCAGAGCATCAGCCAGAATCTAAACAAAGCATTCAGCACCGTCACTGTCTACTCCATAATGCAAATTCAAACCATCCCTAAGTGAATCAAAGGTTTTCACCTTTCCTCCCCCAATCCCCATGCCACAGTTGTTGAGCTTCAGCTCCCTCAATGTGTGGCAGGACGGGCTTTTCAGCAGCTGCTCTATTCCCTTTACGCCATCTGGCCCAAAGGCGTTATCGCTCAGGTCCAGCTCAGTCAGCCTGGCCCCGGCACACATCACTGCACTACCCAAGGATCTCTGGCACAGACACAGACAGAGGACATGTGAAGCAGGCATAAAATGCAATCAACAAGTAATTTATCAATACATGAAATCACTGGCATGCATAAGGAAATCTGTGTTCATAGAAAAGGTCAATAAAACATTACAAATCCCCAAAGTAATCGAGATAAGCAAAGAATTGAAAATATGTTGAACATTGTGGTTCTTCCTTTAACTGGAACCAGTAAAGTAGAGGAGGAATTCTCACCAAAGCTGTAGGGATTTCCGAGCGCAACCTTCCGGTGAACATGTCACTCCAATAGCACCTCTGTAAGACACACAGAGTAAATAACAGATTGAAAACAACATGGCACAAGTGCAGACAGGCGGTAACAGACAGTATTAATGCTGCAAGGGGGGGGGGATACAAAACCAAAGTCTGTAGTTGAGCATAAAACTGAGAAGAACAGAGGGATGGATTTTCTTTTTTATTCTTAGCTGTGTTATTAAGATAAAAAGGGTTAAGTATGACAACATTGAATGCTTCAGTCTTACAGAAATCTTAGTAATGCCAAGCAGCGAGAATATTGTGACTAGCATATCCTTTGCTGCTCTAAGACAATAAGGTAAATCTAAAGTGTGATGTTAAGCTAATGTTTGTTTACTGTGTATGAACACTATGAACTTAGGAGTACCTGGAGCTGGTCTTTGCTCTCCAGGACCTTGGCGATGCCATGGGCTGCCTCTACACCAAAAGTGTTTCCCTCCAGGCGAAGAGCTTTCAAATCCTGGTACTGCTCTATCTCCCGGACCAGGTCCTTTACTGAAAAACAGCAAACCGATTGTCAAGTGTGAGGAGAAAACAAGGACATCAACAAATCACAATAAAGCAATGAAAGACGACGAAGCTTAAACCTTTATGTTGCTCTGTAATGTATCTTACCTGATTCTTCATCGTCCAGCTTCAGTCCCAAGCCTTTATAGCTCAACTCTCCATCCCCAACGTGGGTTTTAGACAGAGCATCAGCCAACTGAGCAATATCATCTGAGGCCATAGCGACTCTGCAGAAACATCCAGAAACCCCACGTCAGAGAAAATTTAAAGTTTTAGTAAGTTTCCCAACTTATAAGTTTACTGAAGGACAAAACTGCTATTCCTAAAATGTGAAAGTTATATTTTATGGCATTTTATGTGATTCTAACGGATCATTTTCAGACATTGTAGAACTATCAACAACAATCAAGGTAGCTACTTAGCTACACAGGTGCTAGCTAGTAGAGGTGCGCAGCATCCGCAACATAAGAGACTTTGACAGCTTGTGATTATATTAACGACATGTGACGCTGGTTGCGGTCTTTTAAAAGTGTATTCTTGAGTCATGTGGCTATTTGTTCACTAATAAAGTTTACACTTAAGCTTTGAACCTTACCACAAAGAGTATAAAGATATGAGTGGGAAACACACGCCGCTTTTCCGCGCAGCGCCAGAGGGTCCGCAGCGCGCCGGTTGCTAAATCGTGTGACGTCATACTGTCGGAGTTTCTTCTTCGTCGATTCTGCTGTCGTTGGTTAAAATTGATCTACAGGTGTTTTACCGCCACCTACTGTTACACACCGACTCTGCTGTTCCCAGAGATTCCAGCAGAAACCCTTCAAGCGGACTTTCTTTTGGGCTCCGGCTCTTCATATTAAACAAGACACTGGTGGTTTGTGTTTAACAGGACTGGCCCTTGATTGTTTAATTTTCACATGTTTGTTTGGTAAATATGTACTTAATATTGTTGGAAAATAACCTTGGGAAATTTCAAACAGACACAAAGTTCAAACAGGATTACTGATTTAGAAAAAAAATACAGTGTATAGCTTCTGTAGAGTTTATTTTAAATCACTTAGATGTTACTACAACTTATTTATTTTTACTTTTACTTTTTTGTACTTTTGTACTCTTTTTTTCTATTTTATACATAATTTTAACTTTTTATTTGTAGAAGCTGACTCAGGGAGAAACGCAAAAGAATTCCAATGTACCTGTACTGTCCTGTACCTGTGCAGATGGAAATAAACATCTATTCTATTCTTAATTAATCGAGGAAAAGGGATGATTGTAACAGTTTTTTCCTAATTGTTTCAATGGGGCATAAGCAGTCAATATTTAACATTGTGTCAGGGCTGACTGAAAATAAGGAAACGATCAACAACTCATCTGCATCCTTTGGTTCACGAGGTAATATTTACAGTCTATGGGTTCACTACAATTAGTTCGTAAAATATACCTGGGGGCAATGATATTGATTAATTAATCAAAGCAGGAACAGCGTATGAGGGACAAAAAATGAGTAAAGTATAAATGAATAAATAAATAAATGTTGGGAGAAATGCATACAATAATGTATAAATAAATACATAATTAAATAAATGCATCAATAAATATATAAACAAATATATTCATATATTTATTTATGTATTTCTGTGTCCATGTTGTACAAGGAAAAGTAAATATGTAAATTAAGTGGGCCGTCCTAACATTACTGAAGTAGGACTGGTCAATTTTGAAAAACAGACAGAAACAAATTTATAAATACTTCTCCTCTTACGACCTGGACACAGAAATAAATAGCTGTGTAAATGTAAAAATACGGAAATGAATTAATAACTCAATTAATGTGAAATGTTAATGTGTATGCATTGATGCATATATAACTGTAAAAATACGCTAATAAATGAATAAATATATAAATAGCCTTTTTCATTAACAAAGTGTATTTATTATTTATTCATTTTCAGCATTTATATATTTATTGATGCATTTATTTAATTATTTATTTATTTATACATTATTGTATGCATTTCTCCCAACATTTATTTATTCATTTATCCATTAATTAATTAATTTATTTATTTATACTTTAGTCATTTTTTGTCCCTCATAACATCGAGCGGCCTCTTGTGGTCTCTGTTTGAAACTTGTTGCGATGCTGCCGCTCTGGTATTAACAGCTAGCATGTAGCTAAGCTAACGTTAGCCCGTCAGTATCCAGCTGCAGCACGTAGCGCAGAGAAACTCGTGTTCCGTCTACATACCAATGACAGGGACACTGAAAATACAAATATGCGCCTGGATCTTTACTGATACTTGGCTGGCTACATTTCCCTACCTTTATTGCCACTGTCTGTGAAGTGATATCTGATCTGAAAATCTCTGAAGTTAACTCTCGGTGAGTTGTCGTGTGAACTGCTAGCTAACTAACCTGTTAGCTAGCTGGGGTTATCTGCAGCGTAGCCGTAGCCTATGTCAGTTTAAAGTAACTATTTGGAAAACTGCCCGAGAGGTAATATATTGTTTTTAACATTGAATAAAGGCTCTAATGTTATGAAAGCTAACTTTGCTCTCTTCATAGATGTTCGTTAGCTTAGCTGACTTCAGGCTGGTGGAGCAGGTAGCATTAGCTGGCTAATCTTAACCTCCGACAGGTGAACTCAGGTTGATTCTCAGTTTCCTGACACTGACACTGTGACAAGCAAACTGCATTGAAACATTTATAAGATGTTGTTTGAGTTCATGTTGGGTTGGAAGCCTGCAAATGAACGCGTTGTTTCTTATTAGTGTTGTGGTTGATGATTAAATTAAAATGTTCAGGTGACACCTTCAAAATAAACCTGCAATTCAATCTTTAACATTTGTTGTTGAATTGTGTCACAACACAATAGACAAGCGTCCCTGATAGCTGCCCCAGATGTTTGTTTACTCCAGTCTGATGATTGCATAGTGTGGTTTAGTGACAGGCCCGGGTTTGTCCAGGACGACTTTCAGTAGTTAAGAGACTTTAAAAACGACAACAATATATATAAAACACAACCACCTTCATTACTCATGGTATGTTTGATACTTAAATGAAGTTGTCGGATTTGTTTATAGGGCTGTGCAAGAAGTAGAAAACCCCTAACCCTGGTCAACCTTGTTTTTACTCTTAGGCAATGGATCCAGAACGACTGAAACGAAGAGAGGAAATTCAGAAAGCAATGAGCTTTATCCAGTAAGTGAACAGGTTGCATGTTGGCTTTGGGTATCTCCATTACAAATAACGAGATGTAACACAACTCTGAGGCTTCTACATACATGGAGATGTATTTCATCCCCCCTTATTCCCTGTTTACAGATCATCGTTGCCTTTTCCAGAGCCGGAGAGTTATGAGGTTTGCTGTGATCCTTTTTATTAAGAATATTCTCTTCCAATAGTTACTCGGATGACCTTCCTGGAATTTGTTAAATATTTTGCTATCCCTAAATTCTGACTTGGCAATTGGGATTTATCTTATCCATTTTGTTTGTCCCCCCATATTCTTCTCCATCCATGCTTTTTGGCCTGTCTCTTATTACCTCTCCATTATTTATTTATGCTCCTCCCCCTTACCCCTCTCACTCCTCTCATTATTTAATCTCTGTTTGATCTCTCCACACATTCCCTTCAGGCGTTTCTGACCCAGTTGGTGTGTCACTTGCTGGACGAGGGAAATTGTTTTTTTCGAGATGGGGACTGTCGTCAAGCTACCCAGCAGTATGGAGAGGGGATAAGTGTAGCCCGCTACGCTCAGGCCGAGGCCCTCGTCATCCCCCATGAGCTGCTGGAGTGCCTCTATGTCAACAGAGCTGCTGCCTTCTACCAGACGGTGAGACAAAGAGGGGACATGTCACTTACAGGTGTCTATGTGGACAATTATAAAACGCAGAGACACAGTAGACTGTTTGTGTCAGTTATCATTGATCAGATAACAGTTGTTGTTACTTAAGTTTCAAACGTTAAGTGAATGAGTAGATACATAACTAGACTGCTTTGTCTCCCACAACACATGATTTGTATTGAATCTGCTCTGTTTGTCAACTGTGTTGTCGTTTTCACTTATAAAACATTCACAGTTTGTTTTAACAGCATAATGTCCGCTATATAGCACTCAGTTAGTTGGGGTTAATTGTAAACTATATTAATTTTGTTCAATGTCTCTGATAATGCTGAACTACAAGTGAAATAGAGTCTGTTTAACTTTAACAGAGTTGCTTAAAACATAGACATTTTTCACTTACAGTATATTCCTGTTTTTCTGTCTCAGAGGGAGTACGAGCGAGGCATTCAGGACTGTGACAGTGCACTGTGTGTGTCAGAAGGCAGTCGCAGAGCGTTGTACCGCAAAGCCATTTGTCTGAGGGAGCTGGGACGATTCCGAGAGGCCTACGAGTTTGGAACCAAATGTCTGCTCACAGCACCTCACGTATGTAGAAATATTAAATGCAAATGACTTTTTTTCTCCAACTCGATGTTGAATGTAACCGGAAGGTCAAGGATTCGATTGCCACCTGCAGCCACATGTCGAAGTGTCCTTTGGCAAGACAGGAAGGGCGCGCTTAACACTAGACCCAGTTATCCCGTACCATGCTGCGGCACGATTGTCTGCCTTCACCCACACTGCTCCAGGACTAACCGGGCCTGAGCACAGTTACCTTTTGTACACAATGTCACAATAAAACACATGCGTGGCTTTACGTGATCATGAAGTGTACTTAGTTAACAAGACAGATGGTCTAAAAAATAAAAAAAGGGACGCGCGGTCAAGTCATTTTAGTCAGATACAGACATAACACTGCAGGATCCTCGACACTGGAAGTCTGTCCACGTTTTGTGCTTGTGCTCGTGCATGAACTGTACAGTGCCAAAGCACACCTCTTTCAACCGTGCCAGGGCCAAGGAAGTGTATCAGAGCACTCGCACTAGTCAAATGAACTTGAGGGTGAAGCGTGCTTGGGTACAGTATGGGTTGCCTAGTGTGAGTGCGCCCTCAATCCAAAATTGCTCCCACTGCTGAATCAGTGGTGTGTGAAACTGTAATTGTGATAAGTTAACACTGATGGATAGTTTACATAGCAGCCTTGGTCATCATGTGTGAATGTGGTGTGAATTGGTGAATGTTACCTGTGGTGTAAAAAGCACTTTCAGTGAGCTTACAGAAGACTATAAAAGCACCATACAACCTAAAGTCTGTCTACCATTTACCTTATTCTAGTAATTTGCAATGGAGTTGAATGTCTGTGTCAGTACAAATATTGAGTCAAGGATGTCATTTATACGATGACCTGTTGTACGATTCATTGACTATGTTGTGTTCCAAATCACGTCGCTGAAACGTGTCGTTGGTAAGGCTGACCTTGTATTCTTGTAATTCATCTTCCAGGACAGGCAGGTGAGTGACCTCGCCCAGGATCTGGCCAGTAAACTTGGCCTTAAGGGTCGCAAAGCTTACGTCAGCCCTCAGACAGAATCCACAGCTGCAGAAGGGGAGAGTCACGGGGATAGCTCCCCACCTACAGGAGAGGTGGGTGCTGTTGTTGTAGAGTAGAGCACCAGACTTGAAATGAACATGAGAGTAGGAAAGAGGTTCATTTGTCTTCTTTCTTTTTTTTTTTCCTATTCAGATGTCATCCAATGGACTGGAATCTCTGAGCGACATTGGACCAGGTATGACATCTGACAAATCTTTAACATGTCTGCACCTACTTACACCCCTCATTTATTTTGGTTATTAATGACTAATGATTTTATTATTGTGTTTGTCTTCCTCAGCTGACCTGTTAGGTGCACAGTGTATCCCCGCTCCTTTGGCCACACCCATCCCGGTTAGCGACGAGCCTTCTAGCCCAGTAGTGACCCCGTGCACTGACCTATCTGAGAGCCCCAGCAGCCAGGCCCTGCCTCCCATGCCGTACTCCGTCCCTGTGTCGGAACACATGGATGAATGCAGCAGCAGCCTTAAAGATGAACTGGACAGTCTGCTTGAGTGCATCCCCAAGAAAGTCAGTGAAGTGAGTAAAGGTCAAACAAATCAGGCAATCTGCCACAGGTGTTTAGTAAATAGATCAATTTAACCACATCAATTGTTCTGGATTAAATTATAAATACCTTTTTTGTAGTAATTTTAACAAATGGAGCCAGAAGATGAAGTTGTGTTTTAAGTCAATATGGCTTCAGTTGGTAGTCCCTCTGCATAAAGTAAGCCTGGCCTCTCTCTGTCTCCTGGTCCAGAGTCCAGTCCAGGGTGCCATCCCAACCAACCTCCCCAACACAGCTGTGGGTCTCCGGCCTCCGTACTCCCCAAGCCTTCCAGCCCCATCATCCCAGCTTCCTTCAGCCTTCTTCAGCTCCTCTATCAGTGAAATGCCCCCCCTGGAAACTTACCTGCCATTAGCCCAGCGGGACCAGGGCTCCACCCAGGCGCAGGACGCACTGGGAGGCTTCCCCACTGGGGCTGCAGATGGAGAAGGGAAGACTGGAGTCGCTGTTGGTGGGCTGGACTCGTTGTCCGAGTACACTCTCCCTGGTGAGCAAAGCATTGATCTTGTTTTTAGGGTAAATAACAAAAAGAAAAAAAAAGTTGAACAAAGAATGTTGGTTGCATTATAAACCACAATCACCAGAACTCTGGTAAATTTGACTACACATACTATTCCATATTTACCATAATGATTCACACACCAAACAAAGTCAGTTCTGCACATGACCCTCAAGCATCATTTAAAACCATCTACAGGTAACTGAATGCTTACATACGTGCATACAACAGCAGCACTATTTGTACTTTTGTAATTGCTACATTGGTGGGCCTCCAAATAAATAAATAAATAATTGGTTGGTTTTACCTGCGCTGTCAGCAGCAGACAGTGTGAGTCAGCACCATGACGATGTGGTGTCTGACACAGTGTCCTTGTGTCTTCATCTGCAGGGGGAAGCATGTGTCAAAGCTTTATCCCTGGAATGCGCAACCACAGTGCTACACACGCAGTGAGTAATATTCAAACACACACACACACACACACACACACACAGCAATGGGCAGGAAAGAATGCTTTTAACCTATTATTATTATTATTATTATTATTATATTATTATTAAAACCAGTAGTAGTAGTAGTTTATTATCAGTGTTATTTTATTCTTTATTACTTATATTTTATTTGCTTTTCTTAATGAGGATACATCAAAATAAACACAGTATACAAACGTTGGTGTCAGTTAACAATAGTCAGTTTAGCCTCCTTTTAAATAGTCCATTCTCTTCAGACTTTGTGGTGGGTTTTGAAGTCAGTCCACTTTATCCATTTTCCTTGGCATGCAGATTGTTGTAGTCTTAAATTGTGTGTAAAGTTCTCCATATCATGTAGTTTTTCAACAATGTCCAACCAGTTTCCCCAAGTGGGGGGTCCTCCTTACACCACTTTCTTGTTATAGCTTTATTTGATGCCACCAGTAGTATTCCAGCCTTCTGTCTTTGCTTTGTTTATTTTCCTGTGTTAAATTTACCAGATACAGCACTTCACAAGTCTTAGGAAGTTCATAACCTAAAATTGCTTTCATTCCTTTCCACACTTCATCCCAGTACTCAGTCATTTTCGCACATTGCCAAAAAACATGAGCGTGATCTACATTGTGTTCCCCACACTGTCTCCAGCAAGGCTGTGGGACAAGTGAGAATCTTCCTTTAAGTTTTGGTGTGATGAAAAATCTCACAATATTTCTCCAACCGTATTCCCTCCACATTCTAGAGCTTGACGTTCTACTCTCTGTCCTACACATGTTATGCCACTCTTCTGCACTCTTCTCTTTTTATTTAGAAAAACTGCAAAGGGGACTTCCGCTACATCATAAAGTTACAGGAGTAAATAACTACAGCTAAAAGAACAACCAAGAGGAGAAAATGTTAAACTTACGTTGTTTTGTGAGGTGGGTTTATTTTAAAAACATCTGTTTGGGTGACTAACTCCCTTTCAGAAGGATGCTACATGTTATGTATCCATTTGTTAGCTCTGAGCTCTGACTCAGCCAGTGATGAGTGACAGGAGGACTACTGCTAAATGCACGTAACTTTACTGTGCTTCAACTGTAACCGAACAGCTATGATTGGCTTAATTGTCACTTAATAAATCTTGCTTGACCAATGGGTTTTCGTCAATGCCTCCACTGGTAAAAAGTGTGGGGGATGAAAATACATTTCAGTGAAAGTGTGGGTGAGGGTTCAGCCTCAAGTGGACACTAAAAGAACTGCAGATTTGTGCACTTCCGTATCGGCTTCATTTTTCAACAGCAGAGGTTGCCACTTAGTCTGAAAAGGTCAAAGTGATACAATTAAAGGAGTGAATTGAAGAATAAAAGAGTCATGATAAGTGGTTTCAAAGATTAGAAAAGAGAAGAAGACGACATCACATCACAGAAAAATAAACACAAAATAGAGGTCAAAGGATGAGTGGTCTCATCAAGTAAGCTACATGGTTTACTGAATGCTGCAGACAGACACAGTTAGCCTCTAGCTGGTAAACAAAGTGAAGAGTTTAGAAGATTAAGACCTACACGATTCCCTCAGGAGTAAGTCGAGGCTAAGACCTGAACAAGGAGTATAGGCTGAATGTGTATGTCCGCACTGCCTTAATGTTAGCTTGCAGTGTAAATAAGATCAAAATAAAAGAGGCCATGCTGTTTTTAATTATTTCTCAGTTTGTCATGAAGCTCTTCTTCTACAAATTTGCTAGAAGACCCTTAAAATGCACTTGAATGTTTGCAGTATTACATGGTTGAATGTGTTCCAACATTTATCTAATATAAATACATCAAAACACCATCTTTTATCCTAACTAATGCAGAGAAAACACTTCACACAGACAGGCTGCTGGCTGGAGGACCCGCCCCCTAAGTCTTTAGAGCTGCTGACTGATGCTACCTTCAGGGTTCTGCTCTGAGTGATGAAGACTGAAAGACTCGTGGTTGATACATAAACAAAAACAAATAGAAACATTTTTAAAAGGAAAATGAATGCAAATAAGATGTTTAATTGACATCTCAGGGGATTTATTAGTGTGAATAAAAACAAAAGAATCCTTACAACGTAAATTTAATGTACTAAATTGCACACAGTCAACAAAATAAAAGCACATAACACTTACCCGTGTTGTGTGGGGAGTGAGATCCAGAGGGAGGGATTGGATTGGATTGGAAAATCTTTATTGTGCCCAAGGGGCAATCTGGTTTGCAACAGATGTCCGTCCAGGCAACAGAAAGAAATTAATACTTACATAAAAACACAACCACCATGGATATAATCATGCTGTACGTGAGTGAGATAAGTGTACAGGCAGCAATACCTACAGCTTATTTAAAAACCCGACTGGACTGGAGAAGGTGGTTACATCATTCGTTATTTCTCTTCCCATAAAAGATTAGTGATCAAAAGATTACAAACTTTAACATTTTTATTAACCAATAAACTCCACTACAGCAATACATTAATATCCAGCTTTAATTATATATTCTTAAGATGATTCACGTGCATTACATTACTCATTAATGTGTCACCCTAATACTTAAAGGTTATTCGATTGTGAGAGTAAACAGATGGTTAACTCTCGGTTAATGACAGCCTTTACTCGACTTCACTTATTTCCCGTAGAAAACACGTCTAACAGAAGGTATCAGTATCATGACACTAATCCCGATGACAAAAAAGGTCCGCCTTCGGCTCCACCCAGAAAAGACTGAAAAAAAAGATCAATAATTGAACGTTAAATATTTTTTGCCTACAAATTACATGAACAATAAGTGTCAATGTGATGAGAGAAAAAACACTTGTTTCTTGCGATTACTGAGATTTGCATAGTGAATGAGATTTATATACAGAACCAGGACTGTAGGAATAAAATAATATCGATAATGTTGGAGTCCTTATTTAATCTCAATGCACATCTGCACTATCTGAATTAAATTTAAAGGTCACATATTATACAAAACACACTTCACCATGTTTCTCTAACACTAACGTGTGTCCCTAGTCTGTCTACAAACCCCCCAGTTATAAGAAAAGTCCATCCTCTCCGTCTTTTGCGTGCTCCACTTTTCAGAAAATGTGTGCTCAAACAGGTCATTTGGAGATTTTCCCTTCATGACATCACAAAGGGCAGTAACCCCTCCCCCAGGTGGGTGACACTCCCACAGCTAGGTGTTTGTTCTGCCCTCTGAGTCTGCCTTTTCATCGTAAACAATAGGACGTGGAGCGACTGGTTGAAGAGGAGGAGAATATGTGACCTTTAAAAAATAAAAAAAAAAGCTTGAAAAATACTGATCTGAAATCTCAAAGTTCATGATTATGTTATACTTACAACTGCAAACCCAACTGCAAAGCCTGCCCCAGATAGTGACCTAGAGAGACAAAATAAAGAAAATAATTTAGAAAACGATAGAATGATTGAAACAACATTACTACAGAGGGTTATAATAAATCCATATCCACTGATATTACAGGAGCAGTAAATCTAGTTTTACCTGTCCAAGAAACTTCTTGATCTCAGACAATGCAATGTCATTGCGTTTACAGTTGAGGAGCCGTCCCTCGTGGAACAGACAGTCCACAACCAGGCAGACGTTTGAGTTGTTAACCAGCCTTCTGCTTTCAGCCAACACGTAGTCAGCGTCGAAGGTGTGATGCATGACCACCAGAATAACTGGTTTGTTTCCTGTGGACACAGACACAAGTTAAAAGAGTCAATATATGATAAGGGGAGATCAGTTTGTAGCCAATAAAAGTAATACATTTCCTTTCTCTCTTCTTTTTTTTAACATGGAAGAATGTGTAAATGTCTCTCTGAGTGAGAAGAAGAAGTTGACATCAGGTTTACAAAGACGGGGACGGCCGACTCCTCCCTCTGCGTATAAAAGCTGTTCTAGTCAAGGACTACGGATCAGAAAGTTGCACATTCTTCCTTTAACCAGAATTATTAATAAGATAGTAGTTTTGAGTACTCATTGTTTTAGTTTTTACTTGGCCACTTGGGGGAAGCAGAACGAGCTTGAAGTGAAAGGTATTGAAAGGTGTAGGTATTTTCAGGGTCAATTTTTATGTTTTATCAGGGTCACTTTGTAGTTATTTTCAGGGTCATTTTGTAAAAACAAAGAGGAATTTTAAGTTCCATAATGACCTGTAAACAAACAAAATAAAAGATAATATAGAAAATTGATATTTTTAACTGACTGCTCCTTATTTATCTTTAGCTAATCGATTTAAAATCTTCCACACACTGACAAGGTTATTACTTACTATGTTGAATGTTCTCCAAAGCCTCACTGATGTCTGTTCCAACTCGGGACACGATGGGACAGAACAGCAGAATGTAGTTACTTTCGCCTTCAGATTGGACCTCGGTTTGGCCCATGCCTCTGAATTCTTTGACCCAAGGAACATGAGCCTCATGTGTTGTTCCCGACACCGAGCTATAGAAGTTTTTCCCGGACACTAAAGACGGGAAAAAAAAGGTTGATAAGTCATCATACAACTGTCAATCAGACTTTAAAGACGTCATAGCAACCAGACCAAGATAAAGAAGAGCTAAAGGCTTTGCCATGTGGTGGCAGGGTGAACAGTTGAGGGAGGGATCACTCGAAGAAAAAAAACATGAATCATGTCCAACTGCCTAGGAACCAAGGAAAATGATCTAATACATTGCCAAAATTAACATACGTATTTGATCTTGGCACAAATAATCATGTCATGATATTTTAATGCATTCCTTGACCCAGAAAATGTATATATTGACACCAAGATTGACTTTCTAAGTGGCTTGGAAGACATATTGGCACTTAGCGATTTCACATGGCCGCCATCTTGATGAAGTCAATTAATTGCTCACAGTCGCTCTGTAGTAAAGATCACTATTTGTTTCCTTTCACTTCCTCTCTTTTCCTACTGCACCTCCTTTAGTACACTTCCTGGTTTCTCACTTTCTCCCCTCCCCCTTGATTGGT